AAAAAAAGGCAGTGTATAACCTTCCTTTTTTACCAAAAATCGACTACACCAAAATTTCTCGGGAAAACACTTTTTCTTATTAATTTGGGTGCGTAGAATCCAAATCAATTCGTACTTTTTCGATCAGACTTCTTAATCAAAAGTTATAGACTAGAAATTCAATAGCAATAAAAGAGTGTAAAATTGGTCGCCCTTGTTTTTTGCTGCCTGAGAAGCCTATTCGTAAATACACCTCTGGTGGACCACATGTGCTCCGTATTTTCTGTAGCAATGCCTAAACATAGGCGACTGTGCTATCAGGGGGATTTCCTCAGACATGCATAGCATTAAACAGGAGGTGAATGCTGGAGCAGTATTCTTCCCCCTCAGGATCCTACTTGCCTTCCTGATTTTACCCATCCTTAGAAAGTTCTCAGTTGGATGAATAGCCATCCTCCCTGTAGTCAGGGATGTTACAGGAATGAAACACGTTGACAATTTCCTTATCTCTACATTTACAAGCTACCATTATGAAATTTTTCATCTAAACAAGGAAATGCAACAGTCATGTACTTTTTCTTTTATTTTTTTATCCCTGTATTCTTAGTAGCTTTTTTTGTGCCTAACTAAGAACTTTGTAATTATCGATGATTCTTTTTCACATTTTTAATTTTGATGTTTGTCAACGACTATCACGTAGGGCAGGGGGGGAAGATAATGTCTATGCTCGCAATATTAAGTTCTCATATGTCGATACATGCAGTATTGGTTTTGTAGAAAATATAATTTGATATTTGTCTGTCCCAAGATAACCGAATTAATTACATAGTTTGATGGTCTCAGTATTGATGTTAATTGATGACAAAATAATGCCCATCAAGTTACATAAACTCTTGCTGAATTCCAGGAATTTTTTTATTAAAAATACTTTACAAGGAAATTCAAAGTTTCGTATACTACAGAAACAACAACTTGCAGTTTTTATTTTACAACGTCGATATTACAAAATAATTCAAAGCTTCAAAAGCAAAGAGCATCAAATGTAGAACATCACAAACAGCTTACTTAATAGGTTTCATTTGCCACAGCCCGTCATTTAAATAGTGAATGTTTTCTATTCCGATGCCCTTGTTAATTTTTGCACTGAAAATGACACCTTGTACAAAAGTACTAGAGAATTAGAATACATACATATCCGCCGTAGAAAGGGCAGTCATTCCTATAGCTAAGGCATGTTGTTTTCCTTCTGCCATCACAGCCTAAAATAAAAGAGTTACCATTTGATAGAAGTGAAGCATGGTACGTACCACAATTGTTCCTTTTTCTGCTTCAACCATTTCCGCACCCGGAGATGTGAGCCCCGGACACATAATATTAGCTCCACTAAGAACGAACCTAATCGCACCTTTATCCACTTGTTCCATCGGCAGAAAGAAAGGGTCTAAAATGACAACTTTGCAAAGCACGCAAACGCGACATCTACTCACACTTGTGAAGTAAGCGTAAAGTCGGCATCCAGGCGCCTTCCCGATGTCTGAAAAACAGTAACTCGCCCGCGCTATTTATTATAATTTCTATATGATCGTGACTAAAACGGACCCGTTAATATTTATTTAATGGAGGTTGTCGTTACCATTTCACTATCCTCATCGCATCCTTCTTTGGCAAAATTGAATCTAATAGACCGTCTAAGTTGGGATAAAGTTCGACAAGTTTCGAGCGGATGCCTTTTTGTATCGACGATTTTAGCTGCAATATGCTGGAGACGCTTTCCTTCTCGTCAAATCTGAAAGGGGGAATTTAAATTTGAGTCACAGTTTTCGTCGGTTTTACGTACTTTTTAAACATTTTGGTACAAATCTTAATTCCGAAATGGGTTATTGAGGTTAAGTTACAATGGAATTTTGCGCTGTTGCCAACTCGTAACTGTCACCCTTGGTTTCATACTGCTTTCCATTTGGGTGCGTGAAGCTCTGGTGCAGTTCGTTCGGAGCAGCTCATTTCGCAAATTGTTCATTTTTAACACATTTGAACATTCACAGTACGTAAATAACCACAAAAATGTTACAAGCCCCAAGCAAATAGGTGGTGCATGAGGGGTCAAGGGAAATCCAATTTCGGGCGCGTCAGAGCTCGAAGCTTTCTTAAAAGGAACACAGGGCATCGTGCACGGTACAGCTTAGAGCTCCTCTTTCACTAAAATGGAAAGCAGTATTGGAGAGCTATGATGATTTATCGAACTTTTTGCACGGGGGCTGTTCTACGAGCCCAATGCTGTGCAGGTGGTAGTTGAAGCTATGTAGGGCAGTCTCCAGTACTGCATTCCTTTTGTATGCCAGGTTGATGGGCCATAAGATCTCCCCTTACCTTTCTCCAGCTTTGGGGAAAGCCTTAACAAGTTTTTGTGAGCACCTAAAGGTGTTTTAGATGCTTTTAAAATTTGCTTCTCCCTATTAAAAATTCCAGCCCTAAAAGGGCTTTTTACTGAAGTCGTTGACGGAAAGTTTAAGAGATTTAAGCGCCTTTAAAGGTCCTCAAGAGCTTTTACAACTCATGACCATTTCCAAACACTTAAGAAGAATGCATACGGGCATTGATACGGGTTTCGTCACGTTCCTGGAAACTGTATCGATTAAAAGAAGACGTGACAACACCGCTCAACGGTAAAGTTTGACGCGCTAAGGTTGGCAGACAGTCAAACAGACGTCAAATTAAAGACTAATTTTTTTCGTGATTAATTAAGTTTGTGTACAATTTTCTTTTACAATTTTTTTCTCGAAATTTTTATATAACTTTTACTCGTAATTGCCGATAACGAGACGAGCGAATTGAACGTTTTAAATCCGTTTTAGTTCTTCGATCCATCAGTGTTCCCCCGAAGGCGATCGTGACCGAACGCAAGTATCCAGCTACGACAGCGCCAGTGTTTCTGCAAACAAGTAAAGGTCCTGTAAGTGAGTTTTTACAATTATTTTTTTTACATTTTATTGTGTTAAAATCAGGCTAAGGACTGAGGGTATGTGCCATTTATGTTTAGAGATTAACCGGGGTTCGTTTTACGTATTTGAAAATCGGGATAGTTGGTGTTTAGCGTCCGAGTAAAAATCTTTTGTGACTACCTACGGGTTCACGTCCTTACTTCTCCAACATGCCCATTATTTTATACTTGGCAACGGAATTATTCGCAAACTGACCCCGGTTTTTCATTTGGGGGACTGTTCGTCGCAGGCGATTGCAACGTGTCCGTGCCGTTTCTAAAAATTCCATCGATTAATAACGCCTTGGGAATTTCTAGGAATTTTTGTTTACGTTCTCAGGTAATCAGCTTGTGAATGGGCGATCTTTGTTGCTTTAAGTAATTGAAATAAACGGTCGTCACGTGAAGAGTTTCGTTTTGTTGTGGCGAAATTAGTGTTTTCGGTCCCCTTGCATTTGCAGTAGTATCCCCGACCTCTGATCGCTTCATTTCCAGTGTCCACTGGCCTTTTTTTACGTAGCGAACATTCGGCCGGAATGCTGTTGTAGGACCTTGAAATCCCTAATACACCGCCTATGAGGTCATCGACCTTAAACTCAATTGCTCTTGTTCAGTTGATGCGCGCATCCAAGTGCCGGAGATCTACAGGAAGTTGCATCTTGCACTTCTCGTACATCCTGGGAGCTCGAGGAGTCTCATAGCTTTCTTTTTTTTATCAAGGCCGACTACAACTCGCTTTGTGTCTTTTGAGGTGAGAAATCCTTTTAATTTCGCACGGCTCAATGATTTGTTTTACTTCATGGGAATATATGAATCACGTATCGCATTCCTAAATATTTGCGCAAGTAATGTAGCTGTCGTTTGACTTGCATTATTATCCCTTCTCCTGATAATGCCGTGATTATTAAACTCGTGGAATTTGATTACATTACATGGTGTAATTATCGGAATTTTCTACTTTGAACTGAAATTACACGCTCTATTACAGTTATTTTTGAAAATCAACAAATTACTTTGGCGACCTTCATTTGTTAGTATCTGTCGTTAAACCTTTTAGCGGCTCGCCAAAGTAAATTCACTAACCCGAGTCGCGGAGATTAACTATGAAGAAGAGAACCCATTGTCTTTAGTATTCCAATGCTAACAAAACCAGTTTTCTATTACCATAAAAGTCACTTTTTAGATTAAAGCCAGTTGAGAAGCTTTTTTTTTATCCCACTTCTGAATTTGTTAACCTTTTATTTATCAGTTTGTTAATAAATAAATAATTTTGTTGTTTGTCATGTTCCAATGAGCAAAGTTGGTATTCTGCCAAGAGATGTGTAGAAATTATCAGCCAACAATAGACTGCATGTTTCACTTAGTGTATGCAAAAACGTGCATTATGGATGGAGCAAATTCTATTCTGAGGATGCTAATTATTGCAAATAAATAAAATGTGTACTCATCCGTTCCATTTTTTTGATCTGCAGTGTCTCAAATTCAAGGGTGACACAGATGCTATTTCAAAGCCACCTTATATTCTTGTGTAAAATTTGCTTTATTGTCAATTTTAGGGTGGTAGCATTGAATACGGAACATGTGTGAATACGAGTGCATTTTGTTTTCAAAAATCTCTCAAAATAAAGTCGCAAAAAATACAAATTTGATTTCTTAGTCTTGTAGTGATAATCTGCATGGTTGAAATTAGTGATATACCTAAGTACGGGCATGAAGTTAAATTCGCTTTTTTTCAAAGACATTCGCTTTTGAGATAGTCCCAACCTAAATGGGAAAACAAAAAATAACTAGAAGGGGGCTGAAGTTACATTCGTTTGTTTTTTTAAATAAACGGCCTCCGAAAGTGATTGCACCGGGACCTATTTTCATCCCCCCAGAGCCGTTTTTTAGGGCTCTTTTCCAAAGAGGGGATGAAAGTAGGTCCCGGTGCCATCACTTTCAAAGGTCGTTTATTTAAAAAAAAAAGAATGTAACTTCAGCCCTGTTGTAGTTATTTTTTGTTTTTCCATTTAGGTTGGTACTATCCCAAAAGCGAATATCCTTAAAAAAAAAAGCGAATGTAACTTAAGGCCAGTGATATAAGTACAGTATGTAAAGTGACGTAGAGTGAAAATATAACCTTGATTGCAGCATACGAAGGCCTTCATTGTGTGACTGCATTGACCGGTTCGAGAGGAATTTTTCGGTTGCATTTGTTAACCCATCACAACGGAGAGCCCCAGGCAAACGGGGCCACAAGCTCGTGTTTCGGGGAAGGACAGTGCTCCCCCCGCCAAGCGACGCTGGGTCCCACCATCAACATTGCGCCATAAACAAGATGTTATTGTTACACCGGAATCCCGTAACGACCTCGTCTTTCGTAAGGTTCGCGGTATTCTTAACAAACTTACCCCAGAAAAGTTCCAGAAGCTGAGCGATGATATACTGCATACAGAATTAACTTCACATAATATACTTAAAGGTGTTATTTTGTTGATCTTCGAAAAGGCACTCGATGAGCCGAAATACTCGTCTATGTACGCACAGCTGTGCAAGCGGCTGTCAGAGGAAGCTCCTAACTTTGAGGAAAAGGGACCGTGCACATTCCGACTGCTCCTGCTTAATAAATGTAAGGCCGAATTCGAGAGTCGATCCGAACTGTTGGATAAACATGCTTGCGATCCTCTTTTGGACGAGGAAGAGCGTCGCCAGTTGGCAAAGCGCAAAATGTTGGGTAATATTAAATTTATCGGCGAACTGGGCAAATTGGAGATTCTATCGGAGGGTATCTTACATCGCTGCATACAAGAACTATTGGGTCCGCGACGAGGGGAGGATCCATCGGAAGATCTGGAATGTCTTAGTCAAATCATGCGCACGTGCGGTCGCATTTTGGACTCGGACAAGGGTAAAAAGTTGATGGATCAATATTTCGAACGCATGTCGTTATTGGCGGATAATATCGATTTACCACCGAGAATCAGATTCATGTTGAAGGATGTTATTGAATTGAGAAGAGACTGTTGGAGACCTCGAAAATCTGCAATCGTCGAAGGTCCCATGCCAATACATCAAATTCGACCAATTGATGACGATCGACTTAACTATCGTGCCAGGTGAGTGATCCCAACTTGACTCCTCCCACCGACAGAAAAAAAAATTATGACTAGTGCTCATTTGTTACCATATTCGAACATTTCTGAAGTGGGTGGAGCCAGCTTGACAATGCTGGACTGACCCAATAAAATCATGTCCTTATTTGCAACAACAGACAGAGATGCCAGATTTCACGATATTAAAAAAACCCAAACTTCAATACAGTTCACAGTCTTAACAAAACATAAGACTAAGTTAATTATACAAATTAAAGATGGAACTATTTCCAAAGACCAAAGAATAACAATAAATAAATAATATCGGAATTATTTCCATGTATTACTGTGTCCAATGGTGTGCGAGAAAAGCCCTGAAAGAAAGAAAAGCTTACAAAGCTTGTTCGGACATATTACCCCACACACTGGCGGTCGAAAATTAACATTTAATAATATTAGAATTACTTACAGTTTTTCGAATTAAATTTTGCGAATACGGACAAATCGTTTTTTAACTTTCCACAAACTTTCACTACTTCATTTGACGATAACTTAAATCTTTTATTAAGATTACTTAATTTATTCTAAGTACACACTTCATTTTGAAACCGACGAACTGCGTCTTGAATGAAACCCGAAAAATTAGCGTAAATAAAAATACACGCTTTTTTTAACGTCGTGAAAACTAACAGTCTCGTTTTTACGTTGATTTCCGTATTTAAAGGAAACCCCACTTACGCCGAAATAACGCGCACATTTTATAACCCCCGCATCGAACAGCGATAAGAACACGTGCGTTAATTCGTCCTCTTTATCGCAGACGACCAAACTATTTAACGCTTTTTATACATTTGAAAATTATGTTATTTATTGTAAAAGTGATCTGTGATATTTTTGTATTTGTATATTTTGTATTTTTTTATTTGCTGGTATTATTTAGTGTATGACAAGTGTAAGTGAAGCATCATATGAGCACAATAAAATATTATTATTATTATTATTTAACATGCAATTTCACGTTTTACAAACACAAATCTAATTAAACAATTTACAAAAGCAATAAAAAACACAAATTCAAATGCAATACTTTGTGCTCATTCGTAAATGATTGTCCAGATCTTTACTTGAGTTGATCGTATACAGGGTGTCCCATCATTGTGGTGTTTAGATCGAAAAAAACGTCCACGTAACGTTCCTTACACAAGAATATTTGTTATTGTTGTTTCAGGTGTACAGCATAGGGCAGATGATAATTCACATCCTTGACTTGGAAACGTAGCCATATCAATTTAATCTTTAAATTACAACTTCAAATAATATACATGTCACCATAACAATATGACAAAACAATTTCATGGGCTACTAGATTGATTTATTGTTAAATTTAATATTGTCCATAATTTCTTAACTATTGAGTTTAGGAAAAAGTGTATAAGGACATTTCGAGTTAAATTTTACCAATGAATGTGGTGTCCATCAAGTCACGGGACACCCTGTATGCATAAGGGTACTAAGGATTACATGCTATTTACAAAAATTCAATTGTTTTTGGTTACTCATTTGTTTTCTGAAATAAAAACAACTGAATGTTGCCTTATTATGGGAAATAAAATGCTAACAACTTGTATAATATGGAAACATTTTGTATACAGTCGTTATTTTAAGCGATATATATTATATTCCATACATAACGGGCACCCTGTATATATAGGATTTAATGTAAACCTAATAAAAAATTATCATATAGGTGGATCACAAATTCTGTATACAGGGTGATATAAATTCGTGGCTCACCATTGAGATCTCCGCAATGGTGAGAGATACATTGTAGGTTAAATGGGGGCACATGTGTCCCCTTTTGTGAGTAAAAAAACGCATTTGAAATGTTTGAACAATTTTGTTTTCATTTTCCTTAATTTGTTGGTTCACATTTCCAAGTTCCACAATATATTCAAATGTTGGTTGCATATGCTGCATGGTTTACCTATTCAGCGATCCTTACTTTTTCAATGACTATACCTCTCATCGTTGTGACATCTCCATTGCGAGCTACCCTGTACATTGCTTTTACTGTTGTCTCATTCTTTTGCATTTAACCATTTACATTCTTTAAACTGTCTATTTATGATATTTTTACTTAGAATCCAGTGGCGTAGTAAAAAAAATTTTGGACCACCGTTTTTTCATAGTTTCTTGGTTCAAATCTCAGAAAAGGTGGTCCAACATTTTTTTGGATTACGCCTGTAGATTCTACGTAAAAATATCTAAAGTAAGCAGTTTTTTCTTCTATCTTACATGGGTAGTAAGATATGGTTCCAAAATGTCAAACTTTTTGTTTTCATTTATTTTGTTTATATTGACTTGTCAATAAAATATTGGAACTGTACTGTACATTTTCAATTTTTAAAATTAAAACAATAGCTTGACATACAAATTTTAATAAATATGTTTCAACTTATTTTTTTTTTAAACGTAATTGACGAAACGTCAAAATTTTAACGAAGATGCTGCTGCTTTGGAATTAATAAAAACTCTTTATTGGCCGTTTTAACTTTGACCCATATAACTTTCCAGCTATAAAGAATCATTTTGTGTGAATATTCTAAAAAATTCTAAAAAAAACTCTAAAATATCTAAAAACAAGTTGTAAATCAGCACAGCATATGCATGATTAAAGCGCATTTTTGGTAATGCAGGTCAGTATTTTATTAGCGAAGTTTAAAATTATTGATCTCACGAGTAATTTTGGCTGCGTTAAATAATTAATTTTATTTAATTTCAATTGAGGGTACGTCTTCATTTTGTAAAACAAATCACAAAGTAAATAAGTTTTTTAAAGTCACTAGATATACCTAGAAAGTACCGCAATCATCCGCCATTTTTGGGCAAATTTTCTGCCAACTTAAAAAAATTGACAAATAAAATATGAATAGCTGTCATTTTTTATAACCTAACTTCATAGTACTGTCATATTCTATTCGCGAAAATCACCAACCAATAGATGGCGTTGAGACATGCAAAGAATTTGAAATAGGAGTGAACAACAAAAACTTTTACTACGGTTCCTATACGTTCGCGTGATTGTTTACTTTTGCATTTTCGTTCCATTTGCTTATTTCATTGTGTTCAACCCTTAGAGGAGACAGTCTTTATCAAGACTATTGTTAAATGCACGTATTGGAGTATAAGTAAGTATCAAAATTGAAATATAATAATGATAATTATTTGTTTACTACATACAAACATATATTTACTTATGGGCTTTCCGATCTGCAATTTAATCTTCCACTGCTTTCGAAAAGTTAAATCCTCGGGAAATTTGTGTAGAGATACCTCATTTTCACAATATGTTGAACACTTTGGAACTGAACAAATTTTGGGAGATTTTATACACTTATTTTTATGAACGTTTTGCATTTTAAAAACTAATTTGAAACCTAACTAAAAGTGAATAATAATAAAAAGTCAAACAGGGTCAAGTTATAGCACAAACCCAAACAGATTCAAATTATTTAAATTTTGATAAATATATAAGGCACGGGAAATAACACTTCTCACAAAATGTATATATGCAACAACACGACGGTGTTTATAAACAAATACATGAATAAATTATTTAGTAAACTGAGTACGTATTCCACAAATAAACACGGTATTAAATGGGAATATTTTTGTTGTTCACTTTAAAAACGCTTACAAAAAATTATAATAGATGTCGCCCAATTCGTGATTTTCGCGAATAAAAATATATACAGATAAGTCCAAACAGGTGGAACAATCCCTAACATTAAAGTTACTAGAATCTGGTAACTTCCGCCATTTTTGGACAAAAATCATGCGTTCTCTCTCTAACACACGAGCCCAATGGATTGCGGTACTTTCTATATTTAGTGACTTTAAAGTTTTTATACTGGTAGCGCTATCTAACGGTAAAATTATTGCACCTCCGAAACCCATATCAAAATAGACTAGTGCCTGCACATCTACACTATAGCAGAAAGCTTTTAGTGAAAATTTGAATTCTCTAGCTATTGTAGTTGTGGAGATCTCACGCGGACAGCCGGCCTGCCAGCCATAACGAATGTAATAGCGTATTTTTTTCAAAAATGCGCTAAAAATTCTAGAGAGCTCTACAAAATCCTAGTAGTGTACACCAAAATTCTACAGTGATTATAGTTGACGCCAAATTAAGTTGGGTATGACTCATCGCTATGTATTGCAATAATTAGCGTATGGAACGGTGCCTCTCACACAGATTGACGGTTGCTAGAGAAGGATAGAACTTCGTAACTTGAGTCTGCTGTACAATTCATACGGGCGGTCTAAAACGTATGTCGCGCATTCCTCAGCTTTTCTTCTGTCATTTCGTGTTTACCTGGTTAACATTTATTTTTACGTTTTTACTTCAATACATCAAGAAACAGTTTTTTTAAAAAACTACTTTGCACTTGTGAAGAGTTTAATCGGTAAATTGTAACAACTTGCATATGAAATTGTGAAAACCATTGAAGTAACTTTATAATTATCTTGTAGCATCTAAACTAGAACTGAACATCTGTTATAAGTATAACGAAATTGTTTTTGATTTCTTCTTGACATAATCTCATAAGCTGAAGCACGATAGGTGCAGAAACAGATGTCTCGTTACCAAATCACCTTTGCCGAAAGAAGAGGACTGTACCTATACGATATTGTGAAACCTTGCTCGTAGCTAATGTTCAACATTTTAGAATAACGCATTTGATTTGCCAGTTTTCTGCCTGAAATGCATGTTATAAATGAATGTAGAGGATCGGTGTGTTTACCTACATTAAGTATAGGTTCAAATAAGTGGAGATAATTATAACAACCATTTCTTCTATTTTAATAATTCACTAAATAGCAACAGTTCCCTTTAACAGTTCCCTTTAAGTGCTTTTAGTTTTGAATCCGCATATCAATTTACGCAACCTCGAAGTTTGACAGATTAAAAGTTGAACTTGAAGTTGGCAAGTTACAGAGACATCTACCCGTGCGCATATTAACTAAACGTCGATTTAGATACGACTGACGTTGCTTGAATCTTAATCCGTACAATTTTAAGAATGAGTCATACCCAACTTAATTTGGCGTCAACTATATCCCCTCGGGGCAGCCACTTCAAATTTTGTGTACATTACAATTCTAAAAAAATTCTAAAAATTGTATAAAATAATAATTGTGTGTGTATGTGCGTTCGGAAAAATTCTAGAAAATTGCAGAAGAGTTCTAGAAAATTCTGCAAAATGCTAGTAAGGTATACCAAAATTCTAATTTTTCCCTCTGGATATGTTAACAAATTAGCACTAATTTTTTGAATACCTCAAATTTTTCTTGTGTTGGTGGGGGTGCACTTTTTTTTCAAATTGGTGACGGGACGTTTCTTCTTTAGGAATGAACGTATTCAAGAACAAAGGGACCAGGATAGATCCGAGCTGTTCCGTCATCCCATGAAAACACGAAGTGGTATAGATAATATGCTAATGGGGCTCACGTTAAGCTCACCTAGCACCAATCTTATTTCTGCTCATTCTTTCAGTCCTAACGGCTTCGGTAGCCAAAGAGACGGCGGTTTCAGGCCCCACAACAACCAACGCTCCGGTTTCGGGTATAATAATCAACGCGGACAGTATAAGCACAACCAAACTAACACCAACAACCAATTTAACACACGTGAGTACCGGATTCTCGGGGGAATTACATCGTTTTGTAACCAATTTCTTTCTCCAGAATCGAGTAAAGATCTTGCGCCACGTTTTAAAAAGAATTTAATTGTCCCGCACGAAGAAGATCTCGGCGAATTACAGTTACGACCCTCCATGATATTTAACAAAGCGTCGATGAAAAGTAGCAACATCATGAATAATCGATCGACTGAGCCGCAATTGCAAACTCCAAGTAGCAATAAGCAAACGCCGACGGCTCTACTAAAGGAAGCACTGCCGATTAAACAAGCGTCTGTGGAGAAACCGAAACAAGGGAAAAAGGATAAGGTACGTAATATGTTGGATAAATTAAAAGTGGTTACCAATTCTGAGAAAATCGTGTATTTTAAAGGAAAAAATTATCTGAATTAACAAACCAACATTTTGGGCAAAAATTCTGAATTATTGAAAAATGTTTGTGTAGTGGTTTTCATGTTTTATGTGTTTGTGTAGGGTCCAACCAAAGAAGAACTGTTAAAAAAGCACATCGCAATGTTGGAAGAGTATTTCAAAGGCGACATAGATATCATTCAAGCTGTCGACTCGTACAAAGAATATAAAATACCGGACAAGTTTGCCAAGGACATTATCGTTTCCGCTCTCACTACATCACTAGATAAAACTGGTACGTGAATCCGTCCCCCTTCATTAATGTGATCCATTCTTACGGACAGACTCTTTCAGAATCAGACCGAGAAAAAACGATTCAATACCTGGCGCGATTACGCAAAGAAAACGCAATAAACGCCAACCTAATACACGACTCCCTGAAGATCGTGTGCAACAAAGTGGAGGAACGGGAAAACGAAATCACAAAAGTCACTTCGGCCACTGCCATTTTACTAGCGATCGCCGTAACGGAAAATTTAATATCGCTCACCGACGTCGCCGCCCTCACCGACAACGGCACCTACTATCCGCTCTTCGTTCTGGTTTTGCAACATCTGCACAAGGTGTTGGGAAAATCTCCCCTAACCGATTTATTTAATATTAGTAAGGTAAATTTGTTGTCGCAACTGCCAGAGACCGACAAGACAAAGATGAGACTGGCCGAAATTTTGGAAGAGCGCGATCTCACCTTCCTCTATCCGCCGCTGAAGATCCAAGCCGAACTGAGCAAACAGCTGCACGCGGATCCGAATCCTCAGCAGTTCTACAAGTGGATTAAGGATAATCTCGATCCCGCCAACTTTACGGATCCCGGATTTATAAATGCGCTAATGACTGTTCTTCTCAAGTACATAACTCAGGTAGAGTGACTGCTTCGGCTAAGAGTACTAAATGTGTACACGTGTTCTCTTTTTATATTATGGAATTAACCAACGGGGGGCAGTACCAATGAAATTTCAGTTTTTGATTATACAGGGTGTTCCTAAATATGATGTATAAGGTGGCCAAATAAGAATGCGAGGTACTGTATTTGGGATCCTGTCCATCGTAGAGGCTTGCGGTAAGAAAATTTATTACTAAAACTGCCACGAGAAAAACCTGGAAAATATTTTTAAGTTTCTGAAATGGCCGCTAGGGGGCGTAACTGCACTCTGGAATCTAAAAAAGTGATTTTTCTGAGAATTCCTCTATATTAACCTAACAAAAAAACACCCAGTCTTTGAAGACGACGATAATCTGAACTTTTTGTTTGACAATTTTTCCTGTATCTCTAAAAATGAAGTGGTGGGGGGTATTCAAAGGTTTCTGTAAAGAACACCCTGTATCTTCGAAACGACTGAGCCGATTTTAACAAACTCGGGTTAATTATAATAATAATAATAATCTTTATTTAGTAAAAAACAATTTCATATTGTAATACCGGGTGATTCATTAGAAGTGATGATCGCTTGAATTTCGCGCGTAAGGTTTTAGTATTTTTTGCATTATTAGATTGACGGTTTGAATTTGGTTAGTAATTTTTTTCTGTCATGACTGTCACTTAAGAAACCAGTGTCGCCGTTAATTGTTGTGTGCTATTTGCGGTTTATTACTTTTTCCATTTTGAACAATTTTTAGAGTTGATGCACTAAAATATGTAAGAAACATGACTGTATGTAGTGTTAGTTTATAATTTGTGGTAAAACAGAAGCAGTATTTGTAGGTTATAAATAAGTGAACGATTTACTGAAAGCACGATGATACACCACTGCAATTAAATAAATGATCATCAGTTAGTACCAACTTCAAAATTTTGTTGATTTGCGGGAAATTCAAATTGTCCTCACTTCTAATGAATCACCCGGTACATCGTCGTCACAATTGAAAAGAGTTATTCTTCGGCTACAAATATTAAGTTTTGTTAGTTTCATATATCGCCGCTTGAGGGCTTTTTTCGACATTCCGACAGAAATGGTTAATTTTCTCAAAAAAATTAAATGCACTGGTTCGATTTTTTTTCATGAAAAAGTAGCTAAATGATGTCTAAACAAGCTCCCGAAAACCGCATCTCGATATCTTGTTCCTAACCTAAAATTTAGGCCAAAGAAAATTTTATACCCTCAAAATTTTATTTTTTTAAGATAATTTTTCCGGAATTATTTTTATTATATCATTTGTGACCCTAAGGTGTATCGATTTAAAAAAGGAAGTTTTTAATGCCGCCGTAAATGCTCGAAATACTGGCCATCACGATATAAAAATATATATATATATATATCTCAAGATATCGAGATGCTGTTTTTGCGAGTTTGTTTAGGCATCATTTAGCTACTTTTTCATGAAAAAAAAAATCTAACCAATGCATTTAATGCAATTTAATTTTTTTGAGAAAATTAACCATTTCTGTCAGAATGTCGAAAAAAGCCCTCAAACGGTGAAATGTGAAACTAACAAAACTTCAAATAGTATAATATTTGTAGCTGAAGAATAGCTCTTTTGAACTAACCCGAGTTTGTTTAAATCGGCTCAGCCGTTTCGAAGATACAGGGTGTTCTTTACGGAAACTTTTGAATACCCCCCACCACTTCATTTTTAGAGTTACAGGAAAAATTTTCAAACAAAAATTGTTCAGATTATCGTTAACTTCAAAGACCGGGTATTTTTTTGTTAGGTTAATATAGCGGAATTCACAGAAACATCACTTTTTTAGATTCCAGATTGCAGTTACGCCCCCTAGCGGTCATTTCAGAAACCTAAAAATATTTTCCAGGTTTTTCTCGTGGGCGTTTTAGTAATAAATTTTTTTACCGCAAGCCTCTACGATGGATAGATTCTCAGATACAATACCTCGCATTCTTAGTTGGCCACCCTGTACATACAGAAGGGTCTAATTCTTTGGCTTAGTTTATGATGAAACAGTGTTCAAATGTGAACTGTCAAAAGAAATAAAAACAAGATTTTCCAAATAAAAGCCGGGCCTACTGGACTAATTACCAAAAATTGATTTGTTTTTGCTCAAAATTACGAGACCAAAAAGTTTTTAAACAAATCAGAAAAATACTTTCTAAAGCTCAGGGGTGGACAATGAATCAACATAATTTATATTCCTAATTTCAGGTCAATTATAAAGAAAAACTGAATCATGTACGCCTTGTTGATTGGTAACGAAGCGTTTGCGGACCTATGTTTATATGCATTTTGAAGATAAAGCAAGCAATTAACCCCTTCTGTATGTACACCATATTTAGGAACCCCCTGCTGTGTTGCCAATATCAAGACAACCTTGATTTACACTAGTGAAACGCACTTGGCTTAAATATACCGGGTGTTCATTTTAGTCTACTATTACTAACTTGAGAACTAGAAGAATTACAAGGTCGGTTAAATTAACAATTTCTTTTTTACAAGACTATTATAATAAGCACGAAAAGCAGTGGTTCACAAACTGTGGACACCAACTTTGTTATTTTAAATAGAACTGTATTTTTTTAAATTTCCTTATTTGATAAAGAATTTTATTTTGAACTTTTGTATACCCTTAGATAACAATTTTTATAAGAAAAGATAACAATTTTTATAAGTTATATAAAAATAAACAAACCTATAGCTTTGAAATTTGGGCAAAAATGTTTTTTTAGACCTTCCTTTTGAACATATCCAAAAACCCATATGTGGGAGGTACTCAACAGGTCGCCATTTTGGATTGTGTGCCGATTTTTTTGGTTTTTCCTCAATATTTCAAAACCTATCAACTTTTTCAAAACCTAAAATGGCGGCCTGTTGCGCACCCCTCTCTTCGTGTAGGGTTTTTGAATATGTTCAAGAGGACGGCCCATACAACATTTTAGCCAAACTATAAGTTTTTTTAATTTGGAGCTTTTGGCAGTAGAAGATTGGCTAGGCTATCTTACTGATCTTAATTTCCGGCCATCAATATTATTTAAAACATTTTCAATGCTGTTTTTTAGATACTGTAAATCGGGACACATATTATTGTAAACTTTAACCTTTTAATACCCCATAAAAAAATCGAGCAGATTTAAATCCGGCAATGAAATAGGGCAAATCCAATGATTTGGGAACATATCATTTAGATATTTTGTAACTCTGTGCATTGTGGACAGGTGACCCGTCTTGTTGATAATATAAATTTCTACAACATTTAAGGGGAGATCATCTAGCACAGGCGTCGGCAACCTATTGAAACAGAAGAGCCAAAAATTACAATTTACAAAATTTCCCAGTGTTTAAAGAGCCACAAGAAATTTGATTCAATATTATAGTATTTGGCTATATACAGGGTCCTGCAACAGTGCGTCGGTTTTTCCTACATAGCTTATACCTGGTAAAAAATATTGATGGTTACGGATCTACAGAAATTAATTTTGAATGTACAGGGTGTCCCATTTTTACGATGTCAATAAATAACTGATCTTTTTAAATAGAATATCCTGCATATTTTTACTTGTTTCAATATCATTTGTTCAAAGTGCTATAACTATTCTTTTTCAAATGGAACTACCACTATTTTATTTCTCTATTCGATTGTCTTTTGTGTTCTCTTCAATGTTTATAAGGGGGTCCTGTTCGTAAACCCCGCAGTTTTTATTAATGTATTATATTATTTAATATTATTAATATTTTTTACAAAAGTACCTACTCATTAAATAATTACGTGTTTATGCATCGGAGTAGGCTGCTATAATAAAAAAACATAAGAACACCAGAAAGTAAACAAGTGTCACAAATTACATAATTATTTGCTGCAAGTGTACTTTTGATTTCGTAAACAAATAAGATTAATTAAAAAGGCGAATTTCGAACAAATGAACTTTATATCAAAAGAGCCGCAGGTTGCCGACCCCTGATCTAGCATATTTGCTCATGCGTCTATTAAAAAACTTGGTAGCAGCCATTCTAATAGATAATAATAATAATAAATGTCTTTATTAGGCAGTTGTACAAAGTAAATATCTAAATAATATGTACTATATTAAAGCTAACTGCCTAAGGGCGGAGTTCAGTCAATCATAGAAGCATGCCCTTGGGTTTGCTTTAAAATAGGCCAAACTTATCATTATTTTTATTTTATTTATTTGCCGACGTTCTTGATTTTTCAATAAATGCAGTTGTATTATCACCTAATCCGGCTTCTAATCTTTGAATATCTATGTGATGGTACTTCCCTTACAGGAAATTTCTCTTGCTACATTGTAATCGCGGAAAAGGCATTTTTCTTGTAAAATGTCTTTGTACGTATCAACTTTTTAATTATGAGTAAAATTGTGCATTTTTCTATTAATTGAGCTTATTCAGTATTCACACAGCAATGATAATTGAATAATAGTAACTAGCAGTTGTGAAGAAAATAAATAGTGCTATTGTTTCAGCCATAGCACTCTAAAATCGGAATCCATATTCAACTTGTTTCATCATCCATGGCACACCTATTTTAACTATAATGAAATAAATCTAAACATGCATTTTTCTAATAAAAATTGTTGAGAGTATGTAAATATTATATCACTGAGTTCAGAATAAAATTCTCTATCGGGTAAGGAACTAAAAAATATAGTTCAATTTAAAATAACAAAGTTTGTATAATAATAATAATAATAAGCCATTTATTGGACATACTTCCACTTCAATAATATATAATAACAAAACAGGAAAACAATTTAAAAAAAAAAAGATGAAAAGGAGTGTCCAAAGGGACGAAGTTCAGTCTTGCCAAAATTAGGCGACTGTTCTACCACTTAATCCCAAGATGAGAGTAAATTACTGTCTGCTAATTAGGAAATGGCGTGCGTACATGTAGCTTAAAATGATCAGAGGCTAAGGTTTTAAACGAATCAGGTATACACAATAGAAATTGTTTGCTAATTTAACCCACCTCGTAGCTCGTATATGAACACCCTGTATAAAGCCGCCATAATTAATTTTAAAGTATACTCTATTCATTTTAAGAAGGTAGCGGGAGAAATCATAGGGAAACTTTGACCTTCGAACTAAACTGTCGAACTGACATTAGATGTCATTTTTAATGATCCAAACGTGAAATCTTTTGATTTATATTCATATTTTTCAAATTTGGTGCCGTTTTATATTTATCCTGTGTGTCTATCGTTAAACACAGCGCCATCTACGACCTTCTTATAATGAATGCAGTATAGGTAGCATTTTAGTTTGGAAAATACTGAATAAATTTTGGCAACATGGCATCAACACACAAGAACCACAATGTATAGAAAAAAGTGAACACATTTGTATAGCAACGACTCTTAATACTTTGTACTTCGTTTGTGTATTTCCGTACCTAACCAGAAACATTATAGGAATCAGCCTCCATTGTTGGCGACGATAAAGCCGTCAGCGAAAAAGAAAACAGTATTTTAGAACGATACAGGCCTATCCTAAGCGCGTTCCTACGCGAGCAACCCTCTTTGCAACTGATCGCGGTCTATTCGTTACAAGTTCACTTCTGCGAGTTAGGTTTTCCTCGTGGTCAGCTGTTGCGATGGTTTAACGCTCTCTACAATTTGGAAATAGTGGAGGAGGAGGCATTTCTAACCTGGAAGGAGGACGTCACCGACGCTTATCCGGGCAAGGGTCAGGCCTTGTTCCAGGTACGGAAAAAACTCGTCGGTTCGATCGGAACGATTTAGTAATTTATTTATGTTTAGGTTAATCAGTGGCTGACGTGGTTGCAAGAGGCCGAATCGGAGGAGGACGAAGGAGATGAGTAAATCGTGATACATTCACTTAGGCAAAATGTTAGGATATAAAATGAAAAAGGAGAGTTTTCTCATGTTTTGTTTTTGAAGTCGGCAACAAAAGTATTTTAAATAGCAAACTTGTCCCTTTTAGCTTTATTTGTTTAAAACTTTCAAATGGCACTCCACGCTGAGCGTCCATTGATCATCTTAGTGGAATTGTACATTATATTATCGTCGTTCGTCGTGTGTGACCGGTTTTTTATAATTTAATTAATGAACAGTAGTCGTGATGTTAGATCTGTAAGTTGTGTCTATAAGTATTGTTTTCCAAATTATATTCAAGATTTACAAACGAAAGCGTAAGTGTTCTACACACATCTTACCTCTTTATAGTCGTATTTTTGTTTTACTAAGATTTTTCCGAATGTATTTTTACTTTTCCAAAGTCTGTATAGGTTTACTCTTAAAACAAATTAAAATGTTTAGTTTTAATTTACAAAGAATTTAAAAGTACTTGCTTAGCTTAGTAGAAATTCATTCTCACCACACAAATTTAGTTCAATTTTATTCTCAACTGTGAATTTTGTGTTTGATTAAATAAACAATTAGGTTGGCGTCTTGATTAAAGTATCCCTATTCAAGTTTTGCGTTGCGCCATTGATAATTTGTGCCGAGCGGTTTTCAATTGATCTATTGATTTGTTTCAATTTGCGCCTTTACAATTTATCTGCTGACTTTCTATTTATTATTATTATATGACAGATGGATTTTGAATTTCATTGTCTTTGAACTTAGAACTGATATTTTGGTTATTTGTATTTTTTATTTATTTTATTCACGTTTTCACCTCCTTGATTTTTTACGTTATTTGAAATTAAAAATATTTGGAAATTAACATTTCTATAATATAACGGAAATTAGTTTTAAACACTTCTGCCATCTTTTATGCGCCGTGGAAACCTAGGTGTCTCTATAAAATGCAATATTGCACATAATATGAATATAACAAGTGATGCATCAATAATTTTCAAAAATTCCAAAAGATATAGGGGATTCGTATGAAAAAATGTAGTTTTGGGTCATATAAAAAATACAAACACCCTGTATAATAACTGTATTGTGATAGATTCTCATAAAACTGTTCTACGAAAATTTTGCCAAAATCGAAATGTCTTAAATAATAAATGGACTAAATTCGAGAAACGCTCCCTAGCGGCCAAACAATTAGAGTCCATTTTTTCTCTTAAAGGGTGTGTCCATAAGAAACTGAACCACCCTGTACATATGCAGTGATGTAAACATTTCACAATATAGCAACATTGTATAAAAATATTCCATACAATTATTATTACTGAAAATAATATTTTATTTATAAAATACTATCGACAACATTCTTGGATATATTAACAATATTCAGTTATAAGCGAACAAAGGGATAAATAGATCCCTATTTAAATAAATTTGGTCTTGGAAGTTCTTACAGCCCCTTTATCAGGATTATGATTTAATCTTGACACTTTTTGAAACCGAAGCTTTTATTCCAGATAATTCACCTCCGTATCGGGACACTTCAGTACGAACTTGACGTACCGCTCCTTTGCGCCGTATCAGCGCCTTGCGATACTTGTCCCTATTCTTCACTCTTGGGTTTCTCTGTAACTTGTTCCTGTGGGGCGTTAAACCCTTATTTTTAGCAATCTGATAAGTAATCGCTCGTCTCGGATCTTCTTCTTGGTTCATATCGCCATTTTCCTCAACCGCCTCCGCATTTTCTTCCACTTTTTCCTCCTCCGCATCCTGTACTTTTGGTTTTTTCAATTCTTTACACGTTTCATCCATTGGCTCGGACCGCTTGCTTTTCTTTCCAAGTTTACGTAATAGCTTTAGCACCTTTTTCGGTTGCACATTTTCGGAATTTTCCTAGAAAAATGTTCTTGAACACACAAATGAAGCAAAGGATCCTTACATTATTTTTAATTATTGTTTCTATTTGCGACTTTATAACTTCCTCGAAAATGGGATCCAACTGTGCTAGTAATTTTCGGAATTGGTACAAGCGCTTAATTACTGGGTGGTTCTGGACGTTTACTCTTGACGCCTTCAGGAGTAAGTACATGTTAATGTTTGTGCAATAACTACAAATGAAAAGTAATTTATGAGGTTTGCTCGAGGCAAACTTACTTTGTTATAACTTCGTGGTATACTTTCACAAACTGTAGGGCGTTTGATTCCTGCACTCTCCCCTGCCTCGACAATACCAGCAGTGGCGATAAGAAATCCGCCACAATCTGCATCTTACCTATAACTTCGTTAATCACTTACACCTCTCCTGTGAGACTTACTTTTAAAGTCCTCCACTAAGCCAAAGAACTCCGGCGACTCCTTATGAAACAACTCAATTTTCTGTCTTTTACTCAACTTGGATATGTCGGTCTTCACGACCTCTTCAGCTTGTCGATCGTCTGCTTTCGTCGACTAAAACAATTGCCAGATCAGATCTACTCGCCCAGAACTCCAAAAAACCTACTTTAGCAGTAACGTCAAAGGCAAAATCGTCTTCGTCCATCTGCTCCAAAAGTTGCTTTTGCAAATTCCTCGCCTCCTCCTCTTCGAAATCGGCAAGCGCCGCATCTTGCCCTTGAAAGCCGCCGTAATCCTGATCCACGTAATCAGTCGAGTAAAAGTCGCGTTTGTCCTTGCCCCAAGCGCGCACGTTTGGCAAATCGTCCTCCTCCTGACCTTCGACGTCACTTAGGGCGATATCGCTGTCATCCGAGCTGGATCGTACACCGTACACTTCCACCTACACCCACAAATCTGTAAACGTAGACTCGGAAAGCTGACTTACCTCACTGTCTGATTCTTCCGCATTTTTACTTAACACCTCTCCTATTAGCTCCCGTTCCTGGGATGTGTAGTCGTCGTCTGAATCGGACGGTTCATATTGAAAGTCGTCGTCGTCCTCAGCGTCTTTTCTAAAAACGAAAAAAGAGTGAACTATGTGTGAATGCAAGTAAAAGTGTACCTGGCTTGTTTCGAAGACATTTGTAACGTTTCTGAGGTTATGAAACACGTTGAGAAAATGAGGTTATGTTGTTTTGATGAATGACGGAGGTGTCTAAGCTAACGCAACTTTTTATGGGCAAAACTCTACAGTAAGCGTCACATTTGTAGTTTGTTTATTTAGTTGGAATGGGGTGTGGGGTGGGGCCAACGTAGTATGAAAGAGACTATGTAATGACATTTAATTTTCTACGGCGATATCCACCTTCGAATAAATTAACTAAGGAAGTAGCACAGAGAAAATACAAGAACATCTCTCAATCCCTCACATTTTCATTACTTAAGATCCCCCCCCCTCCCCAACCATGCCTTTTGGTCATTGCTTTTTTCCGTTTGCAAAATATGCGGTTTCTTGAAAAAAATCTGACTTGTTTGGAACCTCTGTGCCTGATATGTTTAGATGCACTGACGTCGCAAAATTTTTGTGTCCTTACGACTTTCAGAGGTCAAATTCGGGTCATTTTATCTTATCGCGGGTGCTCGTGAAGGACCAGCAGGAAAGTGAAAGCTCCCGTTTAAAAAGAAATTAAATTCATCAAAAACATGGGGCGAAAATTTGTGGTAGGAGGAAATTGGAAGATGAACGGTGACAAGAAACAGATCTCCGAAATAATCGAGTTCCTTAAGGCTGGTCCTTTACATCCGGACACGCAGGTTATCGTCGGGGTGCCCGCGATTTATTTGGAGCACGTCAAACAGAGCGTACCGTCGAACGTCGAGGTGGCCGCTCAGAATTGCTACAAAATTCCCAAGGGTGCTTTCACTGGTATGTTACGTAATGCTGAGACTGTTAGTTTTAAGGGTGAATTTTAGGCGAGATTTCTCCTGCTATGATAAAGGATATTGGCGTAAACTGGGTCATCCTGGGTCACTCGGAGAGACGTAATGTGTTCGGGGAGAGTGACGAGCTGGTCGCCGAGAAAGTGGCTCACGCTTTAGATTCCGGCCTGAAAGTAATCGCCTGTATCGGTGAGAAATTGGAGGAACGAGAGGCCGGTCAAACTGAGGCGGTCGTTTTCAGACAGACCAAGGCTATTGCCGATAAAATTAAAGATTGGTAAGTTGCGTCGGTCTCTTGTAAGGTTTCGTATTACCCGATTCTAGGTCACATGTCGTCATTGCATATGAGCCAGTCTGGGCGATAGGAACTGGTAAAACTGCAACACCGGCGCAAGCACAAGAAGTTCACAAAGCGCTTCGTGGCTGGTTGTCTTCCAATGTGAGCGCCCAAGTGGGGGAGACAGTTTCAATTCAGTATGGTGGATCGGTAACTGCAGCTAATTGCAAGGAACTTGCCTCACAACCGGACATTGATGGATTTTTGGTCGGTGGTGCTTCTCTGAAACCCGAATTTGTGAATATTGTTAATGCTAAGCAATAAAATGTAATGACTTGTAATTGTTGTTAGTTGTGAGCTGGATGTAGTTTACTTTGTGCATTGTTACGCCTATTATATGCACACTGAACAATATCCAATAAACAAAAGGAGAACAAAATGAGAGACAATACTTTTGGTAATTTACCACAAGTAGAGCCACAAATGAGCACATTTTGATTGTGATTTAGAGGAAGTGTATGAGACTTTGCTATAGGTTTTAATTGTCTTCAGCTTACTCTACTTTTACATGATATAAAGTCTCCTGAAAGACGCCTAATTTTATGCAACCAAAATAACTTTGAAACAAAGATCAAAGTGAATATTCATATATTTGTTGTAAGTAGTTACTTTGGTTGCATAAAATTAGGCGTAAAAGTAGACAGGAAATCCCTACTAATATGTCTACTTCTGCACGAATATCACTGTATATAATTTAAAAAAATGAGTCCTAGAATTTATTGCAGTAGCTATAGGTAGCCTGTAACCTGAAGGTGTACCAGACAGCCATCAAATTTCGCTGTCTTAAAGAGGGGGTCCCCATGAAATACTTATATATATTTTTTTAATATTTATATGCTGTTTTTGAAAGTAAAACGTGCATAACTGTTACATGCTCCAACCAATTGGTCTCAGATTTTGCATACGCATGCCGCGTTCTACTCTTCTTGGTATTTTAATGAAAGGTCTCTTCGGAATAAATTGGTTTGTACAAAGTATAACTTTCCCACTCGACACTTTTTCGGGATCAGTGGGGGACGGGCCCTTAGGGGAGGGGGTTAGAAATTAATTTTATCTTTCATGGTAAAGGTCTCAACGGGGCGATCTGAGACAATTTTTTTTAAGGCCCGAAAATAAAGGCAGTGTATAACCTTCCTTTTTTCCAAAAATCGACTGCACCAAAATTTCTCGGGAAAACACTTTTTCTTATTAATTTTGGTGCGAAGAATCCAAAACAATTCGTACTTTTTCGATCAGACTTCTCAATCAAAAGTTATAGACCAGAAACCAATTTCGAAAGAAACTTCAAAGGGCTGGTAACTTTTGAACTAGTAGCCCAATCTTGGAACTGTTTGAAATTATGGATTCTACTGGCCACGTTCTATAAGAAAATTTTTTTCCGGGACGATCTGAGACAATTTTTTTTTAGGCCCGAAAAAAAAGGCAGTGTATAACCTTCCTTTTTTACAAAAAATCGAACTGCACTTTTTCTTATTAATTTTACCCAGGGCTTGGCTGCCAGCCCGGCCTCAACTCTGTGATCGCCCGGTGTCCGAGGGGCCCCGTAATCGACACTATATCGAGCTATAGCTGTTTCCATTACCTTTTTTCATAGTATTGCAAAGCTTTTTTTTTATAACATAAGTAATAGGTTTGAAGAGTCTTCTAGACTAGAGAAGTTTAATAGTTTCAAAACCTTTCAGATAAGTTTTGAAGACTTTTGAGGCAACTTTAAATGGTTTTAGAGTTTGGAAGAGTTTCAAATGATTTTGGTACCTCGCCTATGTAACTGTGTGAAAACAAGTGAGTACCCAACACTCAAAGATAGGTACCTACTTCAAATTCTTTTTGTTAGGTATCTTTGAGGGGATTGGGTGCCCATTTGACCCTACTATACGTATCTATACATACCTAATCAATAGGTAGGTAGGTACTTATGTATAGATCGAAAGCTTGCGAAACTAGGATGGTCTTATTATATGTCAACTGTGAGATGGCCTCTCTTATAAGACGTAGTCCCATTTGACCTTATGTTCACGTCTATAGGTTAATATCAAGTGATGGGATTACCTACAGTGACACTAAGGGTGCCATAAAGTCCCTCCAAAACAATATAACATTGATGGGGCTGTTCCTAAACCTCTTTATTAAACAGTTTTTTTGTTTCAAGGCTTGAATAGGTACTTTATTTTTGTATACAGTAGTGGAAGGGTGAAACTAAAATTGGGGTACAGGACCCATGCTCCTAAAAATGGATCTCTGTTTAAAGTTTGCCACAAGATCCCTTGATCAACAATAATAATCTAATAAAGTATAACAATTAGCATGTGACTTTTTATAAGAAAGTACAAAAAACCTTTATTGAAAATTCATACAGCAAAAGATGAACATATTAATTGAACTCCTTATAATAACTATCCACCGCATTTGAACATTGCCTTGCTCGGTTCCTGTCGACGTTAAAATCATTTTTCATCCAGTTTTCGAATGCGACAGGATTGCGACTTTCGACCAGATACTTTCCGTAAACTTGAGACGCCTGGAATTAAGGTAATTACGGCTTACGTTGAAATGGATTAGTATCGTTACCTGAGTAATGTTTCTCTCGTTCATTCGGGCACTGGTCACCTGGCCGATACCGGGCAAATGGTTTACTGGCTTATTACCCATTGGCTCTTTAACAAAGTTTTGGTGTTTCACCGAAGTAGAAGGTTGCTGACGTTGAGCCATCGCAGTTTATTCTTTATTTTAATTGAAGAAACGAAATGAAAGGCTACAGCTCTTTACTGATTGACAACGTGACCGGAAATGCAATAATTTTTGTCGTTCGACAGTCGACACTGATTTGAAGGTCGTGATTGCATTTCCGCGTTGATCCTCAAAAGGTGGCGGCATTCAAGGTTAATAGAGAAAGTATGTAGGTTGCCCTGTAACTTTCAGCCAATAAACGATCAGTATTAAAATACGCGAATGACGTCACCCAGAATCCCTTTGTCCATACCACATCATAAATATAAGTAACAAGGGATTAAAAAGAGTGTTTGTTCTTGAAAGAATGGTTTAAAGCCCGAGGCTTGCCGGGGGCTTTAATATTCTTGAGGGAACTAGAACAAAAACACTATGGTTAACACATTAGGTTCGGATATTCCAGAGATGTCATACCGATACATCTCGTCGGTTATTGTTGCAGAGTTCTTGCTCTTCCACTTTTAGAGTCATCTTCAATGGATTCCCGTCCCCACCGTAACTGTTTTGCCCAACATTTTAGGTAACGGTTTGCGTGAAACAGCCTGTATTCTAGATCCTTTTCGGATATGATTTGATCAGTTCTGGAACAATCATTGAAAACTCTGTAAAGAGCTATACCTGTTTCCATTACCTTTTTTTTAAATAGTGCCTATCTATTGAAAGCTTTTTTGCGTCACATATGTTTGCAGGGTCATTTAGAAAGACGCCAGAAAGTTCTATCAAACTTTCGACTTTCCATAGTTTCAAAATCTTTCAGATAAGTTTCAAGGGGGCTTCGAGAAACTTTACAAAGTTACAAAATTACTTGAGACACCAACTTTAAATGGTATTGTACAGTTTGGGAGAGTTTCAAACGATTTCCGTACGGTATAGCGCTTATGGACATTATCCCACATGAATATTAAATTAATGCAAAGAGTAATTATGGTTACTCTTTGATTAATGAACATATCAAAATCTGCTCACGACTGGAAAGTAGACAAACTTCCTAAAGGAGTTTTATGCGAGTGCCGCCACCTTTTGATGATCAATGAGCAAATGCAACCATGACCTTCTCATGACGCACAAAATTAATAATCACCTGCATTTCCGGTCACGTTGTCAAACAGTAAAGAGCCGTAGCCTTTCATTTCGTTTCTTCAATTAAAATAAAGAATAAACTGCGATGGCTCAACGTCAGCAACCTTCCACTTCGGTAAAACACCAAAACTTTGTTAAAGAGCCAATGGGTAATAAGCCAGTGGACCATTTGCCCGGTATCGGCCAGGTGACCAGTGCCCGAATGAATGAGAGAAACATTACACAGGTAACGGTACTAACCGATTTCGACATACCTACCTAAGCCGTAATTACCTTATTCCAGGCGTCTCAAGTTTACGGAAAGTATCTGGTCGAAAATCGAAATCATGCCGCATTTGAAAATTGGATGAAAAATGATTTTAATGTTAGCAGCAAACGAGCGGGGCAATGTTTGAATGCGGTGGATAGTTATTATAAGCAGTTCAATTAATATGTTAATCTTTTGCTATATGAATTTTCAATAGTGATTTTGTACTTTCTTATAGTCACTTAGTTTCGTTATATACTCCATTAGAATTATTGTCGATTTACGGATCTTTGTGTGTAAGCTTTACACTGAAAGATCCATTATTTAAGAGTATAGGAGAGTAGACTCTTCGTACATCAATTTTTGTATTGGCTGCTATACCAATTTCCACTCTATTCGCTGTATACACAAATGAATTGCTGTAGCACCAATGGGCTAAATAAGAAGTTCAAATTTTAGATGAAAACTATGGACACCTGCTGTATACTGGCCATCGCCTTCTAAGATACAAAAAAGAATTTGAAGTATCTTTGATTGTTAAGGGGGTAGGTACTCATCTGGTATTCAGTTACCTAACGTTTGCATTTGGTTTGTAGGTACTGTAAACTAATTCAATCATATTGACATAGCACTCCTAAACTTTTATAAAAATGATCATACTAAATTGTCAGTATTTGTACTTCAATTGCACCTGTAAAATGTATATTTAAGCATACACCAAAGGTTTCAAGTTTTTCATTACTTCATCTCCAGATTTTTGGGACTGTCCCTGACCGATTTTATGTATAGAAGTGCAGAGCACGCTCGAGTTTGCAGTTCATGTTTTGTGACTTCCAGAATACGCGAAGTGCCAACAGCTATAATTCCTTGGTGGGCGGATGAGCAGACAGTCGAGGGAGGGCTACCCTGTCCATTACGCCCTGAGGGTGAAAAAATTGTCCCCAAAGGCTGAGGAGTATAAAAGGCCAACGGGATTATAGGAATGGGGAAGACACGGTGCCCCTGCGGATATGCATGCACTCCATTCAAGAAGGCAAATTACTCTTTGTCTTAAGTCTCGCTTACGCGTCAGTTCTACACTTTCCAAAACCCTTTTCAATACTTTCCACAGCTAAACGTGCCTAAGACAAAAAGTGCAGAAATGCGAAAAAGCTTGGAAAGCTCCCACATGGCCCTAATAAGTGCCAATAAAAAGTACGGGAAAAAGGACTCATTCTCTAGAACTTTCTAGGCTTCTTCTAAGGGTAGATAAGCGCTTTGGAGAGGACTGTAAAGCTGGGTGTGAGTCTGGATAGTGTTCTGCAAATAATTATAGTGTCAAGAAATGTTTGCGTTTTTTCAAAGCGAATATAGAGAAAGCTCGAAATCTTGGAACTGTTTGAAATTATGGATTCTACAGGCCACGTTCTATAAGAAAATTTTTTTCCGGGTCGATCTGAGACAATTTTTTTGGAGGCCCGAAAAAATGGGCCTTTTTTCCAAAAATCGACTGCACCAAAATTTCTCGGGAAAACACTTTTTCTTATTAATTTTGGTGCGTAGAATCCAAAACAATTCGTACTTTTTCGATCAGACTTCTCAATCAAAGTTATAGACTAGAAACCAATTTCGAAAGAAAATTCAAAGGGCTGTAACTTTTGAACTAGTAGCCCAATCTTCGAACTGTTTGAAATTATGGATTCTACAGACCACGTTCTATAAGCAAAATTTTCTTCCGGGACGATCTGAGACAATTTTTTTTTCGTGGCGGAAAAAAAGGCAGTTATTTACCTTCCTTTTTTCCAAAAATCGACTGCACCAAAATTTGTCGGGAAAACACTTTTTCTTATTAATTTTGGGGCGTAGAATCCAAAACAATTCGTACTTTTTCGATTAGACCTCTCAATAGTTATGGATTTATTTCTTTAGGTTTCGAAACGGCATCATTACTGGGTGAGTTCTACCCCTTGACGGTCTTCGATCGAAACAACTTTCGGACGAATCATCCGCCACTGACGATGCGGAGGGTGTCATGAAGGTTTGTCGGGACTGAAAAACATTCATCAACCTATCTAGATTTCGGCTATAGAAATTTTTACATTAAACGGTCGATGCGCGTTCATGCGAGTTCCGATACGCGAAGAATTGTTAGTTATGGACAAAAAACAAATTTCGGAAAAAAATTCAAAGGGCTGTAACTTTTGATCTAGTACGGGCCAAATTCTATAAGAAAATGTTTTTTCCCGGTCGATCTTAGACAATTTTTTTTCCGGCCTCAAAAAAAGGCAGTACTTTTCAAATATTTGAGAACAATTTAGAAATGTTTAGGGAAAGTTTCCATTATCACAAAATCAAATATAAAAATCCGATAATGGGAAAGTAAAATCGAGATTTTTCAAATTTATTTTTTAGGTAACCCAAGTTTGTCTCTTTTCATCAAGTTGATTCAGATAGAGAGAGACATATAATACAAACTCAAAAAGTACAGTGAAATATTGTCGTAAATTGCATAAAACTTAATGTGATACCTACACCTACTTCCAAAACAAAAATTAATTAATTAAACCTAAAGTTAAATTAAATTCATGATGTAACACAAACAACGTAATAATCATAGATCATGTGAGTCGCAGCTAATTGGATTTATTTCTTTAGGTTTCGAAACGGCATCATTACTGGGTGAATTCTACCCCTTGACGGTCTTCGATCGAAACAACTCTCGGACGAATCATCCGCCACTGACGATGCGGAGGGTGTCATGAAGGTTTGTCGGGACTGAAAAACATTCATCAACCTATCTAGATTTCGGCTATAGAAATTCTTACATTAAACGGTCGATGCGCGTTCATGCGAGTTCCGATACGCGAAGAATTGGTCCAAGGTGTCGTCGATTGAGGGAATAGCGTGGGGTTGCTTCCGAGAGCATTCGGCTGAATGGAAAAAATCGATGAGGACGCCGAACAATCGGATGTAGGAAATATCGGAGGTCTGTTCGGTACCGATTTGTTTCCAGATGCGGCTTTCAGCATATTCTGCAAAGGTAACCTTAAAAATTAAGCTTTCAATTGAAATTACCTGTAGCTGCAAATGAAGCGAGGCATTCTCTCGTTTTAAGTCGTGTAGCGCTCCGTAACATTTAACCATTTCTCCTTTTACAAATTTACACTTGTTCTTCAAGTTTTTTATAATTATAGTCTTGTTTTGGTCTTGAAATTTGGATATCTGCAACACGAGCTGTAAGTAACACGATTTTACCATGTATTTTCTGAACCTGTTTCGCTTGGTCCACACTATAGCTTAGTGGACGAAAGAATGGTAGCATTTCCGGGTTGAGGTTGTTATTTATCGGTATTAACTGAGCAGGTGATTTGCATACTGCACATTTTGTCTTATCATCTGCAAGGACAAGAAAATGGAACTTTATACAGAATTAATTGGGCATAGGTACCTGATTTTGCTGTGCAAGGTTCACATTTCATATGTCCACATGTTGTCACGTAAAAAGATACATTCGGACTGTATCTTAATAAACACAAATTGCAGTTAACAATAAATTCGGCCATTTTTGCAAAATTTGCTCAAAAATGACTTAAGGTTGAGACGCCAATTTAAAAATTCGAAAACTGAGTTGGTAGACCTGCGATTGAATTCGAAATTTATTCAAAAATTCTTGTCAAAGTGGAAAGCATTTGCAATTTTGAATAAGTTAATTTTGGCATAAATTAGATAATCGACTGCGGAATTACTTCCCATTTCTCGGCACCGCGTAAATAAAATATAAATATACCAATCGGAAAGTTTGTAGTTGGTAGCACTGGTTTCAATTTAAAATACTGTAGATTTAAAATTATCATAACCTCGATAACCTCCAAAATAGTGCCATAGTGATCAAGACGGAATAATGAATTTATGCGATTTGAAAATGCGAACTCCTGCGCCTTTTCGAAAATGATATTTCTCGGTTTTTTGGTCATGGCTTCGATATTTGTGGAACTACAAATGAACGGGAAAAATTAATCAGCATGTAATTCTGAATATCTTTGCCCATCTCTTACGGTTTACGAGATAGTGAACATGAAACTCGCCCTGTATAAAACTCTTCTGTAGGTAGCCTGGTTTGTAGGCAACACATCATGCTCAATGAACAGAAAACATTTATTTTTGCAATTCGTAACTTCTTATGCATAGGAGTTTATTTAAAGCCCTTGGAAGAACAATTTCAATAACAGGTACATTAAACTAAACCGTTTTACAACAACTTTCACACGAAGATCGCACAAACAACACATTTTTTCGTGATTGCAAACTGCGTAACACTTTTGCCTTATTCCGCTGCCAATTTCACTACCGTTTCTATAACCGTAGTTCTATCAAATAAACTCTAGACTGCTGTGAAGATTGCTACCGCGGCCGTAGCTAACTGCGTGACCTTGACCGAATTATGTTTAATTTGTAGGCGGCGTTGCCACGTTTAACGTAGCGTAATTTAACTTCAAATCAAGATTGTAGGATTCTACAGCATTAAAACAAAAAAATCAAGTGACTATATTGTAACCACAAGCCATATGAGAATGTAATAATAACGAATAAGTGACTTTAACAACTATTATTAACATTTGAATAAAAAGTACCTATGATCATGCCCTAGAGTTACGCACCTATCCTGGCGCCTTGAAATTTTTTACCAGATCTTCCTCTTATTATAAGACATGAAAAACCGCAAAGACATTTGGGGCCACTCTTCGAATTTTCGGGAAAAAAATTATTCACCCCGTAGCTAACGATCGCCCTGTAGAGTTCCGCGCCTATCCTGGCGCCTTGAAATTTTTACCAGAGCTTCCTCTTATATATAAGACATGAAACCGCAAAGAACATTGGGGCCACTCTTCGAAGCTTACTCTGAACGTAGGCCCTAAATCGGATTCCCTACGTCAGTTGAAGCTAAAATTATAGACTGCTCGTAGTGCAGACCCATTACAACAAAACTTCATTTGGGCATCAAGCCTAGCTTACTCTGAACGTAGGCCCTAAATCGGTTTCCCTACGTCAGTTGGAGCTAAATATAATGAACATCTTTTACAACTAAACTTGTATTCCTTACGTGAGCCCAATAATAATATGAATTGCACAATGCCCAGTGGGACAATAGGGCTGAAACTGTTATGTTTGTCACTATCGAGAACACTGTGACCAAAATAACAAATTTTGGCGAACACCCACTTAAAAAAAAAGTAACGAGCCAATGACAGTACCTCCAGGGTGGTTTGGAAATCTTGTCCATATAATAATGATACGAAATACAACTTGTTGCCTACTATTTTTATTAATATCACCTTATTATCAATATATAGGTACTCGTACTTACATTTACAAAAATTAGAAATGAATTAGCAAAGTAAAAGTACAATACCTGCAAATTACTTTTGTAGTACGTACACTCGAGTATATTAATGATAATGTTATATTAATAAAAATTGAACCTACATAATAGTATTGCGTACAATTATTATATTTTAAACCCAATAGCAATCAATAGATTATATTATTTATTAGCAGAACAGCGCGAATTAAAGAACTTTTGGACCCAGAAGCGCTAAAAATTCTCAGGCAGTTTGGCTCCTAGACAAAAAGGTATTGTTAAATTTCAAAGTGCTCGTTATCGTTTCAGACGCACTTAGGTTTTTTAAATTTAAAATGCAATAATGCAAATAAATATGATAAGCTTAAATTAGAGCAAAATGCTGACATTGACATGGAGACATTGTACGGAAAAAATATTTTTTTAAAGGCATTCTTTTTATTGAAATTAAGATAACACAAGTGAGTCACCTACATACATGCAGGGACACACATCTCGCAAGCACAGGAAACGCAAATTTTCATAGATCCCATTGTTATTTGATGATACTGAGTTACTGTTTGCTAATCAACCTTCATGAGTGCTGAATCAGAGATTTTCCTTTAATTTTAAACACGCACGTGGTACATCGGTGATATCACTGCTTTTTTTGTGGCGCACCTTCGTTCGGACACTAGGTAGTTACTGTTTTAATCTTCGTCATGAAAATGAACTATGGAATTAAATTTAACAAGTTGCCCAAGATGCAAGAGACAATCGCGAGCCGCAGGACCGGGCTCTAGGAGCGACCGAGCTCTGCGGCGCCCACCCAGTGCGCCTCATCGTGTGTAATCAGCAGCTGATAATAAATTATTCATATGTTTCATTTTTGTTTCAGATCTGAGAGCAACGCCACAAAGCAGATGGTTCCGTTTCGGCCGGCGCACGACTGCCCGACAAACATTTGTATATTCCTTAACAATGTTTCATTTTCTTGCTTATGTTATAATATCAATTGTGTTTATACTTTCTTTCTTTCTTTCAATAAATGTATCAGCTACATTCCTGATCTTGCATCTTGAATATTGTATTTTATAATGAAAGGTAATACAAATTCAATGGTAATACCAAAGGTGAGTGACAACTAAGACATTTGCTATGAATTGATCAATACTTCCCGGAAGGTGATAAGTACGAGAAAGGACAATTGATACATATTATATTTAACATTTTAATTTAACATTTAATACATATTTTTATAATGAGAAAATTATTGGCATTGTGCGCATCTTCTTTTTAGTATATGAGAAGCATTATCCCAGTCAATCGACCACCAAAATCGTTAAATAAAAATAAAAACATTAATATATTATATAATGTTATATTATTATAATAATAAATATTATATATTTATTAGACATTATACATGGTGCCCGTTTTTCGAGCTCCAACATGGGGATCTCGGTAATTTGAAGAGATACAATGTAGTTTAAATTGGGGCAAACTTGCGTATTTTAGTGGCCAATAATATGCCATTTCGAAAATTCGGATGTCTTTAGAGGTTACCGAGATTTTTGAAAAAAAAACTGAAATTTTTAATAACAAAATGTAGACGCTTCAAACTACAGTATTTTTCGCAAAAACGATTTTTCCATACTTGAACGGTGTCTTAAAGTTAAAACATATCCTATTATGAGACATTATTGTGAAATGGAAAAATCTAATATGGCTGCCATTAGAACTCAAAAAGTTATCTAGTGTAAGTCTAGCGCGCTTTGACTATTTTGATAACATATTTGGATTCCTCATAAAAAAATGCTTGAATAATGTTTTAGGTTAAAACGTCTACTTTTTGTTATTTTTAAAATAAAAGGAACTTTCGGTAGCCTCTGATGACATCCTAATTTTCGGAATGGCATATTATTAGGCACTAAAATACGCAAATTTGCCCCAATTTAAACTATATTGTATCTCTTCAAATTACAGAGATTCCCATGTTGGAGCCCGAAAAACGGGCACCCTTTTGTAAGAAACGATTGTTGTTACCCTCACAACTAGCCGAGTTCAACTGAACTGCTGTTGAACTCGGTATGAACAATTGGCCCTATATGTGGTGGGTGCGCCACATGCCGCCTTTTCTCCATAATCATATATTTACAAAATTCGAAGAGTGGCCCCAAATGTCTTTGCGGTTTTTCATGTCTTATAATAAGAGGAAGCTCTGGTAAAAATTTCAAGGCGCCAGGATAGGCGCGGAACTCTACAGGGCGATCGTTAGCTACGGGGTGAATAATTTTTTTCCCGAAAATTCGAAGAGTGGCCCCAAATGTCTTTGCGGTTTTTCATGTCTTATAATAAGAGGAAGCTCTGGTAAAAATTTCAAGGCGCCAGGATAGGCGCGGAACTCTACAGGGCGATCGTTAGCTACGGGGTGAATAATTTTTTTCCCGAAAATTCGAAGAGTGGCCCCAAATGTCTTTGCGGTTTTTCATGTCTTATAATAAGAGGAAGATCTGGTAAAAATTTCTACAGGGCGATCGTTAGCTACCGGGTTAATAATTTTTTTCCCGAAAATTCGAAGAGTGGCCCCAAATGTCTTTGCGGTTTTTCATGTCTTATAATAAGAGGAAGATCTGGTAAAAATTTCAAGGCGCCAGGATAGGCGCGGAACTCTACAGGGCGATCGTTAGCTACGGGGTGAATAATTTTTTTCCCGAAAATTCGAAGAGTGGCCCCAAATGTCTTTGCGGTTTTTCATGTCTTATAATAAGAGGAAGATCTGGTAAAAATTTCAAGGGGCCAGGATAGGCGCGGAACTCTACAGGGCGATCGTTAGCTACGGGGTGAATAATTTTTTTCCCGAAAATTCGAAGAGTGGCCCCAAATGTCTTTGCGGTTTTTCATGTCTTATAATAAGAGGAAGATCTGGTAAAAATTTCAAGGCGCCAGGATAGGCGCGGAACTCTAGGGCATGATCATAGGTACTTTTTATTCAAATGTTAATAATAGTTGTTAAAGTCACTTATTCGTTATTATTACATTCTCATATGGCTTGTGGTTACAATATAGTCACTTGATTTTTTTGTTTTAATGCTGTAGAATCCTACAATCTTGATTTGAAGTTAAATTACGCTACGTTAAACGTGGCAACGCCGCCTACAAATTAAACATAATTCGGTCAAGGTCACGCAGTTAGCTACGGCCGCGGTAGCAATCTTCACAGCAGTAACTCTAGGCTCAATTCTTTAAAGAATAGCTTCGCACCATCGGCAGCTGCTGCAATCATGTAATTGTTCCGATTTTACAAAGCATTTCCCTTTTCAATTTGTGTTGTCTGAATTCAATGCTAACGCTTCTCATCCATCGAGAACTACATGTCTTCGATTGCACGACCCAGAGCGAACAGTATCATATTCCGCAAAGGTTGAGTCTGCCGCTTTCCTGTCACTCCCAGTAGCCAGTTCTCTAATTTAAACCTGTAAGCGAGAAAGGAATGATAACAAAGTTTAATTTTTGACTATAAAATAAACAAACATTCATTAAGCATTTGAGGTTAAAACTTCATATATCTATGGTTTTTAAAAACTGCGCTCTGACATCTAACGTTAGTTTCATAAAGTACATTTCAAAAATAGTGTGGAGTCATCTTCGAGGTGTAAGTTCCAACTAAAATAATGGTGGTAATAAAGTGTCCTGCATTTAGCGATAAAATGTTAGTCCCCAATAATAAAGACAGATGTCAGCACGATGTATTCTGCTTTGATTCCAAAAACTCGGGCAAGGCTATAAACATTTTGGGATTTGTGCCTTTCGCTGTCAAAGGAGTAAACCACGAAACTCGAAAATTAAACATTTCGCTCCTGTATTATAGCCTATTCCTTTGCGTCATAGCGTTTTTGGAATGCCAAAGGACAGGGCGGGTAAACGGACCTCTTTGGTATACCTATCGCTAGATTTTTGACGATTTTAATAAAGTATCTGTTCGCAATACACGAGTTAAATCGCCATAATGGGCTACTACTTCAAAAGTTACAGCCCTTTGAATTTTCTTTGGAAATTGGTTTCTAGTCTATAACTTTTGATTGAGAAGTCTGATCTAAAAAGTACAAATTTATTTGGATTCTACGCACCCAAATTAATAAGAAAAAGTGTTTTCCCGAGAAATTTTGGTGTAGTCGATTTTTGGTAAAAAAGGAAGGTAAAACACTGCCTTTTTTTGAGCCCCGAAGAAAAAATTGTCTCAGATCGTCCCGGAAAAAAAATTTTCTTATAGAACGTGGCCTGTAGAATCCATAATTTCAAACAGTTCCAAGATTGGGCTACTAGTTCAAAAGTTACAGCCCTTTGAATTTTCTTCTAGTCTATAACTTTTGATCGAGAAGTCTGATCGAAAAAGTACAAATTGATTTGGATTCTACGCACCCAAATTAATAAGAAAAAGTGTTTTCCCGAGAAATTTTGGTGTAGTCGATTTTTGGAAAAAAGGAAGGTTATACACTGCCTTTTTTTGCCACGAAAAAAAAATTGTCTCAGATCGACCCGGAAAAAAATTCTCTTATAGAATGTGGCCTGTAGAATCCATAATTTCAAACAGTTCCAAAGATACGGCCCCTTATTATTCCTTAAATGTCCTTGTGTCTTACAAGATCTGTAGAGCAATTGTAGTTTAAAGGCCCGGTTTTTGAATAGATAATTTAAATACAAGTACTACTGCGCCATCTCCTTGGCAATCGATACACTTTCTATTAATTATAGTTTTAGAAGTCTAGTTGAGATGTCGCCACGTACGCAACTTCTTTTAAAATTTCATTTGAATTTATGCGATTAATAGCAACGTCGCACTTATTATTCCTTAAATGCTGTGCCGTTTTTAAGTTTTTCGGGGCCCTGGGCCATTCCTTCGTGGAGGCCCTCCTTACCCTCAATAAAAACGGCAGATTGGGGGAGATTCAAGCAAATCCCTAATTTGAATATGGGCACTCGATATTTGTGTAGCCTGGTTTGTAGGCAACACATCATGCTCAATGAACGGAAAACAAAAATAAATATGTATATCCCCCAAAGGGATTTTTTAAACCCTTGGACTTGCTGTGTTGATGGCTAAATTACTACAGTTGCATCACTCACATATCCACAAACAACGCGAACTATTTATTATTGCGGTGTTGAAATTAGAACTATTCTGAAACACAATTTGTTTTGCTTATAGTTAACTCGAGTGTTCCCGAGCCCTCGCGATCAAAATACGTCATATTTCTCGGAAAGATTGCGTTCGTACTTTATTGCCGATGACTAATCTGTCATGGCGCCTCGATATCTATCGAGATTTCTGGAATATTCGCTACAACATGAAACCTAAATAATAAATTATTTTTTTAATTTAAATTATTAAATAACTTAACAGACTGAAGGTAAATTTAATAGTCAAGCGCGCAAATAAGCGCAACGCCTCTTTTTATCCAATGTCTCCCACTCTTAGCGCTAGGAACTTCAAGCGCGACAACGTAATTGGTTGAATGTCCAGTTGTTGACAATGTGCCAGCTCTTGTCAATGTTTTATAAACGGGACACTCGTATATACCCGAGGTAGGTGTCTTATGATACTCCTCGGGCACAAACCACACGGGTGCCATATCTAAACACGGATTTCGGGAATTATACTCCACTGAGAAGCAGACTCGCACCTGTATATAACTCCTTTGGATTAGACTCGTCCAAAACCATGCTGTTGGAATTCCATCGAGCACCTTCTACAAACAATCCATATATCACTACGCCCACAGTTTTTCGTATTTGGGGAATGTCTTTTAAGATCTAAAAAAAATCGACCCGTTATCCACCGTAAGACTTTGGTAGGACACCTGAAATCCAAACCCGATGGTATCTATTGACAATACAAGCGTACGTGCGTAATTTTGCAAAGTTCCAGTCAGAAAAGCCTGCGGGAAATAAAAACCCGATATCCAGAATGCGTTAGGAATACCGTTGGCTACCCAGGTGTCCAGAAATTTTACACGAGCAATTAAGTCCGAAACCCACGCGCCTACAAGTAGTCGATCACGAAGGTGACTAAGCGAGAGATCGGTGACCTAGTGGTTTGAGGGAGGGATACGCTTTGCTCGCCCAAATAGCCGGAACGCTGTTCTTGAAAAGGCTTCCCGTCATCTTTTCCAAGGTTTCCGACATAACAACCAGGCCTTTTAACGCTTTTAGCAGATCTTTTAAGGTTGTCTGAATTATTTTTAATAGTTTGTTGTACCGTATTGCTTCTTGTATTAGTACTGTGTTGAGAGACTCCTCGTAAAGTACCGGATATCTGCAATTAGTCGTCGAAATTGGTGGGGTAGAATGAACGCTTACTGTTCTGAGATGTATGCTAAGTCAAATTCCTTTGGCAAAATGTCAAGAATGCCTGTTGCTGCATTTGAGGTGACCTCTTCCTGACTGGCGGCGGCTCCTCCCACTTGTTTGGGCTGCAGGAGTAGCAAGGTATTGAGACAGGTGTAAGTGTACGCCTGAGCACAGCTTATATCGGCGTTTGAATGCAATCCGAACAGTTGAGGTTCATCATTTAAAGGCAGTCGTTTAATGTAGTCCAAGTACTCCGAAATAGGAGCTTCGGCAGATAACTAAGACAATAACGTTAATGTTAAAGGAATGCAAAACAACTCACTTGACGGTAAGCTCCGGTTTCATCAAAAACGTGTTCGTCAGTTACAACATCGGGATTGTAGTACTCTGCTAAAACGTTCATCAAACATCTACGATCCCAGTCATCAGTTACTCTTCCCCCGTAATTTATGTGACCCGCCGTGTAGACTAAGACTTTAAAAGGAATTTCGGAATACTCCAATAGGAACATGTGAAGCTGGGAGATACAAATTTTCAAGTCGCCATCAGTAAACTCGTACGGAATGTTAAATCCTAAAGGGCCAAATTTTCTTCGCTCCAACAAAACGCCGTGGAAAAGGCAGAGAGAGAACAGCAACCATTTGAACGTCGCTACTTTCTCATGTTCCGAATGAAAGAAATCGAGTAGATCGGAGACTTGGTTAAGATACGCCCTGAGCATATTCGCCTTAACACCGCGAGGTGGCTCAACAGTCATTTTCGCGCTATTCTGCAAGATCGACACGGGGAATTGGGGTGAAGGCGTCGACGTTAACCACAGCCGAAACTCCCTGTGCACTTGATCGGGATTTAACGTTTCGACGAGCCGCTCCAATCTGGGCATCCAGCTCGGCGCTAGATGACAGTTTTGGAAAAACACCCAAGATCCGACGTCGAGAGCGTCGGTCATCATTTTTTCCGCTCTCGGTCCTTGGCCCTGTCCCAAGGAAATCGAAAATAATCGCTTCGCCATTTTCATGCGATCAGCAAATTTGTACAAATCGGCGGCGGGATCGGTACCCGTCGATAGGACGAAAATTAGCGGAATTATCGAGGACGACTCCTTGAACATCGCGGACAGATCGGTCGTTTGCGGTTCGACGAAGCGCCGACCGAGGTGGGACGTGATGAAGTCTTGCATTCCGTTAGTCACCTTGTCGGGGCGCAGTCCTTTCAGTACGAATAATTTCTGAAAGTCGTCCAGTGACTTATTGAAAGGTGCCGGTAGCTCCTCACTAAAGACCGACAATTGAAATTTTGCAAATTGGAAGGTTGTCCTTACCGGTGCGGCTCTAGCGATTCGAATACCTTCTTGTAGTGAGATAGTTGATGGGGAAAAGCTCTCACGAATTCGCCGAATGAACTTAAATTTTCCATTGCCATAATTTCATTCCAAGCTTTGAGAGAGATCCATTCCGGTGCCGGATTTGGGGCGTCCTACATTGGTCCAAAAAAAGCAATAATATAAGTGCGCATGCTCAGAAAAACAGGCAAATGAACAGTCATGTCTCATTTCGTACCCGAAGTGGCGATCCTCCGGCTAAAAAGAAGTGCCATTCGTGTGGATCCACCTTCTTTTCATCCAATAAAATTCGTATGCAAAGGAGGAACGCGAAGAGAAGCTTGTGTTTCTCGAACAAACTTCTACACACATTGCTGTATAAGCTGAACGTTAAATACTGATTGACGATTTCGACGCGTTGATTAATATCGTCTGGAATGGGACATTGAAGGATCATTTTGCATTTAACTCCCGACCTGATTTCTCGGTTTCCGCCATACTGCCAATGAAAATATTTACGAACCACTCCAAGGAATACTGATACATAGGATCTACATTGGAGAGATCCATGACGCAGAAACACAATATTTGACCTCGGATTGCCACCGGAATATACTGCGCCCTAGTGTGGTCTATGTCTATTTGGGTAATCTCGGCAGCTTCCACCTTGCTCTTGATATCGTCGCTTTTAATTTTGGAAGCTTCCAAGGTGATTATAAATTCGATATCATCTACGGGTGAGCCTTCAGAAATACTTAGCTTGTGCAAGATACGATCCTGAATATCTTTAAGTTCGGCCTTCATTTGCGCGTTACTAATTACCAACTGACTGCGCAACTCTTCCAAATCTGGACGTTCTTGGGCCACAACTAGACCCAGTAACTGATCTTGTAAACCGCTGAGAGTGTACGATATAGTACTGGGCGATGGGCGTCAACTTACCTCGGCACCAAGGTAAAGTTGACCAGCAAGACTTTAATGGAAACCTCGGGAGTGTAATGGGGGTTGGGTAATTTAGTCGTGATGTACAATTCGAATTCGTTGTTATAAGGTACGATTACGTCTCCCAGCTTGACCACCCAATTGTTCCCCTGCTTAAACAACTGACGGAGTAGCACCGGATCGAGGGCCGGATCGAGTTCGGTACCAACGTTTTCGATGAGAACTGGCTTTCCGAAACGAATCGCAGATTCTAAGGTACGGATTAAGTCTCTATCGGCTTGTTTACATACAGAAATTCCCTTGCTTTTACCCTAAAACAAAATGATCCATAACTTCCGTATAGAATCTTAGGGGGGAAGTCAAACAGCTCTGGAACCTGAGCCAAAATCTCGACGATTAATGTGCGCATGCGCAGACTGCGCGATATCAATTTTGTTATTAACGTATTTTTGACATTTTAACTGCAGGTGCACACGTGCCGGATGGATGCGTCCGATACCGGACCAGCACTGGGTAATGGGGGTGTGTTGTATAGCCACTTAATTAGCATCTAATTATGCAAGATGTTTGATTATGTTCTGCTGACCTTACTCTACTAGGTTCATGGGCATTAAACTGTTGCCAATTCGGCAGGGACGCCATTTCACCTTAGCATTGGGAGGGGGGGGGGGGCCCAGCGCTAGTTTTGACTGCCTATACCTACTGTAATTTTAAGTTTCAAGATGCCTACTCCTTGTTGAACTTTTGTTGGTATTTTAGAAAGGGTAAAATATATTTTTGCAGGTACATAATACTTTTAATTATAATAAATGTGTACTTTTGTTTTTGTTACTATATAAACATACAAATTTACCAAATAGCATTTAATGTAATACAGTCGATGCTAATTTTGTCCACTTAATAACAGTGTTGCCAGAAACGCTTGAACGGGTCAATTTTAGTTTTGAGGGGGACGCCTAAATTAAATAAATACTACTTACATAACTTTAACCCTGAGAAGGCGGTGAATTGCACCCCAAAAATTTTAAATGGAAAGGGGTTGGTTAGCTCGAAAGGAATGTGCAATCCCTTTTCAGAAAATCCGATCAGTAGTTCCAGAGAAAACTGGATTTCAATAGATTTGAAGAGCCGTTTTAAATGTTTATTAAGTAGGCGTTGAAGTTGAAATAATTGATAGCTTGTGTCAGAAAACAGCAAGATATATGCTATATCCGAATTTGCGCCCCTCCACATCAGGGGTTTGGAGACCCCCCCCCCCCTTGAAAATGCGGGGACCGGGAATCCTTTTCCAAAATTAAGTTGAAGAGTTAAAGCTTTTTGATCCAAGACTTTCGTTTCTTTAAAATATGGAAAAAAAGATTACAAAATACAGTGTGCCCAAGATAAAGATGAATTGCATGGGGAAATTGGACCAGAAAAAAGTACACACTGTATGGAGTATCATTTTTTATTACGAATACAATTATGTGTGGCACAATATGATTTTTCATTGGGTATATGTCATTTACAGGAACCATCAATGAATTATTTTGACATCTTGTCAATGCCTACTACCAGGGGCGGACTGGGTACTTACGGGACATTAAAGTATTAGTGTAGTAATGACGGTGGCGGGGGGGGGGGGTAGCTCTGCGGTGTCATTTTAGTCCTTTTTCGGAAATCAATTACAATACAGTTTTTTTTTAATTGCAGCTGATAATTAAAACTTTTGATTGAGACGTCCGATCGAAAAAGTACGAATTGTTTTGGATTCTACGCACCAAAATTAATAAGAAAAAGTGTTTTCCCGAGAAATTTTGGTGCAGTCGATTTTTGGTAAAAAAGAAAGGTTATACACTGCCTTTTTTTGAGCCCCGAAGAAAAAATTGTCTCAGATCGACCCGGAAAAAAAATTTTCTTATAGAATGTGGCCTGTAGAATCCATAATTTCAAACAGTTCCAAGATTGGGCTTCTAGTTCAAAAGTTACAGCCCTTTGAATTTTCTTACGAAATTGGTTTCTAGTCAGAGGCGGGCCAGGTGGAATTGCATGGGTTACGGGCCCTTAAAGTATTAGTGTAGTAATGAAGGTGACGGGAGGGTAGCTCTGCGGTGCACCACAAAAACATTTTTTGCTTCATTTTAAAGTACTCCTTTTTCGGAAATCAATTACAATACAGGTTTTTTTTAAATTGCAGCTGATAATTAAAAGTAACAAAATATACAATCCAAACGAGGCGCGTCGCCTATCATTGTATTTCATCACTTTCATGCTACGACAAAAAATGATAAATTCATTGTAAAACAGAATTTTTTAATTTTTTAACAACCTAACATCAACCCCAATTAGAGAAACGTGTTAATAACTTATAAATTTCCAACGGGCCATTATGACGTACAGGCCAGGTGGCAATTGCCACCCCCCCCCCGGGCCAGTCCGCCCCTGCCTACTACATCAAAATGTTAAAAATTTAGAACAAGCCCTTTTTCTGCCTTAAATAATAAACAATTTTTAACATTTTGCTGTAGAAAGGCGTTGACAAAGTGTCAAAATAATTAATTTCGGTTTTTTTCGAATATCTTCAGAACTGACCGGAATTTAGGAATTTAAAATATCATTTTACTAAGCCCTAAAATACGCAACATTTTTCTAACTTAACCGACATTTATCTCTTATGGTTTCCGATCTCCACATGCTGTTCCTTCTTATCTTGGACACACTGTATATATTAAAAGGTGGGGGGGGGGGGGAGGAGTAATATCACTTTGTAACTAGACTGTTCATAGGCACTGTACGTACAGTAACTTTTAACATTTATTTCAATAATGTGAAATTTTTGTCCTTAAAAAATACAGTAATCTAAAAAATGGTTTCATGGCTAATTTTGTGCCCCCCAGTAGCGCAGCCTTTCGCCGCCGCGCGCCGTCTAGATACGGCCCTGGTTTGAAGTAACTTCACTACCTATCAGAGTATGCTCCTGATAGAACCTTCAGGACATTCAAAACAAGTAAAAATGTTTTCACCCTAAGCGAGTAACTTCAGCGCATTTTCCATAAATTGATCAGTACTTTCCAAAAGACCATACCTGGCTATGTGCGCTATGTTTTTTTTTACTAGAGGCATCTATGGTTAAAATTTCAAAGAAATATCTCCATAAATAAAAAAGTTGACATTGCGCATTCTGCGCATGCACACATCTGATTTTTATTATATGCGATATGTTTGCCTTTACTAGAAGTATATGTGGTTAAAATTTCAACAAAATATATTATGTTAATATAATATATTTCCTAAATTCACCTACTATTTTATTCTGAACATTGCAGCTTATTTATATAAATATTACGTACTCGAGTTTTTTTCCCACTACGCCTTATATGGCTTGGCTGTTTGCTTTTTAATTTTTGTTTATGTGTGTAAATATACTTACAGTCATGTAAAACAGTTGAGGAATAAATATTATTCTTATAATAAATAAGAAAGTTGACTGCGCATGCGCAAATTAATCATCAAGATTGACCTTGAAGAAACATATCGCGAATTGTAAAAATCAAATGTGCCATGCGCGAACTGCATTTCCTTAAGAAAAGCGCCGACGCGCATTCTTACCATAGTTTTAACCCACTTATTCGCTTGACCCTGCGGATCGATGAACAGAGGCCACCTTTTCGAGCACGAAACCAAAACGGCGTTCTCCGTTGATAAGTAATCGCGCGGCAAACCGTCCAATTGCCACAGCCTGATCACGACCGGTTCGCCTAACGTGGTAACCGGGTCGCATTTTTGGGAGTGTGGCACCTTTTGCTCTTTGAGTACCGACAGCCACTCGGAGAACAGTCCTCGTCTGTACTTGTCGGTGAACGGAGTTAGGTAGGCGACTGCGCCCGAGCAAATCAGTATGTCGCCGGTGACGTTGACCGTACTCGCCTCGATGTCGGCAATTGTTTGTATCCATCGATCTTTCTCGCCCGCGAGTCCACCAATTAAACGAATCGCGCGATTCATCCGCTCTTGGCACAGGGTGATGTTTTTCTCTTTCTCCTCCTTAAATTGCATTTTGGCGTTGAGCTGCTCGCTGAGCGCGTCCAGGCCCATTTGCACAAGTCTCATATTTTCCTTTGCCGTGGCCAATACACGCTCGGTTACGTCCAGTTCGTCCTTTGCCAGGGCCAGGGCGGCCTTTTTGGGAGCCACAATGAGATTGACGAAGTAAAACTTGTACATAGCGTGAACCCACGTGCACAGCGACATACACGCTTTAGACGCTTGCGCTATTTTTTGAGGGGTGAACGTAGGATTGTCAACGTAGGGTTTCAGTTGCGTGATCATTGCCTCCGTTATCGACTCTTTGTCAAAATTGAGCAGCGAGGACATGAACGCTCCCGGATCGGACAACATATTCCGCCCGGGTTCCCAATAATCGTTCACCTTCTCTCCCAGTTTAGCTCCGGCCACCTACAAAACATTGGCCAGCTTTGATCACGCCAGAAACAGTTACCTTTAGCGGCTTGATTCCTTTGCAAATGCAAATCGCTTCGATTACGTAGATGACTCCAATAGGCGGCTTTTTCATCGCCCGAACTTCCGTAATATCATTCTTGTTCAACGCCTTCAAACTCTGTTCGGCGGCGAGTAGCGCGGGCAGTGCTTCATCTGAAAATTTCAGGGGTAAAGTGTTGACTCTTTCGATTAATTAAACACCTAAATCTTTTTGAGCGTCCTCGGCGATAGTTTGCGTGACTATCTTTTTCTTCGTTGCTTCCTCCTCTTGTTTTTCCACAATCGCCTTGGTCTGCTCAGCTACTTCCTAATGAGGGACATTAGACATTGAACATAATAAAATAGATGTTACCGTGTCAGCAGCAATTTGCGCTATCATAATCTCCGCCTCTCTAGCCGCAACCTCAAGGAGAGGTTTCATGACCTCCAATTCCTCCTGAAGTACATTCACTTCAGCGGTCGTGGTCTGAAGTTTGTCCAGCCCAGTTTTTAGGCGACCCACCCCCTCGGTCAGCGATCCCTTCTTTGTGTTCATCAAGTTGGTGTAGCTCGAAAGTAGTTCTAAATATGACGTTGGGGTTACGTAATTGTGCCTGGATAATTCTTGTAAAAATAAGTCGCTCGCGTCGACAACGCTCGCGTGCATGAACTGGCAAACGACCACAATTCCATTTAACATCTCGTGAGTGACCTCCAATTCCTCGATCTCCTCTAAGAATTGCAGGGCGACGGACTGAAATAGGAGATATCTTTGACGTCGAAGAAAGTCGTATCGAAACCTGAAGAGCGGAATTTGGCCAGGCGCTGAACCAGTCAATTGTGCAGCAGTTTACCAAGGCGGGGAACTGACGCAGTCTTGCGCGGAAAATTTCTCCGATTGGGCTAAAAATTGCGTATAGGTGTGTCGCAGAAAGCGAACTTACCTCATAGTCAGGACAGTGTGGAGATTCGCGCGCACTTGCTTTTGATAAACCGAGTATAAGTTTGACTTCGTCGCCGGCATTCCCATTTCGGTCACAATCCCTTTCATCCCTTGGTAGATCTTATCCAATTCTTCTACTTGGTAGATATTGGGGACATCTCCGGAGTTGAGTATGTTATTTAAATCTTCCAGAAACGACTCTGACTTGATCTGAAAGTTGCGAGTCGGTGGTAATCACCACAATAGTAAAACAACGCGTTTAAATTTTGGTTAGTTCATATTTGTGATCGCTAGATGTCTCTCGAGTCGGTATATTTGTAAAGTAGTGTGCGCCCATGATACCGCATTCGGTGCTACTAATTCTAATTGAATCTTTCCTTCAGTAGATATCAGGTAATATCTGCACTGGCTTACTGTAATAGGCTTGTTACGTGTGGCATGTAGGTCAACTGTGCAAAGTTTGAACCGAATCGGTCCAAGCGTTTGGCAGCTATCGTGTTCATGGGCCGACAGACGGAAATTGCTTTGCTCTGCCGCTTAATAAACAACACCAAATATTTTAAATTGTTCGTTATTTGTACAACTAGACAATAAAGTAATTTTAACATTGGAAATGTTTATGGTTTCGTATAGGTATGTGCTGTATGGGTATAAATTTAAGAGTTTCGTTCACGCAGAAAAGGCAACGGTGTCGCATCACCGATTGTACTGTACTCGACCGTGATCGGTACGTGAAGGAAATTCTCCTTTGATATTGATATGCAGAACGGTGATGGGTGATTCGATTGAATAAGAGTTATTTGTGTTTTACATAAATGACGTTATACAGTTGTCATTTCCAATGTCTCCGATCGTTTGCATGAATTGCGAATTCTGTGAATGTCACACGATTGGTCAACTTGTGAAATATTAGCCAATCTAATTCTTTAACCCACAATTTAACTTTATAAACTGAAGTTTAAACTCATATTGTACAACTAGGCCTAAAAAAAATGACAGTACACGCTGAAATTAATTATATCATTTGTTTTAAGAAGATAGTTTGGTTGCATAAAATTAGGCGTCCTTCAAAAGAGTTTTTGTCATTTAAAAATAGACATAGAGAAAACAATACACAAATCCCTATATCTACTTGTAAATGAATATCACGTCTGTATGTATGGTATCTATGAACTTTTCAAATTATAGATACCATTTATTATGAATTCCATAATCCGGAAACATGGGTCATCCGAACGGGTTCTGTCAACTTTCGGATTATCCATACATTACTGAATTGTACTGTTAGAGTAGAACCTTGGTTAATGGTTACCTTTATACGTATATTTTTTGGTTCTTGCACCATGTTTTATACTTATTATACCGTTTTCCATATATTTTTTCATTCAAATTTGGACTTTAAACATTAAAATTGATTGAGCTGATTACAGTACAAAAAAGAGTGCATATACCACGTATCGGGTAACAATCTTCACCCTCGCGATTAAAAATGTTTAGCACGTTGGTATATAACATATTATTATAACTTACCTGTAATATAATAGCGGTTCCCAACCTTTTTTTATCTCCCGTACTCCTTGAGTAAGTTTTCCCTTAACAAGAACCCCCTTCTTGCCAACCTTCCCCCACCAATCATTTACATACAGACTTTTTTATTAACCTTAATATCAATTTAGTGTTAAAAGGTACAAAAACCTCTCTCAACATATGTATTATGAAGTATACAGAGTGCCCATTATGTATGGAATATAGTATATCTCGGTAAATATCGAATATATACAAAGTTTTTCTATATGAAAGTTGTTTAGCATTTTATTTCGCATAATAAGGCAGCATTCCATTGTTTTTATTTCAGAAAACAAATGACTATCGAAAAACAAGTGAATTTTTTGAAATAGCAATGCACACTTTCATTAGGCTCAAGGTCTTCAAGGTTTAATACGAAACGTACACGTTCAATTGTTTTGCAATTGTTTGCAGGATATCTGGATTAATGTTATTGATCAAATTATAATAAATGTTTTTGAAAAATTTTTTGAATAGAGGTGCTAACATGTTTATTATCGAAAAGAGAAAAAAATCTCTATCAAATGAACCTAATGAAAAGGTGCACTGCCATTTAAAAAAATTCAATGGTTTTTCGTTACTCATTTGTTTTCTGAAATAAAAACAACTGAATTCTGTCTATATGGGAAAGAAAATGTCAAACAACTTTCATATATAAAAATGTTGTATACATTCGATATTTACCGAGATATACAGGGTGTCAATTTTAAAACTTGCAGTCGGCCATATTTTCCAAACTAAAGAATATATTGAAAATCGCGCAAAACCGTTTCGGGGGTATCGAGGGAGAACCCGAATGACGTTATGAGTGATAACCCCCCACCCGTCCTTAACCTCCCAGCTCCCCCTATTAAAAAAATCCTAAATGGCAACCCCATATTTGTGACACATCGTTGGAAAGCTACTGAAAAAGGCTTTCCAGTGGTACCAATAAAGTCAATATTCATTAAGACAATTTAACAAACATTTTATAATTAACAGTCATAAACTAAATGTTGACATTGAGGGATTTATGGAAAATTGGCCAAGAACTTCAACCTGAGCTGATTCATATTTTTATTGACTTACAGTACAGCTGAACGTTTGGAAATAATATTCATTTATGCTCCGAAAATCGATCATCTTTTAGAACAGCTAGAACGTTTAATGAGAGACATCCCGAGAGAAATGTAAGTCATGCCTATGTTCAAGATTTGGTCACTAATTCGAAGAAACGGGATGTGTCATCAATAAAAAAAGAAAGCAACCAAGATTGCTTAATGAAGCAGCTCAGGTTGAAGTTCTTGGCCAATTTGCCATAAATCCATCAATTATTATATTATTTATTATTATTATATTATTATATATACTGACGGCCTCGTGGGCTTACTTTTTTCTCGCGTGGCTTATTTGTAATATAACACACTTATACCATAAATAACTATTATCCATGTTAATAAATAAAAAAATTGGACTGCGCAAATACAAAAAGTTGGGCGGCGCATGCGCAATATTTTTTTCATCTGCATTGTTGCTTGAGGTTTAAGGAATGTTTACTAATACAGAAAACCGAACATTCATATGTTCTTTGTAACAAGAATTATAAAAGAAACCCTTTTTTTTTGGCGTGGGCAATTTTTGGGTTGTAACTTTTTGGCCCGTTAGTTTACTCAAGCGAAAAACAATGGCGATCTTTACCTGTACCAAAGGGTACTCTTTGCCTGTACCTAATCAACTACTGTAATGGTTATTTACATAAGTCAGGAAAATGACATTACTGGTGAGGAAATATTGAAGTACGAGGCCCCGTCGAGGCCGAGTACTTTAATTTCCGAGTCAGGTAATGTCATTTTACTGACGAGTTTTGTATTATTATTTTATGACAAAGTAATTTGTAATTAATATTCAAATACTTTTTTTTAGTAATCTCCATTCCAACTCTGATTGTAAGTATATTGCTTAATTATGACGATATGAAATATTAGGAATACGATATGGGTAGAATATTTAAACTCGATTTACTGAACAGATGCCGATTGTTCTGTGACAATAATGAATGTAGTTAAGACGGGCATATTGTACTACTCTAAACTAGGTGGCAGCATATTCTGGTACACCTTTTAATACCATCAAGAATTGGCGCGAACCGGTTGACTTACTATCTTACTACGATATTACCTGCGTGTCTGAAAATAAAAACACGGTCTCCCTTTTGTGCAAACCGGCTTTGAGCATTAAGGTTTTCACATCCTCCCTCCACTCTGAATTACCGTAGGTTTTGCTGAGCTCGATTTGGAAGCTAATAAAGTCGGCCATGTGAGTCGACAAACGCGTTAAGCTTTGCCTTCCTGTAAACAAATTAAACGCGCGCTAGTACAAGAGGTAACATTACCGGATCCTCCCATTCCCAGTAATAACGCGTTTCCCATCGGTTGCCGAATAATTCTTGCAATACGACACACATGCGAAATGGCGTCAAGAAACAGCACAAGCTTCATGGGCCTTGTCGACTGAGCATTGTACTCGCTTAAATAGTGATCTAAAACGTTAGACAACTAAAAAGATCGAGATTAAGAAAGATCGGTAACAGACACATATACCATTTCCATGTTTGTAATATGGCAGTAGACACGGGAGTCAGAAGTGGGATCTAAAAAATCTCCAAACAGTATAGTTTCGGTTCCAATAAATTCAGCTTCCATTTTGAAGTTGGTAGACACGATCGTTTTCAGTAGATTATCGAACCAAACGCGATCCTGTTCGTTGACCAACCGATCTTGGAATACGCGACAACACTCGTGGTACCACAATATTAACAAATTCCTTAACGACTGAAACAAACGGTTCATTGCACTTTGGGAGCTTCTTTCTTAATCAATAAAATTTTCCGCAAATAAAGTAATGAAATGGAAGCACTACAATTAGAATCCATTCAAGTTAATCAATTTTGAAAGCATAAACTAAAAAGTGTTGACTTACAGACAACGGTTCCGGGGTCATCATCAAAACGCCTTGAATAACTTTACTGAGATCCCTTAAATTGAACGTGTAATGAGTCTTCGCCGGCGTCGGCAGCAATTCTCTCAAGATTGTCGAATAGACCTCCAAGCTGCCCAGGAGGAGCGGTTCGAAGTACGGGTTGAGATTTTGAGTTCGGTCAATCCAGAATTTCAATATTGTTCCGAAAATCGTAATCTAAAAGGCGCTCGGGTTTTGCAATTACCATGTAGCGGACGAGCTTACTTTACTGGAGTCCTCCAGCTCGGTGAACGCCAAATAATGAAAGTGTCTTAATAACCGTGCGGTTATCGGATTTCGTCCACCTCCCGGCGGTCCCATGGCCGCAGCAAAGTTGATATCGATTAATGTTCTGAATTCGCCGATATTTCTACGATCGTACCAGCCGTGGAAGTCCATCCACTGGCGGATAAGTTCAATCGGCGGTTGCGCACCGTAAACTTCCAATGCGGGCATGTTAAAGTCGTCGATGAAAAATACCTGCCTTTTTAATACCGGCGGCCCGAAGATTCCTTTTCTTCTTCTGTCCAGCTTTGAGTCGATCAAATCCTGCGTTTGGTTCGAAGTGGTGCGAGCGGAAAAATTGATAAAGTCGCAAATGAACTTCTTCGGCATGTTTCTACCCAACTTTCCGACCACGGTGAGCGTTTTTCCGGTACCGGTAGGACCGACGCAGAGGACGTTCTTTTCATTGTTCAAGATGATGCCGACGAGTTCCGCGTTTCTGATGTTATCGATCGTAGGCACCTCGATATCTGTTCGAAAGAGTAGGGGAAATTGAGCTTGGAGTCAGATTTAAAACCTGAATATTTTGTGTCGTTGGTTATTTTGCACGGTTCCGCGTTTTCCATCCAATTGTGCCAGGTTGGCGGCATCGGCTCGTTGTCGTCGGTTGGATCGGTGAATCCGCCGTCGTGCAATCTGAAAATAAAGCCCACTTATTGCTGGCGAAAGCTAGCAGTCCAAAAGTTCCAATTAACAAAAATAAGTTTGGTCAAACGGCCTGTAGCTCTGGACATAATAAAAGGTTTCTTATTTTAAGAGATACGAAATTGTTAAATTATATGTTCAGTCCTAAAATGAAACTAAGTACTCGCAGCGCATCAACTTCCATAGCTATAATGTTAATATTGATCTTATTACAAAAACAGCGGGGTGATCGGAAAACTTGATTCCAGTCGGGATCATTCGGGTCGAGTCCAGTCCGATATATCCGAGTCTAGCTGAGTCTACTTGAGTCCACTGTGTTATTTATGAATTATCTATAACCGCCGCGAGCCCATATCTCGATCTGTTCTTTGTGCTTGCTCTTCATCATGCGCACATGTTCAGTCGAATCAATTCGAGTTGTATTGATTCGAGTCCAGTCTGTTGAGTCGATTCGAATCGAGTGTAGTCCTGTTGGATCCAGTCGATTGTAGTCGAGCCCAGAAATTTTACCTTTTCATTGTGAACACCCTGTATCACTAATCTAACTTTCTCATTGTCAAAGTGTTGCTTTTTACTCGGATCGCATTATTGGTCAAATTTTATTTCCTAATGTCAAAAAAGGTCACTACGATTCATCAAAGTGTAGTCTGCTTATGGGAAATTTTATTTATTTATTGTCCCTCTTGTTCTAGGCTCTCAACCGGCTTACGCCCAATTACAGAGTAACATTAAGTGATAATTAAGTTTTTATACTGGTAGCGCTATCTAACGGTAAAACTATAGCACCTCCGAAAACCATATCGAAATTATTTTCTTAAATTATCGATCTCACAAGTAATCTAACTCAAAATAGACTTGAGCCTGCACATCTACACTATAGCAGAAAGCTTTCAGTGAAAATTTGAAGTCTCTAGCTATTGTAGTTGCTGAGATCTCAGCCGGACAGCCGGCCAGCCAGCCATAACGAATATAATAGCGTATTTTTTTCAAAAAATGCGCTAAAAATCAAAAAGTAAATAGGTTTCAATGAGCGCGTTCATAAGACACAACTGTTGTGGAACAGTTACACGTCTTATGATTACGTCGCTACTTTTACGCTCTTTACGGAGCAGTCGGCCATTATTAGTAGCGCTACACATGTCAAAGTATGGATTGTGACATAAGACCACAACTGTTAACTAACTGTTATGTCTTATGAACGAGCCCAATGTAGAGGTTAACAATTGACCATCCAAACAACTAAAAATAAACAGTGCTTTGTTTAAAAAATCAGTTATTTAATTACACCGTAAAAATCGGACACCCTGTATATTAAAAAATAATTTCTATAGACGCGCAACCATCTATAATTGACATTTGCACAAAAGGTAAAGGTTTTTACCAGGTATGAGCTAGGGGTCCTGACCCTGTATAATTAATTGCAATATCAATGCAATAAGTGTGCATTTTTAATTTGAAAAAATTTAAATTGGTTTCGCAACCGTGCGACCCTTGGTACGACGCGCCCCTAGGCCCCCGCCTTATGAGCCTAGTGCTAATCCAGCCCTGTCTGTGGCTGACGTGATGCTCATCGGAGGCCTTTGAAATGCGTAGCGTCCAAATGGCATTATAAAAGTCTATAACAACCGAGAGCCTATGGTCTAGTAGCTACAATTAGAGCCAGGGATTCGGATAGCTCGGATAGAATCGTGCTTTCGGATGGTACTCATTCATTGGGATTGGTGTAATCAACACATTTGCTTTGTCTTGGCACCTCTCCCACATACCGTTCTATATCTTATGTACTCGTATATACCTTTTAAATCCAAAATGTACAGGGAATATCCTGTCCATCTTATGTATAGGTATACCATGTATATTCATTATGGACATAAGTACCTATTTGATGTCCAGTATGGATATTTTATAAATATACATTTTGGATGTAATATGGATGTTTAGGCACACATAGTATAAAACATATGCATCATAAAATATACTAGGAGTATCACGCACATTGTATGTATGTTTTATGTACCTATATTAAAAGTACACCTGAGCATATACCTCGCGATGATATTGTATGTATATACACATGGGATTGTAATGCATGTATACAGGGTGTCCATTTTTCGAGTGCATCTATGGGGATCTCACTTACCTTAAGAGATAGAAAATTGGTTAAATGGGGGCAAAGTTGCCAATTTTTGTGCTAAATAAGAATCTGAAAAGAAATTTGAAATATCTTCAATAGTTTTGAAGTCGATAATTTTTTTATGATAAACTAATCGTAGTAGACATTTCTAATTAACACATTATTCGGACACTTTTTAATGGAGATTTCAAATATGGCATCCTGTTTTTAATAACTTTCAAGATGACTGAGAAACACGTAGAAACTTTAGTTTTTCTTATGGACGCCATTTTGAATTTTCACATTTTGAGATTACGTCTTCTTTCTCTTTACAACGATATATCACACATGGTGGTTCTATCACATTTTTCCTAAAAATACAATTTTTAATTTTTTGAGAAGAGTGCTTTGAAAAAACAAAACGTTCTTTTGTTGTAAACAAAAGTTTGACAGTTTGATCCATCAATTAGAACAAAATACATCACGTGTTCAAATTGCCCACCTCCTAATTGAGTGAGAGTGCTCACAATTCTATGATCAAGTTCGGCTGGCAATATTTTGTAAATTTCATTTTTCATTGTTCCCCACAAAAAATAGTCCAAAGTTATTAATGAGTTTGTTGATCGCTTTTATACGGCGATACAGTCACCCGGAAATTGGCATCTCGGATACACCTGTCATTGCGTCTTATGGAGGCGTAAACAAACACACGCATAATTATATCGGATTTATGGCTCAGTGGTAGAGCATTGGGTTATAAATCCGGAGGTCGGGCGTTCGAACCTGGGTTGAGGTGAATTTTTCATCTGTGGCGGAAATGGAAATTACCTTAGGCCAATTCCGAGCATTCCTACCGGCTACTCCGAATTAGGTTTTCCTGCAGTTTTCCTAATTCGTTAGGTAAATACAGGAGTAGTATAGAACAACTAGAGACCTTCTGCAGAGGCACCTCTAAATAGCATTATGTGGGTCACTCTGTAATTGGGCGCATGCCTGTTGAGGGCCCAAAACAAGAGAGGGATAATAATAATAATAATTCTCGGGTACAGTCGCTCGCTAGTCCCAGTCGCGCGGTGATTTTACGACTATGGGCAAATGATGGGCTATTGGTTCATTGCAACTGTTTTGCACGAGGATACTTTTTCATTAGTCCGCCACTGCACTGAAAATACATCGTCGAAAAAGTACCTCACTGCGCACAATGCCCAAAGTCTGCGGTTTTGATATAAATTTTCTATCTCACCCTGTATAAAAGCGGTCTTACTAACGTGCGGGTGGTAAAAATATAATTTCGATTGACCTTAATTTACCAGAATGTGTGGAAGTGGTTACCTGTAATCATAAACAAGGCCCTCGGATGGGAATTTTGGACCATGGTCATGTTCATCCATAAGATTCCGCAGCCAATTGTTAAATGCCATCCTACCATAGTTGTCACAAGTTGCTCCTATAGTCCATGTTAAACACCATACAAACCATGGTACAATAAGATCGGCTACGAACAGGAAACACGGTTTTTAAGTAGACCAAAACTGTATCGTGACTTACGAATTAATTTCAAAAACTGAGCCGCGGGTGGAGGCTTGTTGTCTTTGCCGGCCAGCGGGCCCAATCTAAAATCCATTAAATGCAAAAAGGAAGTTACAATCGCAGAATCCACCGAGACCAAGATTTCCCTCAATTTCGAGCGTAGAAGTTCTACAGCCGGTAAGAGGTATATTTCAAATAATTCGTTAAATTGACTCGCGAACTCTACAGCCAACTAAAACAAATCGATTAATGAAGACACCTAGGTGGTTGACCTACTTGAGGCAAACGCCTAATCCAGCAATTTAAATAGGGCTGAAGTCCCAAAATTCCAGGCTCCAAGTACACCATACCGCACCTCGACACCGTTGCCGGCGAGGCGACGGCCAAATCGGCAACTTCAAAGATCATAGTTTGAGTGTCTCTCAATTTGATAATCTCCCCGCTACTCAAACAGAGCTTTTTGTTGTCGTCGAGGACGGTGTTCATGTTCTCTATCCAAACCGCATCAACCGGCCCATCAAACACGTACCACCGCTTATCCTTATCCGTCGCGCTGCAACCAATTCGCACGAGCGACGGCAAAATTCCGTCCGTCCTGCCGGCAGTTTGGCGTAGTACAAGACGCGAAACAAATTACTTACCACTCGTGAGTCTGCAAGTCGAATTCTCCGTACAATTGTCCCATTGTGATCGACTTCGGATTCAAAACGTAAGTGTGTACAGGCTGAAAGGGGTAACCGCCCGGCGTCGGTTTGCCCCTCAAAACGGTCATCGCATCCTTCAGAACCTCGTAACACTGTAAAAATACGAACGCGATATTTTAATAAGTACGCATGCGGAAGATTAATTTGAAGTTCTCCAGTTAGTCATAGTTAGCGTCGCGACGCCAGAACACTTCCGCACCTGTGAGCGCGTAATCTTTCGAAATGACGGGAGACGTACAGATCGGGGATTTCTTTCAAAATTTAAGTTACTACGACGATTACGACGGCGGCTTCGCCCCGTGCGAGCCGTTTAGCGGTTATTTAAATTTCTTCCACGTTTATTACATCCCGTTTATTATTTCGGTCGGATTAATTGGTAATTTGCTGTCTTGCATTGTGTTTTTAACGACGCATCTACGTATGCGAAGCTCCAGCTATTACTTAGCCGCGCTGGCCGTCGCCGATTTTACCTTTCTTGCCATTCTTTTACTTGTACACTGTAGTTTTAACAACGTAATCGAAATCTACAATCAAAAGGGCTGGTGCCAATCTTTCGTCTATCTGAGCACGGTTTGCAGCACGTTAAGCGTATGGCTGGTGGTCGCCTTCACCGTCGAAAGATTCATCGCCGTCCGTTACCCACTGCAACGTCCCCAAATTTGCACGATCGCAAGGGCGAAACTCGTCATCTCCGTGCTATGCCTGATCGCGCTCATCTCCCAGATTTACATATTTTGGGTCGCCGGAATCGTCGAAATGGCCGACTATCCGATATGCGAGATGCTACCGGAGTACCAAGAGCTGATGAAGGTTATCAACTTCCTGGACACGATCGTAACGCTGATCGCGCCCGTTACGTTGATCATCGCGATGAATACGATGATCATACGGAATTTGTTGCAATTCAGAAAGAAATTTCAAAACGGGTCTCTCGAGGACAGTCTGTGCAATAGCAATCAGGAGTCGGATCTGCACAGATCTCAAACTCAGGTGAGTGCTGGATCTGGTCATGGAATCAAAATCATTTTTTTTCTTATGCCCCTGAATATTCCCATATATTTCTGAACTCACCATAGCCTATTTATTTCTTTAAGGGCAATTTTTTTAATGGCATCTCTGTATAAAAATGAAAAAAAGTGGATGGATGTAGAGATGAAATTTGAACACTACTTCGAGTCGGAGAATAATGGAAACTAAAGCTTTCTGTTGAAAAGAAACAACTACCTATTATACGTCCGGTCGTCTACTATAAAAACAGTCGCAGGTGGTCGCCCACTGCAAAACACGTCTTTTTCTTCGCATCGGCTAGTTAGAGCTGAAAATATAATAGCACAATTTGTGTACACCTCACAAACGACCAGTTTTGTTGGTGTGACTGTTTTCATACTAAGAAGAGCAATAATAAAAACTCAAAAAAAAACATTAATAAATAGCAATTTGGATTTGCATTAAAAACACTTTCGGCAATTTCAAAAGCAGAACTTAGTAGGGTATCGTGAAGCTTTTTGATCAGGTCAATTAAAATTATCAGCTCTCTAAAATACACTCCTTTTGATAATACTAATCAATATTCACCCTAAAATAAAGATAGAAAGTTGTATACCCAATTTGAAATAATGCAAAACTATAGTGGAAGGAGTGGCGTATTAGAAAAAAAAGCTTTTGGGCAATATTTTGTTTCCTCACATATAAAGCTATTGAAAAAAAAATTGTGCCACCACCCACTCTTGGGTACAGACTAATTATTTTTACTTGATATGTTATCACGTTTACCAAACCACTCGAGATGAGTTCATTTTTGTTGTTAGCAATCTAGATGCATTTGTGAAGAATATATGCACCTATTGATTAATTCTCACAGGGAATGAAAATGGCATGGTGTTTTATACATCGCCCAATAGAAAAAATTTGCTGTGGCTATGTTATGCTTCAAAAGTGTACGTCCAAATAGTGGGATGGGATTTTTTACCCCAATGCGATATCGCCCTTATTAACGTGCGGGTGGTAAATAGTATACAGGGTGTTTTCTTGGGAGCTTTAGTTAAACGTTTCTGGAAAAGTAAAGTAGGTAGATTTTTGAAAATTTGTACTTAGGAGTTACTCTGAAGGCCGAATCGATGTAAAATATTTTTAAAATGGTCGCACTTCCGGAAACGCCGGAAGTATATAGTAACTTCGTTATTTTAAATAGCAACCCCCATTTTTTATTGGATTTTTGGATTCTACGTGAAATTTCAGTTCTTTTGATACCCATATGTCGATATCTACCATTTATGGTTTTTAAGTTATTTTGACTATAAGAAAAAAAATGGCGGATGCAGATGGTACCTTGATAATTGATTACTTGAAAACAGTTGTAGTCATGGCAACCTATTTTTATCAGTGCATAGAGAATGAATGAGTTTTTAGTCTTTGAAGTTTCATAAATTTGGATCTCCATAGGGGCGGTCGTACGCAACTTAATTTTTTTTAAGTGCACTAAAAGAAAGCCCTATTCTTTCAGGTACCATCTGCATCCGCCATTTTTTTTCTTAAAGTCAAAATAACTTAAAAACCGTAAATGGCAGATATCGGCGATATATGGGTATCAAAAGGTCTGAAATTTCACGTAGAATCCATAAATCCAATCAAAAATAGGGGTTGCTATTTAAAATAACGAAGTTACTATCTACTTCCGGTGTTTCCGGAAGTGCGGCCATTTTGGAAATATTTTACATCGATTCGACCTTCAGAATAACCCCTAAGTACAAATTTTCCAAAACCTACCTATTTTACTTTCCCAGAAACGTTTAACTAAAGCTCCCAAAAAAACACCCTGTATTAAGAGATAAATGTATCAAGTTTAAAGCACGCGCAATAAATTTAAACGTTGCAAGAGATCAAGTATACACGTGTTTCTTATAGTCTTTTTTATTATACCTGCAATATAATTTAAAAATAAGGAAAATGAAATAAAATCATAAAGACGTAATACATGTCTAATTAAATGGGCTGTTTATTCGTAATTCCATGATTGCTATGGAAATGTTACTTGACATTTGCTTATAAAAATCACCGCCCATTCAATGGCTTGTTGCAAAAGCAGAAGAAAAGGCGGTAGGTGCAAAATCCAAATCCAATAAAGCCTGTTATAAAGAATATGAAAAGTTCTTTTCGTGAATGAAACGAATTACGAACAAAGTCTTAAATGCATTTGGCATATTATTTTGGCACGCAATTGAGTGTTGAAAACGGAGATCGTGATCCAGGTATAACAAAAAATGATTTAGTTGTTTCTTTGCCAACTGAAAAACACCCTGTCATGAGAAAACTTGACCCCTACCTTTAGGCACACAGTTCGTTTTTAATTTTTTACTTTGAATTAATTTAAAAGATTCGAGAAGACAACGCCTTGAATGTTTCTATGTTTTAGCAAACAAAAAATTAAAAATACTGTTTTTAAAGATTGATGTTTCAATCCGAAGAAATTTATCGACCGAGCAATTTCCCAAACGCTCCTCGGCGACCAACAGCATCCGGAAGTACAGATTGTTCTTCCAAGCGCGACATTTGGACAAGCAGAGTAAGCGGAACGAAGTAGGTAAAAGCGTCAGCGGTAACATTTGTCTTGTTTGCAGATGCAAATTATGGAAACAAAAATTTGTTGTCGACAAGAAACCAACAAAATATCACCAAAATGTTGCTGCTAATATCGTCGGCTTTTATTTTGTTTAACTTGCCCAGGTACGCGAGCCCTAAACTGTTGGAAGCTAACCGATTATTTTTCAGTTACGGAATACGCCTGTATGTGTTTTTCGTCTACACCATTTGGCACAAGAGCCCCCCGGACGTTTTATGGTGCCTCCAGCAGTTCGCGATGCTCCTATTTTATACGCACTTCAGCATCAATTTCCTTCTATACGCGATGTGCGGCATCACGTTCCGCCGATGCCTCTGGCAAATACTGTGCAACAAAGTGACAAAATTGAAGCGTCGCGTTTGTCGATTTAATTAGATGTCCAATAAATAATAATGAGTCAATGGAGACGCTGCCTATCGATTGTGTAAGCGATGGGAAGGGTTTTAAGGTCTTAGTATGGCGAATTTATGGCCGTAATTAGTCGCGGGAGTGTTCCGGCTAATTAGATTAATGCAAATAGGAAACAAACAAATTTACGCACCTTCGTCTTACCCGATCCAGTGGGCCCTACTAACATTAATCCGTGACGTACTACTGTTGTCTCGTATAATTGGATTACTTTAATGACGTACTCTGTAAATAAGAATGTTTATTATGCTCCTTAATTTATGTGAGGATATAAAGGTGTGATTCTGAGTCAATTTCTATTTATAAGTTGCCTACAGTATATTTGGGCACATTGTTCTTCAATCGTTCCAACATCGATAGCCACTTTAATCGTAAATCGCCCATAAACAAGTAAATCTTTAGCGAATTTTCGTGGGAGTTTCAGGTGTAAGGTAACCGGTTCTATTCAAACTATTTGCTGCATGTGCCTTTTTCTTTTTTGACTGTTAGGTAACCCCTTCTACGAACTAACAGTCTTTTAACCATATGTTTACTTTTCACAAATAACAGTAATTATTATTTATCACTTACAATTTATATGCATCGAAGTTGGAACTGAACTCGAAACACAATACGATTTGCTTACATAGCAAGCAACATTGTTTCTAGAATGTTCTCATATGCTTAAGGACGCTTCAGAATGTTCTAGAACAAAATACGTCATATTTCCGGGGAAGATTGCGTCATATCTTCAATTTTTTATCGCCTCGATGTCTATCGGGATTTTTGGAATATTCGCTACACTATACATATACTCAAAATACGGTTTGGAGTCGGACCTGCCATAAGGAAAAGTTTGTGGTATGTTCACATATCTTTTTCCTTTTTTATAAATAATTTCTTATTGTAAGGAACATGAAAAAAAAAAACAATTGCAGCAAGTGGTCCTAATAAAAGAACCCCTTGTTTGGGCTAAGGGGAGTATAATGATATGTGAATGAGAAAATGTTTATTTAAGTCATTACTCCAAACTTGTAGAGTGTTTCTGTATTTGAGTACTAAAATTTGCTTACCGTCAACGTCTTCCAATCCGTGTTTAATAATCATCTTCCTTATAAACTCCTCTAACAGACCGTAATCTACAGCCTCCTCTTTCATTTTGGGGAACAAATCAGAAACAATACCTTAAACGAAAGCTCAGTAATATCTCAGAAAAATCGCTTAAGTGTATACCATAAAACAATTTCAAATCATCTTTTAAGAACTTGGGTACATTAACAGCCAACAACGCCCTGAGAATAATCTGCCGCTCGTCCATATCTGGATTTTCACGTTTCAAATTTCCAGCGACGGCGATGACAGTTTTAACAGCTCGCATGCCGAAATCGTAGTGGTCCTGGCTGCTAAGCTGCTCGGAGCTCAATTTAAATGTAGTCGTGATTTTATTAGCGAGCTGCTTCGCGTTGCTGAACCCGAACGAAAAAAGCGATATTTCGGCGATTAGGCCGTAATTGGGCACCATCATCGAAACCGGCCGAAAGAGAGCTTTTAGGTTATCGGGTAGTTCGGTACGTCCCGCGTATCCGGGGTTCATGGTGATGAAGACGGCACAGGACTGCTTCAGTGCTATCTCGACACCCTCAAATATAAATCTACGAGAATACAAATGACACGAACGAAAAATTCGCTTACGAGTCCATTTTCGCCTGCTGCGCCTTTTGTATAGTCATAATTTGCTGAGCGACTACAGACAGCACCTCAATATCGATCCTGTTAAACTCATCGAAGCACGCCCAAGCACCGGAGCTACTCAGACGTTAACATCTGTGAGTACAGTAGATTATAAGTTACCTAGCAAGCCCCTTAAAGAATTTTCCCATGGCCATAAAATCGAGTTGGTCCGAACAATTGAACACGACACACTGTATCGCCATCGCCTTTGCCAGATCTTTCGTGGTTTCAGTTTTTCCGGTACCGGCGGGTCCCGCCGGCGCACCTCCGAACTTGAGATGTAGAGCTCCGGTCAGGGTCAAATAGCAGCGGTCGGTCAGGGGAGTTATGACGAGTCGACCGCTGTTGCCCAAATACTCGTAGCCGTACTGAAACTCGGCATTAACCGCTCTCACTTTTAGTTCTTGCTCCACCCAGTAGTATCTACACATTTAGAATGTTTTCAACTGAATATAGATGTTTGTAAAATATACCAACACTTGGAGCCATTTGATAATAATTAAGGTTGATAAAGTTGGGACCCCCACTTTGCCTAAATGAAGTAAAAATATGCCTATAATTTAGGACTAATTAAAGACTAATTTGTACCCGCTTAGTTCCGCGCCGGAAAACCGATTCTAAGGTGGGGGTGAAATCAAGTTAGCACACCCCACGTTACAATCGGGTTTTCCGAATGATATTTTATTAGTCAAATCCCAAATTAAATTTTCATTGTTTAAACAATTTATACATTATATTTACACAATTTTTTACCCAAAAAGGGCAATTCTCAGAATTAATATACAGAAATGGAACGTATAAATTAAAGACTAATTTGTATCCACAAAATTAAAATTTGTATCCGCTTGGTTCCGCCGGAAAACCGATTCTAAGGGTGGGGGTGGTAACTAGACATCAAGTTAGCACCCCCACTTTTTATTTATTTACTTATTGCCCCTCTCTGGTTATGGGCCCTGAACAGCCTTTCGCCCAATTACAGATTGCAATTTTATTAGTCGCATCAAAAACTATGAATTAAAGACTAATTTGTACCTATGTTAGATTTTCATTGTTTAAACAATTTTTATTAAAAAAGGGCTAATAAAATTTCAATCGGAAAAAGTGGGGGTGCTTGATTTCTAGTTAGTACCCCCACCTTAGAATCGGTTTTCTGGCAGAACTAAGCGGGTACAAAGTCTAATTTTGTGGGTACAAATTAGTCTTTAATTAGTCCTAAATTATAGGCATATTTTTGCTTGATTTGGGCAAAGTGGGGGTTTCAACTTTATCGGCTTTAATAATTAATATAGTCCAGGCTAAATTTATTTTCGCATAACCTCCAATTTTCCTAGAAAAACCGGACAAACGGTTTTTTTTAGTTTTTGATTCTTATTTTAGCAAAAAAAAGGGATTTGAAATTTCCAGAAAACAGCATGTTTTATGATAAAAACGGGGACGATTTTTGGGTCCGTAAAGTTGAACCGATACCGAGATTTCACGATTTCGAGAAAAAAAACCCTCTGTTTCAGTGGGATGAAAAATCTTTTTTTTTTCATAGAACACAGCTATTCCAGATAGCCATATTTTACTTATATTTTAATAATCAAAAATAAAAATATTATTACAATAAAAAAAATTTCAAGAAAAGTGGCAAAAACTGGGGGAACAGTTTATATACACGGTTTTTGACATGGTAAATAGTTTTTTTTGCAACTAAATTATCATATTTGATCCACGCTAACAAAGATTTTTTTCGAAATCTGTCTTCTTGATTCTTTTGAATGTCTGCTGAAATATTGTCTTTTGTTTCCTTATACTCAACTGTTTCAGTTAAAACATCTTTATTATATCTTTTTTCTGCATTTCTACAGCAATCAAAACAATTCGAATTAAAATCGAATTCTTTGCTTTCCGAACAATTTGTTTCTCTTCTTTTCTTCTCTTCTTCCTGCATGTTTCACAGCTGATGCAATTGCACTTAAAACTGTGTTTCCAGTTTTTGGCGATTTTCTCGAAGTTTTTCTATTGGAATAATATTTTTTGTTTTTGTTTATTAAAATATAAATCCTCTCGAAAATTTTGCTACTCCGCGCACCTCTGTACGATGAAAAAAAAATAGATTTTTCATTCCCTAGAAAAAGAGGTGGTTGTTTCAGAAATCGTGAAATCTCGGAAACGGTTCAACATTACGGGCCCAAAAAAACAAGCTGTTTCTTCCAAATTTCAAACCCTTACGACTTTTTTCCGCAAAAATTAGAATTAAATTGGAAGTTATGTGAAAATAGTGTGATACAACAGTTGTTCATTTTTTTATTCTCTATAACTTTTATATTGAACATTTTCGCCTAAAATTAATAGTTTTGTCACAAATTGCAAAATACCACTTTCCACCCCTTTCATCCTCCGGGATTTCACCCACGGAAACATTCAGCTGTTTTAATTATTTCTCCCCAATTTTTAATCCTTTCACCTGCATTTAAAACCCGGTTTGAACAGGTAACTAATTTTTTTTTGTTAAAAAATATACAGGGTGCCCATTATGTATGGAATATAGTTATTGGTTAATATCGAATGTATACAAAATTTTTCTATATGAAAGTTGCTTAACATTTTACTTCCCATAATAAGGCGACATTCAGTTGTTTTTATTTCAGAAAACAAATGACGTAACTGAAAACAATTGAATTTTTTTAAATGGCAGTGCACCTTTTTATTAGGCTCATTTGATAAAGATTGTTTTTCTCTTTGCGATGATGTAACATGTTAGTACCCTAATACAAGAAAATTTATTATAATTAGATCGATAACATTAATCCAGATATCTTACATCAAAATAAAACAAATGAACGTGTACGTTTCTTATTAAACCTTGAAGACCAAACGAAATTAGCAGTAAAATGCTTTTCATCGCATTGAAAATGTTAGCCATTAACTGCAAGACAGTAGCATAACTTATCACAAAAAACTTGAAATAAAAATTTATCATTTGTTTTCTGAAATAAAAACAATGGAATGCTGCCTTATTATGGGAAATAAAATGTTAAACAACTTTCAGATAGAAAAATTTTATATACAGTCAATATTTACCGAGATATATACTATATTCCATACATAATGGGCACCCTGTATAGCATGGACTAAAAGGTAATAGTTTATACCTCAGCTGGCTGATCCAATCGAAGTCATTAACGTTGGTAACGTTACTGTCGACTAAATTTTGGGTTACATCACGAGCATGCACCTCGATTACTATTAACGCGGATAAAATCTCTCGATGTAAATAGGTAAGTGAGCCTCTCACGAGCCCTCGAAGCTGATCCAGCTGAAACCTCCACGTGAGCCAGCACGTATGCATAGTTTTAACTTACGTTCTCCAAAACCACGTCGAAAAACGCGGCCAAGTCGCCCTTACTTAACGCGTCCTCCACGCCGTTGGTCCAATACGTTTGACAACCCGCTATTACAATCTGCCCAGGCCACATCAGTACCCACTCCTTCCTTTCCATGACAAATAACGTCTCCAATGAGTCCCCGTAGGTTGTTCTCACTGCAAACAATTTATTGGTGACACCAATTTTACAAATCACAGTGAGTACTTGCCGGTATTCTTCATGCTCTCCTCCAGGATAACGAGCCAGCACTCTACGTTTCCGGTAGGGTATAGTGAAGGGCGTAAGTCAATACCTTCGTCCTCGGCGGACCACATCTGGCTGATTTTCAGATCATCCTCAAATGTCAGCTGAAAGTAAACTTCGAGATTACACGACGGCGCAATAGCACCTCGGTACCCTCGCTATATTCTCGAAGCACTTCCGTAGGTGAGGCTGAACGGCGAGCGGATTGCGCGCCTGAGATAAAATCTCGAGCAGCTCGTCGTCGCTGAGAAAGTACAATCGCGGAAAGACCGACCTTTTCATCTCCAAGTAATTGGTCAGGCCTTTCTGCACGACCTCCAAGAGATGGTTGCACTCTTTCAGACTTTCCAGAAGTTTTTTGTCGGAACATGTAAGGATAATCTACAAATTGGGGATAGGCGGAGAGGAGGGCGCATACCGATGGGCAGTCGCAGGCGTTTTTCATAATTCGCCTCCAAGTTCTCTCCATGGTGCTGTACTTTTTGCTTTCAGTCGGTAACTGTTGCGTTATATCGGGACTGGCGAAGATCGGCTCAAGGTACATCCACTGTCTGGGAGCACAATGTAAAAGTGATCGGCGTGTAATTGGCAAAGGTACCTTTGCACTTCCATCCATTCCTCCAAGCACTCACTACAAGTCTTTAGCTTCTCTTCCCAGTTATCGATCCTCTCCTCAAAGGGCCCTTTGAATGGACTGAACGATAACTGTTGCGTCATAACGATGTGGTCGTCCAGCAGCTGCAGAATGTCGTCTGCCACTTTCATTATGTACGTTCCTAGAACCCAAAGTGACCGAGTTGCTTTGGTAAAGTGCGACAGTACCGGTAGTCTTGTATAATGTGAGCTCCATAAAGTTGTGGTCCCATTCGCGCACCATCTTATCAAGAACGGATTCGATGGCGTACTCCTTTCCGGCATTATCCCCAATCTTCGAAATGACGTCGCTGTAATTCTGAATGCCCAAAGCGATAAAATCGTTGAAGGTTATCGTCGGTGTCCAATTGACGACGATTCCTGCACGAGACTGGTTAACAGCAAAATTGGACTCCTGTTCACTTACCAGTTTCAGCTTTAAACGCATCCCAGTGCCGCTGTCTCATGCCGGGGTTGCGCAGTGTTTGTATTAGAGGTATCATCGGCTTGAAACTCTCAATTTGCTTCTTAATTTCCAGGGCGACGCTTTGCACCGCCTCGATTTCGACGAATAACTTTACAGATTTTATCATGGTCTTGTACATATCCGAAACTATCCCCTCGATAGCCTCGCCGTCGACGTTTACTAAAGGGTTGTCCATCCAAATTTCGTGCCATTTGAGCCATTCTAGAAATGGTCATCTGGACAACGAAGTGATACGGTTGTCACTTACCAGAGGCGGTAACCCACAAGTTTCTGTACGGCTCAAATTCCTTAATCAACTTCGTCAGTGTATCGTACGGAGTGACTGGCATTAGAAACAGCTTTTGCCTCTGGTTTAACATCTGCCCGTGCTCCTGCGCTTCCTTCATCGCCTTCCACAGTCGCTTTATTTCGAGCGCAATTTCGTGAACCTTCAAAGACGAAATTAGCTACGTTTCGAAATTGCGCCCGTTACCCTGTTAAAGTCCTTCTGGCCGGAAAGCTGCGTAACGATGACGGTAAAGTTTTCGATTTTCTCCTGGAGAACGCTCTCGTCGATCATTTGTATTTTTAAGTACTTGTCGAACTCTTCGTCGAGGTTCGCTTGTGCCCTTTCGATTTGTTGAGCAAGCCTGTATGGCCATCCAATGCAGTCCCACTTATTTTCAAAATCTTCTTGAGGTAATGAATACCAGAAGTAATCAAGCACGTCGTACTCCTGTACAGTGATACGTCTTAACATTCCAGACCACAAAGCCCAACTTGAAATTGTGACCACAATTCCCAAAATAATAGCTATTTATACTACAATCGTGAGTACAGCCCCACGTACCGCCTCTTGGCGTTTCACACCCGCAGTGTTTCCTTGAAACCAGTACCGCTAATCAAATGCCACTAGTTTCCAGGTCTCAAAACTATTGTAGGGAGCACATTTAACAATTTTAGATCTGAAAACCCAGTGGTATTAAACCATCCCCAACTGTAGCTCGAGTGACCCATGTTTTCCAAACCAGCTATCGACAAAATTACTAAGATTCGAAAGATAACTGAAAGCTTTATCCGATAGGAATAAAAAGGAACGTACAAATTTGATCTGGCGAGGAAATATTGAAGTGCGAGGCCCCTTTGGGACCGAGTACTTTAATTTTCGAGTCAAGTAATGTCATTTTACTGACGAGTTTTGTATTAAATTTTACCCAAAATCGTAGTCTGCTCTGTTCTGTCATGGAAACTAAAATTTCCTGACAGGAAGTAGGAATGAAAATAAAGGTTTGAGGATAATTTTGGGTAAAATAACAGAATGAACAGAATTTGTAGAGCAGAAATGCCAAAAAGACAATTCCAGTGCTATTTCTTTATGCGAAAAATGCATTATTAATTTAATTTAATAAAAGTAATACGGAAATGTAACAGATTTGCAGGAATGTGCGATAATCAACAGGTGTTCATCAGTATATTCGAATTTGTTGTAAAAACTAGCTCGTCATTGGCTAGGAATGAATCGGCGCACCAATCGCGTTTAGTCATTCGGCATGCGCGCCGCATTTACGAAGGTAACGTTCTAAAAGTGCTTAGCTCTTTTAATGAAATAATCGAGGAAATAATGTTTATATTCGTGTTTTATTATTAATAATAATTAAAAACGCCGTGATAATTAAAGTGCTAGAAAGTGGAAAACGTCGAAGCTTCCGCTTGATGAAGGAAACTAAGGTACTGTGCTGATAACAGTTTTTTGCAACTCAAAATTAGCTTAGATAGATCATATTTGTCGTTTGTGGCTCAAAAGAGAACATGTTAACAAGGGATGTGGACCATAGGTCCTTTCTGCCACTCAAAGAAAGCTTGAGTTTCTCCCTATGTCTACATTTAAATGACAAAATCTCATCTGAAAGGCGCCTAATTTTATGCAACCAAAATAACTTCTTAAAACAAATAAATATCTGGCTGCCACATTAATCAACTTGAATATTGTTGCTTCGGCTTCACAGAAACGGTAACCGGCTAATTACAATATCAACTGAATACATCGCACACGAACGAAAATAAAAATACGGACGGAATACTTATCCAATTAATTAATATGACAGCCAGATCTTCAATTGTTTGAGGTAGTTATTTGGGTTGCATAAAATTAGGCGCTCTTCAGAAGAAATTTTGTCATTTAAAAGTAGACATAAGGAAAAACAGTACACGTGAATCCCTATGTCTACTTCTTAATAAATAGCACTGAATATCAGCAAATAGGAGAATGGATCAACCACTTCATTTTAATATCTTGATGATTAGTGTAACCACTGTAAGTTATAACTTGCAACAAAAATGTTTATTTCAGCCTTAGCTTGGGAATAACATTTTTCACATTGAGTGTACGTAAAATTAGACTTACTCCTCGCTAAAGAACATATAATGATATAGTACAAGTTAGCATCGCTTCAGAATAAAATTTTCAATATATCGGTCGCCATCTTGAATTACTCGAAATGCTCCATTCCGGCAGAGTTGCATCAATCGGTTCAGAATAAGCTAACATCTAGTACTTGTAAACATTTAAGACAAAAAGGTGTTTTTAAAAGCAACCATACGTCCACACGTCCATACCCTTTTCTGTTTTATCCCCTTTTCTGTTTTTTTTTGGTGGAAATAAACATTATTATTATTATTATTATTAAAATGCTTTGCAGTTGCTATTGCTCTTCATATAATAACAGTCACGTCAATCATCGCAGATGGCCGCCCACTGCAAAACTGGTCGCCTGTGAGGTGTGCACAAATTATGCTATTATAGGTTCATCTCTATCTAGCTCATATGCGAAGAAAAAGGCATAAACTTTGCAGTGGGCGGTTACCTGCGACTGTTTTTATACTAGATGACGTAGAGTTGTATTATTACCCATAGGTCTGTTACGTTTGAGTACGCGTCATATCATTAGACAACAAGTATAAATTGTGCATAACTCGTGTGCAGCTTCTTTGCATGTTGTCCGCTCTTTTTAAAAGTGGCCGATATCGTGTTGAAATTTGGCGTACTGGTAAAGTAGGACGTTATTGATTTTCAGGAAGCAATTTATAGGGCTTCAAATGAATCGGAAACAGGAAAATCTGTGGGCAATATATAATAGAAATCAACGTATTTTATTCCCTAGGTCATGTATTGAGTTCGGAATTTCGCTAGATTATTCCCTATGACTCTTAAATGTGTAATAATTCAATATAACTCTTCTCTGTGGTCTAGGTCAAAAGTTTTAGAGCAAAATGTACCCAAAATAATTCTATTACATATGAATTTGGGGTTGTAAACCGGGCATTAGGCTGTCATTTGGGCGAGACGATTAGGGTGTGAGACAAAAAAGACGCTAGAGCAAAAAAGTGCGAGACAAAGGAGCGCAAAGCCAATAAGTCACGAGGAATATTTCTCACTACCCAAACAAAATTTTATTTTTGTTTAAAAATAAATAAACAGAGGGCTGGGGCGTTTTAATGCACTGCGGGCCGGCGAGTACGGTTACCGACAGTGGACGGGCTAAACTCTAAACAATTAAAAATTGTTTTAAGAAAAATTGGCGGAGTTTTTCAATTTTAGCGCTTTTTTGGCAAATTTATTTGTAAAAAGGTAGCTTTTAGGGGCCTATTCTTCAACTCGTAATGATGTCGTTACACAGCGGTTATCGTTCGGCAACGACTTTCTCTATTCTGTACGACATATAACAGGTAATACGGAATATAAGTGTCGTTCAATATCAAATCGTTACCATTACGAGATCGTTTGTTAACGACAATATACAGAATAGACCCCTTAATCTCACTTGGCCAGCAGCAAATGTGTGCCCGTAAAAAATTGCTTGTAGAAAGACGAGGAGTGCACGTGCCGGACCATGTAGGTAATTATCAAATTTAGGTACGGCGCTAAATGAAGTGGAGTGAGCGACATCTGGGCGCCATCCGCGAGCGTGGTTTACGAACGTGATGATTTTTAAGTATTTTTTTCTTCTACAGTTTTGGTGTAGCCACAAAGAAAACGCGCACAACTCCTGCGTGACGGAATTTTGTTTTTTTTCCTAAGGGCGAAATTAACCACCGTTTGTAAAGCGCGCATCTTCGAGGGATAGTCTACTTAGGGTGCCCAAAAGTTACTTCCGCTGCGAATTGTTTTCTTAAAGCTTGAAACGCGGTTTGTCTTTCTCGTGTCCCCACTAGGAGCTCGAGCGATGAGAAGTGCCTCAAAAATTGAGTACTATTTTGCGGAGGGTTTCTGGCGATATCCACCAAAACGGCGCATTTATTGCCTGTGGGGGCGTCAGAAGTGGGTACCGCCAAAACATGTATGTGGTAGAAGGGAAAACTAAGAAGTAGGCTAGCTCTCTCTATTAATTAAATTATTTATCGCGTTTCTGTTGATCGCATTAAATATTAAATCGACATTTCATATTTTATACTGCCTCTTACTCTTCGTTTCCCTCTCTCTCACCTGCAGTATCCCATCTCTATATGTAGGTATGTCGATGGCTAGCACACGTTCTTTACATGTAAAAAAAATTGCTGTGCCACCCGTACACCTGCGCATGCGCGATTCCGCTCTTTTATGTTGGTTACAATCAGAGGCGGATTTAGATTTCATAATATTATGAATCTGAATGTCGCAATTGACTCACAGGGCCGGGTCCTAGATATTTGACCGCCTGGATGAAAAAATGCATAGTGCAATATAATAATAATACTGGATCCGCCCCTGGTTACAATCGGTTCAGCTGTTTAGCCGTTAATGAGAGTACAAACAGACAGACCATCATCGAGATTTTGTTTCATTCAGATTCCTAGTGCTGCAAACAGGGGCGGTGACTTACAGGAGGCAACAGGACCCATGCTCCCATGCAAGGTGTAGGTACCTACTTTTTTACTGGTTTTACAAATGGACGCTGAGGTCAATTTGGAAAGTTGGGGATTGTGGCCAAGCTTAATTTTGATACAAAATTGGGATTATAATTTCAAGTTGGACTTTATGATCAGACCCCCAACTTATAATACAAACCAACAGATATTTCTTAGTAGCTTCCTCCCAACCCTTTACTGTCATGGGAATGGTTTCCATCCAGTCTCGAATTTCGTAAATATTCTCAATTGAGGTTGCTCGCTCGAGTAATCTCGCATTGAAGAATTTGTACTCCTGTATAATCTCCTCAATGTTCCCCTTCATTATCGCGGCGAACTGATCCAAAAGTTTACCGGCTATTTCCTGCCTTTTGTTTATTAGGAACGTTTTTAAGGGCTCCGTGTTAACGAAGAAGGGACCAATAACTATACTGCTAGGTAGGGTTACTTCCAAATTATCCCTCATCTTGAAGTGATGCGATATTGTGTCTTTGTATTCGACGGCCGAGTGTTGTTCTTCCAAATAACCGCTGAAATTGAGAGTATGTTCATATTTTGGCAACTACACCTTTTATTGTATCTTGTAATTTGGAATTTTTATAGTTCTGACTTACACCTCATGATTTTTAAAGCATTAAATACGTTATGACTTATTAGTCAAAATTACACGATATTAAGAAAGGCATAAATACGAGATTATGAGATTTAAGTCGGAAATACGAGGAATTAGGTCTTCAGTTAGAAATCATCATATTAAAAAAACCTGACTAACCCGATGTATGTTGTTACATCCAATGTATACAACTCCATATGCACAGAATACGTTTCAGCATACGCCAATAAAGGAATGATCGCTTTCTCGTAACCTTTCAGCATTCTTTCCCTTAGATCACAGACATCTTTATCTAAAAGCCCGACCGATGATAAATATAAATCGGATGGAAACTTTAGGTGTTTCAGCAATGAGGGGTGTACTTGATTGACACCGTGCGTTAACTTAATCGCCGAATCGTATAGAGACAATAGCACGCTCTGAAAATGAAGCTGTAAATGACCTTAGTAAAGTTCAAAATTACAGGAAATAAGCGCGGATCGGTGGAATAAAAAGCGCCACAAAGAGGGTCCATCTTCAATAGTAAACCAAAAATGGGCTGAACTTGTGGTTTAAATGGGCTATCCACAAAATTGCTCTCCCAAACGTAGTCGCTGTTCAAATGCAGGCAACATTGGCAAGGGGTTTCGACGAGATTTACAAATAAATGTGTCGAATTCTCCACAAGTAATCGAAGAGCATGCTACAATTGAAAGGTGGAAGAGCTGCTCGCATTAGAGCACCTTACCTGCATGCGATATTTCACCACCTCCATAAATCTTACTAATTTTGCGGTGTCGTAAATGTTTGGGTGCTTCTCATTTACATTAAACCACCCTTTCCCGATGTCGCCTAAGCACATCCTGATGTTTCGTGAGATATTCGATATCCAAGTCATTTTTAAAAATACAATTACCTATAGGTACATAAACGTTTGTTGAAATTATGAAGGAACCTCAGCAACTTACGTTGTCAGTGGTTCTACTTTGTACAGTTTCAAACTCCTTAAGCGTAACATGTTTGCCATAGCTGCTGGTAAAGAGCGACATGACGGCCGCCTCCATGCAGTACTTATGAACAATAGACATTCCTCTGTAGGTTTCCGGAATCACCCAAATACTCATCCATCGGAAATACTCGCGCATGTTCTTAAAGTCGGCCATGTTTGTCGCAACTCGGCCTAAAATTAACGACAGTCACCTAATCCCGTCCAGTATGTGTAAACCAACCTGTTATGGGCACACGAGGAACTTCCCGCTTGGTCAAATTTAAAAACTGATAGACATCCGGCTGCTTTTCGGCACTGTAGCGAAATTGAATTTCGCCCAAAGCCCTCTTGTGGTTGAGTCTGACTTCGAACTCCAACTGAAACGGTGAGTTCACACAATGCGTTACAGTTCACCTGGGCACCTTTTCGAAGATTTCGCGATTTTGAACTCTCGAAGCTCGATCGCGGGTGGCACTCTTGTAAATGTAACTCATACAGACCTCGTCCAGTTCATGGGTGCCGGTGAGCAGCATGCAGTCCAAGTAAAACTCGTACCTGCACCAGAACATTAGTGATTCACCAGTGGTTCTCCGGGCGGACTTACCTAATACTATTTTCGGCTTGATTCCTCAACTCAAGCGCGGCCTTTATTCTGTGCGCGAAAACCACCGGATCCTCTGCTTTGAACATTAACCGTATCCGCGGTATCGCGAACGTCCTTTGGAATCCGTCCAAAGTTAACACGTGCCACAGTTCGTCGTCGGGCGTATAGTTTGTAACGGCCACATCAGTCCACTCGTAGACGTGGTTAAGGTAATCGGGCGAGCTTGGGTGAACCAACGGCTTCATGTATACCGGAACAAAGGCTACGGCCGGTATGGGATGACGCACACCTTCCATCACGCCATGGTTCAACCAGCTCTCTGGTGATCTGCAAGGAAACTTACGGGTATCAAGTGTGATTCCGGAAATCGGAAACCTGCTGTCAAATTCCTGATCGTCGAACAATTCGAGCGGCAAATAGTTCACCGTGGTGTACAGCCCGAACTTTTCCTCGACGGTTAGTGCTTGAACGACATGGGAGGGCACTATTTGTTTCGGTTGGACGCGCAAATTTTCCAAACACTCCCTAATGCTTTGAAGCTGAAAATGTGTTACTGGCGGCAGGCGAAGAGTGCGAACTACTGACCTGGTACTGACGTCTTTTCCGTTCGATGGCGACGTTCCTGGGCAGATGGCGAGGTTCGATTTCGTGCTGCATCTGCACTTTGGGCTTGAACGCGTCAACGGGGAAAAGCTGAGGAAGACAAATGGAATTGGTGAAATAAAATCGACTAATTACGATATGTGGTTCGCGCTCGTAGCACATCCATCTTTCAGCCGGGGCTAAGAAGCTGGGGCGAGACGGTTTCGGCAATTCCTCTATTATCGGGGCGTGATGTTCGGTGCGAATTTGCCAGAGGAGGTTGGTTCGTTTACATGCTCCAGGAAACTCCTCCGCCGTATCATCTTTAAAGTCCAAGTCTGTCGTTATTTCCGAATAATATCCTCTTCGGATTCCTTTATCGCATTTTCGTTTGCTTTTCGGGTCCATCGTTTCGTTCATGTCAGCTTAATGTGACAGTGCGTAAACAGTCGAAATTATTTGTTCATTTGAATCGAAGAGGGCGCTGCCGATCCAGAAAATCGCAAATTATTAGAAATAAGTTATTTGCGAATTTTCAAAACTCAAAGGCCCATATCTTTAAGTGTTGATGGAAGAATCAAATAACCAGCCCTTAATTTTTCGAATTTTGATGTGTTGCTATGAAAGTTTGCCCTAAAATGTTGCAATAAATGTGGTAAGTTGGGCCACTATAAGCGGGATTGTAAGAATTCCAAGTCTGAGAAGCGCCTGCGTTTGTTAGCCAATTAGATATCGTCAAATCGTCTACATAGACACGAAACCAATGAAAGTTCTCAATCCAAAAATTGGAAAGTAGCCATGATTGAGGAGGTGAATGCGCTCCGTGAAAATCACACTTGGAACCTCACCTTATTGTTTATTACAATGAGGACATTGAGGCTGTATAACCGACTGTGTAGCTCAGTGGTAGAGCGTTGGGCTCTAGGGGGAAACAACTTTGAATTTTTGGCGTACACTCCTTTGAATAAATTTGAATTAACGTGAGTTAATTCGAATTAACGTACTTAAATTAATTTGAATCATCGTGAATTAATTTGAATTAACGTGAATTATTCTGAACTGTCCCGAATTAATTTGAATTTGTTTGCATTTCTACCGGGTGAATTTTTCAAAACCGAACATAGGCAATTAACGTGAGAAAAACGTTTTTTGCAGATCGTTGCTCCCCATATTAACTTAGAGGGTTCATAATGACACCAATCGAAAGATTTTCTTATCTAATGATATACAAATTAGTACATTTACAGTTGTATTTCTCATTATTTTATCAAAAATTCGGCAATAAATCCGATTACAAAAATCATGTTAAGCCATGAAGCTTGAATTAACGTGAATTAATTTGATTTAACGTGAATTAAATTTGAATTAACCTGAAATAATTTAAATTAACGCGAATTAATTTGAATTAACGTGAATTATTTTGAATTAACGTGAATTAATTTGAATTTGAATACTTGTTTCCCCCTAGGTTGGGCTACATAGCTGGGAGGTCGGGTGTTCGAACCTGGGTTGAGGTGAATTTTTCATCTGTGGCAGAGATGGGAATTACCTTAAACCAGTTTCGAGCATTCTGGCGGCTACTCAGAATTAGGTTTTCCTGCAGTTTTCCTAATTCGTAAGGTAAATACCGGAGTAGTATAGAACAACTTAAGACCTTCTGCAGGGGCACCTTTAACAAGTTAAAAAGTAATCGTAAACGATTTACATAAAGCGCATTTCCACTTGCATTCATTTCCCATTTGTAAGATGCAACTTCTATAAAATCGTAAAAATCCGGCCACAAATATGAAAGATAGCGTTGCACATGGGCAATCCATTTTTGTCGTGCTACTTCAATGTCAGCTTATGAGAAGAATTTCATTTCAATGCTTTTCTAAATAAGAAAGTTGGAACTGCGCATGCGCAAACCTAAATTTTGAAACTAATGTTAGATTTTCCTTTGTTCCAAGCGCCTAAATATCAAATTTCACTTAAATGCTTCCATAGATAAAAAAGTTGGCACTGCGCATGCGCAAAATAAAATTTTGAAACTGGCGCTAGATTTTCCTTTATTCCAAGTGCCTATGTATCAAATTTCATTTAAATTCTTCCATAAATAAAAAGGTTGGCACTGCGCATGCGCAAAACCAAATTTTGAAATTGGCAGTTGATTTTCCCTTATTCCAAGTGCCTATGTATCAAATTTCATTCAAATGCTTTTATAAGTAAAAAATGTTGCAATTCGGTTTATAAATGGTCGAGATGCGAAAAGGGCACTGTGAATTTTGAATCGATTCGATTCAACTTTTGGCGTTGCGTATTATATGGCTAAAGCTATGCCCATATTGAATTTCATGCAATTCAGTTCATAACTAACGGAGATGTAAAAGTGATCGAACATTTCTAAACAAAGTTATCGTTCACACGGACAGATAGATGGACAGACAGACAAAGGAACAGACGGACAACCCACAGGCAGACGACAGATAGCAATGCAAAATTATAAACGATCTCTAGGATCGTTAATAAACGGCAAAAGTGTAAAATTATGGAACATGTAAAAAACGGTTTTTTGTTTTTTTTACAATAACTTTTTTTGTAAGCGGTACAGAAAAAATTCCTTCCTTGGTACAAGACTCGACACCATAACGAACCAAATAGCGAAAAAAGTAGAACAATAGCTCTTAAGATAAAGAACTAGTAGCGTCGCAAAACGAGCGGACGGACGGACGGACAAAGTGGCCACAATAGCGCATTTTTTTTTTATTTTTGTAGAAATGCGCTAAAAAGCATTCTGCGGGTCACTCTGTAATTGGGCGAAAGCCTCTTGAGGGCCCAGAACAAGAGAGGGACAATAAATGAGTTCTGACTTGAGAAAATTGGAAACTATGTTCATAAAATGGGTCAGGATGTACTTATGAGACGTATGAAAATAATATTTCGCGCGCTAGAATCACATTTTTGGGGTAAAAAATAACCCCCCCACTTTTTTTACGGAAATACACGTTTTGGAGGACCAGGAATCCGAATCAAACAAAATCTCAATGCTGTCAGTCCGTTTGTACTCTCATTTCCGGTTAACCGACTAAACCAATTGGAACCAAATTTGGTACCTACACATATTCTTACACATAATTAAAGGGTATGTGTGTCCGGGATTGACAATTATTATGCAGTGTGCCGATCATGGAGAAAATTGGAAAACCAGGACAATAATAGTTATTTTTCTGAAACTACTTTACAAACAACTACTTTCGTCTCTAAAAAGGGTGAAGAAAATGTGATTTTCCTCTCTAGTGAGGAAAGTAAAAAACAATTGCTGCGTTAATCTTAATAAATGACACTTAAAATTGAAACATACCCTAATCTAGATTGCTATGTCGCAAACTCCATTATTGCATACGATAATTTTTCAATTTTGATTGTAGTTTAAGAAAAAATTATGTTTAAAACTTGAGAAGAAAATGTTTTTCAACTCTTGTTCAATTGACAAACTTTGAACTGGAGTTGAAAAACTCCACTTTCCTCTCTTCCATTCGATGCTGTCTCGTTCCCACGAGAGCGTGTAATGATGGACCTATTTTGGTCACCAATAACGATGTATAATTCTGAAATTCCAAGACTAAAAGATATACAGGCCCACGAAGGCTTAAACGCAGGATTCATGTAAGCTTTAAAATCACTCGCCATTTTCTTTTTAAAATGCGACATCCAAGATTTTCCCTCGATTAATCGAATACAACAAGATTTCTACTTGTGGGAATTTTCTTATACCAAAATGAAACAGAGCTTATTTTGGGTAAAAGGATGCTCCAAAAATTAGTACCTACCACATACTCTGCGACAAGCAGGTCTCTTGTTTAATTGAAAAATTCGGTTAAAATGCACAAACCACCACATTTCAACTCAAGAAACGCCCAATAAAAAGGTCTAAGTTTCGCAATTTTTTTGTTTTCAAATTTTCACACTTTCTGTACCTTTGGGGAGGAAATGAAAAGGACTGGAAGATGTTAACAAACTAATAAAGGCAGACGAAAAAAATGATCTCGAAAAATATCGCAGCATTTTTTAATTGAAAAATCGAGATGTAAAGATGTTAATAACTTTTATGTTGGTCCATTGACCACTCTGCATTTTCCATCATTTGTTGGAAAATTAATTGGATTCGTATGAAAGTGAAAGTGAATCGAGATTTATGCAAAAATGTGGCCAACGCCGATAACAGTAATTGAAAGCAAAATGTGAATCATTTGATAAGACAGTCATTGCCATAAAGGTAACTACAGGTAATATAAAAACCTGTTAATTTAAACTGATAATGCATATAGGTAACTTATTTTCAGGTAGTTGCTTCGTGATCCCGGTTGTTTGTACACGTATCTCAATAATTCTCATGTTTGAACTTCCATAAAAAGTGCTTCGGTGCTGTGGAATGTGAGGGTATGTAGCAGACAACCAGATGTCATTTGAATGGAACAGCAAGGTATGGAATTTTTTTGGACTTTTAAGAATCTTTGTTGTTGGCGCAGTTTATTAATGAGCTCCTAGCGAGTTCATGATTTTGGACTTTCTGTCCTTCCGTCCGTCCGTGGACAAGATCACTCCCGAACGGTTTCAAATTTTCCAATTCTGTTTTCAGTACCTATTTTGTTTATCATCATATCCGACGAAGTAAATCAGTGGCCCAGCAGCTGGTTTGCTATATTTGTTACAAGTTTATTAGATGAAGCCTCGATGACCAATATGACTATCCTAACCCCCCCCACCCTCGGCGGAGTTGTGCTTCACCCAAATAATGCATAAATTTTACATATACACATCAGTGTCCAAGATTAAGGGTGAACCATAGAAGATATCTTGTAGAAGATACAACGTTGGTCAAATTAGACAAAAGATGCATAATTAAAAGAGTTATTATAGTGCTTTAAAGAAAACCAGAAAATTCTGATTCCTTCCAAAGAATGCGAGAAAGAATGCCAGAAAAACCGAAATTTCCTGATTTCATATTTATTTTTTTTTATGTTATGTGAACAGATACAACAAAATAAAAAACACTTCCTCATTGCCACTCTTTGAGCTCTACAAGATACAGTTGAGAAATTTTCAATAAAACGATTCATTTGGAGACATCAAATTTAGTTTTTTATTTGGCCCGCAATACTTACTGTATTAAGTAGCATTTTTTATTACAAATATGCAACCATGTACCACACAAAAAAACACAAAAGTTTGCTACTATGTTGGTTTTAACAGAATGGTGCTTCTGCACATAACGCCGTTCGAGAATACCTATATATCAGACAAAATTTCTAATTCCAGGAAATTTGTCCGATTTATCACAATTTCCAACTTTTATTTTTTTACGTGTACTGTATATCGTTGAATTCCTAATAAAAAATGCTACTCAATAAAGGATGTACATTTTTTACCGGCCATATAGCAAAATAAAGTTGACATGATTTCTCAGAAAGGAAACGTTGTATTGAAAATCACCCAACCGTGTCTTGTAGAGCTCAAAAAGTGGCAATGAGAAAGTGGTTTGCTGGCATATCTTTGATCTTGTCTTTGATAGTAATCACAATTTTCTCCCAATACAGAATATTCTCCCATAGACTAAAAGTTGGATAATGACCTACATAATTATGAGCCTTTGTTATGCGGCTTCTCTTTTTGAATATTAGCAGTATCAGAGTGCGATATAAATAAAATTTACTGAGCGTACATCTATAAATGCATAAATGTTGCATAATTAGGTATTTAAATAAATATAAATCCCTAGTTGAAGACTTTAGGGAGTACTTACCTCTTCCTTGAGAACATAAGCCTAGGGCATCTGTGTGGAATAGTTAAAGAACAAGTTGTTGTGCGAAGTTGGCTGTGGAGGAACTTCAGCTCGTCCTAAATTGTTTAAGTCCACACTTCACAGACATAAAAAATTGGTTTATGGTTCACACTTCGGCGACTCAAAAATGATCAACTTGATAGCTGCCCAGGGCTAATCAGGATATCTCTACAATCTTTCCTTATCGTCAACACATAATTTTGGTAGGTCACTGTCTGAACTACTATACATCCAGTCCGATCCCAAAAATTAATTATCCGTGTTTGCCATATACATACTTAAATGGCTAATTAAGTTTACAAAAACATTCACATTATCTTTACACAATAAAGGTATCACATTTATTATTCACATTATTACAATGTCTACCAATTAGGCAAGAGTCTAACATGAACATACACTTCCTTAAACAATTTCACCCGAAAGTTGTAAGCGTTAAGACTATTGAAAATACATCAACAACAATACAATCACACACCTCCACTCTTCTGCAAAAGTTGAGCGAATCGGTTCGTAATAAGCAGCGAAACGTCGATGAATCTATCCACGCAGTTGGTCAAACAAGTCTCCGTCTTGCTATCCAGCTTACTGCCCGGCTTCTCAACGCACTTGTCCCAACAGAAATCGTTAAATTCGTGTATCTGCAATTTGGAAGTTAACATCACTCAGGCAAGATAGGAAGAAATACCTGCGCGTTGAACTGGGCCTTTTGCTTTTCGACGAATAGAAATTCTTGCAATTCCTTGTCGTCTTTGCCTTGGGGTGGCGGCGGGGCGAAGCTGTCTCCGAAATCGGTCATTTTTGAATGAATTCACTCGAAATTTTTACTAAAAAAATGAAACTTTGACAGGGGACGTTGAGCACGTGTTGATGTTTCGAGCTGTATGATGGAGGTGGTTCTTGCCATGGCTCCGTTGATGGTTCTGCAAATGTGTGTTTGACTGCTTTATCACACAATTTGCGTTGTGATTCATCATGATTATACGACTTGTGATACCATTGTAATAAGTATGCAATAGTGATATTTTTCTTTATCAATTGTTTAATGAATAAACAAAGGTTTATCTGTACATTTTTGCATTGTCAAAATACAGGCTTAATAGCCACTCGCATCTCAAACAAAGCGTGACTCATATCAAGAGCGCATGCGTTATTGGTTTATTTGAAAATCGTATTTTAAACATTTAACTATTCTTTATAAAAGAAGAAGAGCGATCATTAAAGGTTACAGGTACTGTTACAAATTTAAATAAACTTCACCCTCCCACACCCAAGAATTCTTATAAAGGTCTAGGTAAATCCACAAAAGCACAAAAGTGTAAGAGTCGCTTTCAGGTCAAAAGTTATAGGACCAAAAGGCGTCTCGATTTAGTACAAACTTTACGTATTGTGTAATTAGTACTATTATATAATGGGGTGAGATGAGATCAAGTTGAGTTGCAAGTAATTTCAAATTTTTTGAAATCTGCGCCGATTATTAAAAAATCACACATGGCGCCGATTTTTAAAAATCACGCATGCTCTTTAAAAGGGAGTCGCGTTTAAATTCAGTGGCAATGTGGCGCGTTGTTCTTTCATAACCTCACTATTTAAACTAATGCAAAATTGATAAATTAATAAAAATGGTACTTACAAAGGCAATGGAAGAGATTCGTAACGTACTCTCAAACAACGATAAACAGAATACAGCAAAACAGGCAGAAATGATAGCCACATACAATTTATCCATGTGCACTTCTGAAGATATCGCACAAATTATAGTTCCGTTCATCGACAGGCTTCTAAACAATGTCGAGCATCGCCAAGACGCCTTCCACATCCTAGATAATCTACTGCTAAAGTTGCCCATTGAACTCGTACAGGAAAAATCTGTTCTTTGGTGCCGCCACTGTATCAGCGACAAGCCTTTCACAGCCTTACAGCTATCAGTCTTAAGTAATTCGCATATTTTTCGATTTAAACGTTAATTAAGTTTCTTGCAGTTAAAATGATTCAAGTCTGTCACGGCGTTAAAGATTTTGACAGTCATTTAACACAACATTTCGCCGAGATAATCCATGCTTGTCTCTCCAAACAGCCCTGCGACGATATTAGAAAGAAGTTAGATTGCGTTACGTTGTGCGTCACTTACTACCCGAAGATGTTTGCGCAGTTTCGTAACGAAATCGACGACACTCTTAGTTTCTATTTATCCAGCAGTTGCGCCCGAGACGTTATCAAAAAAGTGGGCACCCTGTTTCACACTTTACAAGAGGTAACTAGTAGTGTCAATTCACGATAAGTTGCATTTGTTTCTACAGGTTCCCATAGTGAATCAGTCCAATTTGCAACAAAACTGGACCGCTCAGTTTTATAAATTGTGCTCCACAATTAATCACCTTTATGACGATTTCTTGGAAGGTTTCGAGTTTCACCGTCACAATTACAGTGAGGAAGTTCCGCCGTTTGATGATGTCTACCTGACTGTCTACTCAAGTGATAAAGTTGGTCAGTTCGTACAGGTGTACAATCAACTCCGAAATCTGGTAGTGTTTGCCACTTGTATGCTGGAGTAAGTATACAGTAAGCACAATTTATAAGTTTGGAGTAAGTAGAGGTAGTATACTGGATGGATGAAATGTATTGCTGGTCGCCCAGAGGAAAACCGTGTGTAGTATATTTTAAATACCTTACTTACAAGTATGACTTGTGGTAATGGCACACGTTCTTCGCTTAATGTTTGAAGTGTACTATTATATTTGTTATGGCTGGCTGGCTGGCTGTCCGGCTGAGATCTCAGCATTTACAATAGCTAAAGACTTCAAATTTTAACTAAAAGCTTTCTGCTATAGTGTAGATGTGCAGGCTCAAGTCTATTTTGAGTTAGATTACTTGTGAGATCCATAATTTTGATTTTTTTATTATTAACATAAAAAGTAGGTATGCAAAATAATACAATAGAACGAAAAATACATTAATCATAAAATCATGAAAATATACCCTGTGTCCTATTTTTTTTGAGAGCAGTCGTGTATCTCAGCTGTTTTTAAAGATAAAGAGACGTGCGGTTTTCGGGACCCTGTGCCATTTTTTTGTTAAACTTAAACAAACAGAATCAATCCAACTAAGTGCGTTTGTTTCTTATTAGATACAGGGTAAAAACGAAAAGGTTGACTTTTTGGGACGTTGTCAGTCATACCTTACTACCGATGTACGATAGAAAAAAAGGTAAAAACTACCTATATTAGATATGTTTACGTAAAATCCAGTAGTGTAGTAAAAAAAATTTGAATCACCGTTTCTGAGATTGAACCCAAACTGGATATTTTTTAAATGTAACACCCTGTATTTTAACGTCAATTTTTTTTTGTGATTACATTATTGAATCATCTTATATTTTTTTAAATTATATTTTATTTTTCAAAATGTCATGTTTCTACCGCCAGTCATTTTTATTAATTGACATCGGTTGCCTTAGGTGCCATGGATCCAATAAACAGAACAAAATCTCCATGAATCCATTGCCTACCATTTAAAAAAGTAAAAAAATAAGGTTTTTATTAATTTTTATTGATAAGATTAAAAAAAATATAGGTTGTGATACATCAATGTAATCAGGAAAAGGTATGAAAAGCAATTGACGTTAAGATATACAGGGCGTTTAAAAAAATACCAACTTTAGATCAAATCTCAGAAAGCAGCCCGTATTTTTGTTGTCATTGACATATTTTAAAAGAGTAATTTGGTGCGTATCTTTCCAAAGTGTGACAGTTTCAAGTACTTATATAATTTCTCTGAAAACAGAGGAAATTGCAATTATCGATTTTTTTATACGTACATCAAATGTGCCATTTTTCTGATCATATTCTAACAGCGAGGTATTGCTTCGTTGCTAGGAGCAGAGAAGCGGATAAGAGGCAGAGAAACTTTACTTGACCCATTTTCCATAGGCTTTTTACTTGTGGCATTTAAACCAAATCGGTCCAAGTATTTGACAGTTATCGTGTTCACAGACGGACATCTTTGATTCCTCTATAAAGCTTGCATCGCTTTGTTTTGGCGCTTAATAATCATGTCATAATAGGCTAGCGCTGAAAAAAGTAATTTAATCGCACTACGCGCTACGTTCACATTTCCAAGGTCAGCTTGATGTGTTAATTTGAAAACTAGTTCTATTGTTTAAACTTATTCACTAAGTTTCATAGATTACTAGATCTCGGTATACCCTTACCTATTTGTTAGGCAATACCTTAATGCACTAGAATTGTCGTTTGCTTGAAATTACAAAGTATTTAAACAATGGTATTGGTTATTATTATTTTTATTATAAAAAAGCGCGCCATCTGTTATATAGCACGGAACTAGTAATTTGGACCTATATTGCAGCGCCCACTGGATTCGTTGTACCAGAACTAACGTTTCTTTGTTAATTATTTTTCCCATTACATTGGCCAACTATATAAAGTATTTAAACAATAATATTTCGTTACAGTTTCAGTAATAAATTCCATACATTTTCTAATATGTAAATTCTTGTAAAGCGTGGATACAGATCATAAACTATGACAGTCTTAGGTGTACAACCACAAGTGGTTTTCCTCTTGCTCGGTGGACGCAGAATATATTGCGGTTATTAATATCTAATACGGTTCTGTACATAGGACGAGATTTTCTCAACCAAAAAAATTAAAAATATCCGTCGTAATGGACGTATTACAACGAGGCTTAACAGTGGAGACCTACGAGAAGAAAGAACCACCTCTAGAGCATGGAATAGTAACCGTATTACAGCGACATCAAATAGACCTTCTTCATTTATTTCGAGCGTTAATTACATGGTACGCTTAACCGATACCGGCCGACTAAATCTAACCGCGTCGTTGTAGTTTCAGCAAGCAGTTGCTGCCGTTGAGCGCGAGGATAACGAAATTAATTGTGACCTGTCAAGAGCTTAGTCAACGGGCGTGCTTTCCCAGGAATAGGTAAACTGAGAGTTGTGTAGTACAGGTAATGGCAAGTGTTTGTAGTGAGTATCACGTAGCGCTGTACGAGTTGATGAGTCGGTGGGTGGTTCTCTCACACAACGACGGCGATGTAATTCCGTTCAATAAAATTATTCCTCTACTTTTACTAGAAATCACGCCTACAAATGCGAGCGATATGCTATGTGTAAGTGGTCAACTGTCTTGAGCCATATTAACGTTACGTTTTAGTTGAACAAGTCTGCAAAGTCTTCGGCTTATACTGCCCAAAAGATGCAAAATATCTTAAGGTTTGTATGGGAGGTGACACTTTCTTCTTTCTTTTTAGCGCATTTTTGAAAAAAAATACGTTATTATATTCGTTATGGCTGGCTGGCCGGCTGTCCGGGTGAGATCTCAGCAACTACAATAGTTAGAGAGTTCAAATTTTCACTAAAAGCTTTCTGATGTAGTGTAGATGTGCAGGCTCTAGTCTATTTTGAGTTAGATTACTTGTGAGATCGATAATTTAAAAAAATAATTTCGATATGATTTTCGGAGGTGCTATAATTTTATCGTTAGATAGCGCTACCAGTTTAAAAACTTAATTCTTTACTTTGTGATTTGTTTTACAAAATAAAGACGTATCCTCAATTGAAATTAAATAAAATTAATTATTTTACGCAGCAAAAATTACTCGTGAGATCGATAATTTTAAACTTCGCTAATAAAATACTGACCTGTATTACCAAAAATGCGCTTTAATCATGCATATGCTGATTTACAACTTGTTTTGTAGTTGATGTTTAATGGATCCACCCTGTATACTGATGAATGTTTTTATCAACAGGTCACAAAAAATTGAAGATCGAAGTCTTCAAATTGACGAAAGGGCGTGCACTGTCATTTTAAAAGCTTTAACATGCATGATGTCGACAGTCGAGCTGGGCCTCAACGAAGCTAACATAAATGTAAGAACGTTTGTCCGCTACCGTAATTTAAATTTTTACTGCAGGCGCTATTTCAAGTCCTAGTGCAAGTCATCGAAGCGATACAGCGCGGTAACATTTCACATCCGTACACTAACCAAGAATGTGTCGCGGCCTTGTACAAGGCATTTGCCTCGTTATTCATGCAAGAGTACTACAGGAGGCGACCTTTTTACGAATTGGCAATAAATATACTGAGAGATGGTCAAAATTGTGACGTTAAGAATGACTTTCGCATTACTTACGTCATTATGGAAGCGTTGCAGATTATTACCAGCATGTGCAGATCGGCCTCGTAGACCATCGGACCATGTTTATATGTGTTGGACGTTTTGTAATAAACGTGTGAGTGCCGAATCAAGAGTATTACTATTACCATTGAATTTATAATAGTTATAAATTCAATGCTATTACATAGAAAATGTGCCTGTATAAACTTATAATTTGTCGTCCAGAATAAGTCGGTTTCGCACACAGTGGTTATGATTTTAACTAACGGCTATGCAATAACAGAGCTGTCAATTATTAACGAGCGGCAAAAAGCGAGTTGATGATTTTGGATTTTCTGTCCATCCGTCCGTCTGTTTGTGTGCATAATAACTCGCAAACCGTTTCGAATTTTCAAATTCTGTTTTGAATGATAGATGGTCAATGGACTAACTGATTAAATTTTGAGTATATGAACTTTTTGTCCGTCCGTCTGTGTACATGGTAACTCTCGAACGTTTTCGAAATTTCCAATTCTGTTTCCAGTAAAAGATAGACAATGGTCAATGGACCAATTGCTTAAATTTTGGACATTTGGACTCTCTGTCCGTCCGTCTGTGTACATGATAACTCGCGAACGGTTTCGAATTTTCCAATTCTGTTTTCAGTAAAACGTAAAAATTATTAATTAATTAATATTATAATAATTAATTAATTAAATAATTAATTAATTATTAATAAAAAAAAAACGTAAAATTGGATTAACTGATTACATTTTGATATTTAGACTTTCTTTCCATCCGCCTGTGTACATAATATCTCGCGAACGGTTTTAAATTTTGGTCATTTGGACTTTTTGTCCATCCGTATGTGTACATAATACTTCGCGAATGGTTTAAATTTAATTGAGACTTCAAAAGTAGCACGCTTTGGTTCTTCCGTCGCGGTCGTTTTCATATAAACAGCATTATCACATGTTCTGAGCGTCATTTTATGTCGTGCTTCGCGTCCCATTTGAAATAAGAATAACAAATGTCATTATAATGCATAATAATCTGTTTCACTTTATCCACCCCTGAGGTTAAAGTGGTCACTTTATCTACCCTCGCGGTTAAAGGGCAACTGAGTCATGCCAATCCCCATAATAGTATATTATGTCATAAGGGTGCAATAGTGCGTATTACAGGTGAGTAGAAAAATTGCGCCGCGAACCTGTAATACGCAAATTATAACCGAATTCGTAGGTACCATGAAAAATAATAATGTACTTAAATTTCGTGGATTATGTTTTTCTTAAAAAATATTTTTTATTAATTTTGGAACACTTACAAACCGAAAAAAACCGGAATCGACACCGGAACCGAAAATAATTTCTGTCGCAGAACCGGAACCCTTAAAAATGTATTCTACCTACGTAGTGTGGAACCAGAATCTATAATTTATATGGAATCCAGTCCCTGATGCGCACATCTGATTTTTACAATATGCGATACGCTTGTCTTTACTAAAACTGGCCCGTATGGCGCAGTTCATTTGAAGCTGGACTGTGGTACTAAGGGTCCCTGGTTCGAATCCGGGTTCGGGCATGGATATTTATTTATTTATTTACGGTTGACCATTATAACAAAAGAGAAAAAAAAATACTTTACATATTATAAGAAAAATGAAACATGAAGAGCAGTGTGTAAGTGAGCCAAACAACTATGAGATTTTTAACATAGAATAGATAGAAATAATATACAGGGTGACAATTTGAAAACTTACCACCCCTCATATCTTAGTAAATAAACGAGATATTTAAAAAAATCAAAATCCGTTTCGGTAATTTGGAGGGGGAATCACAATGACATAGTTGGCGACGCACCCCCTCCAACTCCCTGCGCCCCAGCCACCCCAACTTTTAAATCTTAAATAGTGACCCCCCATGTGTGATACGTCGTTGGAAAGCTCTGAAAAAATGCTTTCCAACCATACCAAATAGCATTACATTTAGGTTAGTAATTATCGTGCAAATCAAAAAATAAACATGGAAAATCGTATTTAACTTGAACTTCCAAAGCCGACTCGACAGCAACTCATTTTTGATCGCCAGTTATAATCTATTCTCAAACTCTTGTCGAACCTTTCCAATGTTGGTTTTGCAATATTTCGACATTCTTGAATTATTCTCTGTCTTAGTTCGTCTATGTTCGCCGGTTGCGTTTTAAATACGACAGATTTCAAATGTATCATATTAGTTTATTTTTTGATTTGCACGATAATTACTAGCCTAAATGTAATGCTATTTGGTATGGTTGGAAAGCATTTTTTCAGAGCTTTCCAACGACGTATCACACATGGGGGGGTCACTATTTAAGATTTAAAAGTTGGGGTGGCTGGGGCGCAGGGGGTTTGAGGGGGTGCGTCGCCAACTATGTCATTGTGATTCCCCCTCCAAATTACCGAAACGGATTTTGATTTTTTTAAATATCTCGTTTATTTACTAAGATATGAGGGGTGGTAAGTTTTCAAATTGTCACCCTGTATGAATGGTTAAGTATTAGAAAAGCTAAATAACTACATAAAACTAACTCAAACGATATACAAGGTGGAAATATAAAACTAAATATTGTTACTCCAAGACAGATCGATTTTCTATAAATAATAATTTTTTAAACAAAGATATAGGGAAACCAAAAAAACTGAAATTCTTGCAGAGTGTTGGCTGAGGTGCACTAGAAATGGGAGACGAATGTCCATATTTGGTTTTATGATAGGGTACATAAAATGTAGGTGCACTAGGTACGTAATGTTTGTAAATGTATAGTGGGTTGGGTTGGTAGAGCAGCCTTGACTGAAACCCCGCCCACTCACAAATAAAGCCAAAAAAAAAGTAATTTAATGTCGTTAAAATTTTAAAAAAATATATAAATAAGAAAGTTGACATTGTGCCGTTTTCGCATGCGCAAATTAAACAAAGATTTTTCTTGGCTAAGGTGCTAAGGCTGTAATAAGTTACCGAATGCAACAAAAAAAACCTAAATATCTTGAAAATTAAATCATTAGTACCCGCTCACGAGAATGTACCATGTGTCCTATTTTGGTTGAGACTGCAGAGTATTAGTTACAATGGATACAATAAACAAAACAAAATCTCCATGAATCCATGGCCTGCTATCTTTAAAAGTAAAAAAATAAAGTTTTTGTTCATTCTAATCGCTAAAATTAAAGAAAATATATAGGTTGTGATTCTATAATTGATTTTCGAGAAAGGAATGCAGCCTCCCCCCCCCCCCCCCCATTTTCATTACACCAATGCTATAATGACCTGTAACCTGTTCAATTCCACCTGGCCCGTAAGTACCCAGTCCGCCCCTGTCTTAGACCATTAAGTGGCAGCGTGACAGTTCGCATTATTCAAATTTTCAAAAGCTGCCGAGAAAGTCAACTTTTACAAGTGAAAAAAAGGTTAATATCATCATGGCATCATTGAGGCTAGTAGTGATAAAAAGATTATTATTATTATTATACCTTAAATTGGCATTTCTATAGCTTCTAAACTTCCTGGGAAAGAACACAAAGAAAAAAACTAGTGCAAAATTATTCTCAGCCAAATTTTAAGCTTTGTAAACCAGCCAGTGCATTTTGGGCACTTTTAAAGCTCTTGACCAGAACTTTCCGGCCAACCTTATAGCATTGTATAACCCCAATCTCTTTTCTCAGCTCAGAAAAGGGACGTGGGAAAACCATAGCATGATTGGAGATACGCCGTAAAGTTTTGAAAGGGGCTAACATTTAATTTTTTTTAAATAACATTCAATTGCTTATTACCTTTTAAGAACAATTAAATAATAATAAATGTCTTTATTAGGTATTTAAACAAAATAAATATTACATAGGTATGTATGTTAAAGGAGACGCTTAAGGGCGGAGTTTAATCAAGAATGGAGCAAACTTGACCGCTCTTTCACTCAACCCATAAAATAAAGCTGTACAATTCTGCAAAGAACATAATATCTTTAAAACGGTGCTGGAAACTTTTGAATAGGGTTTCAAATTACTAAAAAAAGACACCAGCATGATCTGGAAATGCTCTAATGCTTCTTGGTAAGCTGTATGTTTTTTGAACTTTTCGGGTACCTCATTGAAATTAAATAAAATTTCACGTAGGTATACACAAAAAATTTCTTCTGGTACTGTACTAGGAGTGACTGAACAGAAAAGTGTTTTCCAAGACGTTTTAAAAAATTGCTGTGCCATTTCCTCTTTTTTTTTGGCGGTTCCCTGTTTGTGTTTCAATATTCATGATAGTCAAGGAGGCTGGGGCCGTAAAGATTTTTTATAAATTTGTTTTGTATACGCTTCATGAGCTTTTCCTGTACCATCAATTAGCACATTGAACCCTTGATAAAATGACTTGTATTTACATCAGCTATCTACTGTGGTGCTATGACTAATCTGTCAACCAACATTTGTGGTTTCTTTCCGGGGAAACAATTCTTGGAAGTTCCATATAAACACAATGGTAAATTAAAACATTTAATATCGAATGTAGACCACATAGCTTAATATTAGCAGACTTAGTAATACAAAATTAATACAGCTAAACTATCACACTAAGTTTAATAAAGTTCACAGTTTGATTAATAAAATATCGGGGGTCTTTTGCTACCAGGAGATAGTCCATGTCAACTGTTTTAAATTTTTCAATCCTCCCTCTTCCATTTTCTTGAGAGATGTGCCGTTATCTACAAAAAATAACTTTCGGAGAGGGCTTTTACAAATAGCCGTGGCGTCCTACCTTTGCACTCGGTATTATGAAATATAAGCACTTCGATATTGGGGCAAAACTGAATAACTTCCGTCAAAATGTTATCGGAAATATTGCTACAATGCGATATACGTAATTCCTTTACTTTTTCGCCGCTAGGTCCTTGCACCAACTTCTCGATCCCTTTATTGCTAACCTGCGTCGCGGAAAGTGTAATCCATTGCAAATGTTGCATGACCGACAGGGCCCCAGCGGCGGTATCGGTGACCTGTACACAGCCACCCACGTCTAATCCGGACAGGTTGGGGCAACTTTTCGCGACCGTAGCCAAGACGTCATCGTTCACGGCGTAACAATTTGACAGTTGTAGCACAAACAAATTTTCCAACGGTGATAAAAAATCAATTAAAGCTGCAAATTAAAATTGTAGAACGCGACCTTTACAGTGAACGTAACACCAACACCTTGAAATTTATAATTATGGGTCAATGTCAAACTCACCTTGACTACTTAAGTCGTAGTTTTTAACCCGTGTCAAGTACACCTTTCTTAAATGATGACAACCTTTTAAAAGGTCTAAGATTTCGTCGTTAACGGTTGCCGATGTGAGGTCAATCTGTTGTATTAAAGGATGAATCAGCATTGACAGGGCATCGTTAAACATGCATTCCTTCCAAAAGAATGAAGATGACAAAAATCTTTTTAACAGTCTACTTTTTAAATTTGCCGGAAAGTACCTTAGGGCATTGCTATCGTTGACGTATTCCGATAGGTTTTTTGTAACGTAATCGACGCACCTGAAATTGCAAAATTATTGAAAATACTATTAACGTCACTTACAGAGAAATGAGTGAATCTGTTCTTCTGGGAGATATTTCCATTTTTTCAGGCACCGCAAACGCCAATTACAAAAAAATGTGATGCAATTAAAACTCTTCGATTAAGGTGAAAATAATTATACGACGCACATTTACTGGTAATTACCGCAACCGCATTGGATAATTACCGTTATCGTTTAATTACTGCCATGGTTACTGTTTACAGTTGATTTGTTTACGACGGAACTGGCGTTGTGGATAGCATAGCGGCATGTGCGACTGGTGATTGAAACTGGCTAGAATATTATTGGATAACCGGGAGACGTAATGAAGTCCATGCAAATACAAATTGGCTAATGGCATTTGGACCACAATTAACAAAACATAAAATTAAAAATTATGATATGGACCTGGCAACAACGTCAGTCTGCCCTTAAATTTGTCAGTGACGTCACACGTCGGACCCTTATCTTTAGGGTATGGGGCGCATCGCATAGACCACAGATAAAATTGGTTCCTTCCAATTCAAGGATGCGGTGCTCTGTTCGAACTGGGCCGCCGGTGGTGGATGCGCCCTAGTCAAAACCCCAAAATACGTACGAGCGGAATATTAGTAATGAAAAGTAGGTACGCTTAAAAATTATAGGGTCAATCAGAGTAAATGCTCCTACTGTGAATAGATATATAGTCCTAGAAACCGACACTTGACAAGTAATTAAAATGATAAGAATCTTCACCTTAGCCTTTTCCTTGGTTCCTTTTTCAGCAAAATCGCTTAAGTCCATCAATCTTTATTATTAGCCAGCTGAGCAAAACCTTTTACAAATTAACTTGCAACAAAATAAAACCTAAATTCAATTTTTCCTTTCTTTTCTTTAAATTCCACTTCTCACCTCCTCCCCATCATCCATTACCTCACCCAGTGTCAATTCCACCTCCGTACAGTTCCATAATGTGTTGTATGTCCTCTCCGCATATTGTATGTTTTCTTGTCTCCATTTTTTTATTGATCAGTTTTGACTCCATCATCAGTCAGATCTTGTCGAGGGCTTGTCGATACCCACGTCCCGTTCATCTGCAATGAAAAATAAATAAGATTAATTAAAAAAAGCGTCATAGTTGTCGCCCTAGATTTGCGCGATTCATGCAAGAAAAATATCCCCGGGCTTCTACAAACGGCATGTATCCATTATTGTCCTTATAATCGTTGAATTTTACCGCTTAAATTTTTTGGTGCAAACGGCCATAAGAAAGTTAACAATACAGCCGACTTCATTTGAAACAGACTGTATATTTTACAACCCTGCACGGTCACGGATGCATAGCCGTCAAGTGGCTGTGGCTGCTGGTGCGTGTCCGATGTTTTGTTTTTATTTTCGTTCATAACCTAAAATGGAGAAAATAAAAGGCAAATACCATTCAAACATTTAGAGGAAGTTGCTAAAATTTCATTATTTCAGCCCAGGATAACAAAATAGATATCGCCCAATTGAAAAAAGATGCCAAAGAATCCGCCACAAACTCTGTCATCAATATGTTGCAACGGCCAGGGCAGTTGGAGAAAGTGGAGCAGTACAAGCGAAGGCTGGTACGTAAGAAAGCTTCCGTTGAGGCCTTGCTTAAATCGGCAATGCAAAGTAAACTGGACGGTGTGCGAGTGGGCTTGAATCAACTTGGTACGTGCCTGGGCGTCGTTAAAGAATTGGAGACGAAGTAAGTGCAATTGTATCGTGTTGAATCCCAAATAGCGACGTGTTTCAGTTTAAAAGTGATCAACAACTTGTTTGTCGAAGCACCTGTTTTGTATAATCAACTTAGCGAGGTACGAGAGGAAAACATGCGCCATTCTCAGTACGTCACGGCTAGAGAAAACCTCAAGCACATCTTTACAGTTCCGGAAAGTGTAAAGAAAACCGAGCAATGGATTAATGATGCCAAACTTTTACATGCACATCAGGTAACCTCTTTACTGAGGGGTCTACTTTTCCCCATGTAATCTCACCGAAATTAGTCAGTGGCGGTAGACCCCTTGCCCCATATTACCATGTCGATCACTTACCTTGTTTTAGTGTTTGAGAGATTTAGAAAATTCCCGAGACGACCTCCTCTTCGAACTACACAAGCTACCCAACCAATCAGCGCACGATATAGCGATGCTAAAGGCTTACTTTGCCGACGTCGAAAAGCTATCCGACCTACTGGGGAAACAGTTACGTTTAGTAATGGCACGAACTTTAAATACCGTCCGTAAGGAACCCACGATAATCGTCACGGCGTTAAGAATAATAGAGAGGGAAGAGAAGGCGGACGACGAGGCGACGAAGCACTTTAAGCAAAGCGGATTTATTCCGCCCGGTAGACCGAAGAGGTGGAAGGCGATGGCGTTTGAGGTGTTAGAGAAGGCGGTCGCCACACGAATCGAGGGCACGCAAATCGAAGAGCGCGACGATAACAAACTTTGGATTATTCGGTACCTCGAACTGATACGCCAGCTGATTTTGGAGGATTTACGCGTCGTGAAAAGTTTGTGCATCCCTTGCTTCCCTCCACGATACGACATTATGAATCGATACGTGCATATGTATCACGTTTGTTTATCGAAACATGTAAGTTGGCGGAGGTGGGATGTTGTAATGCATTCAGTAATTTTCAGCTGCAAGAAATAATACAGAATGGTTTGGAGGGAAATGAGTATGTTTCGATTTTAGCGTGGATTTTGAATACATACAAAGGGGAGGAGCTCATGGGACATCCTGATTTGAAGGAAAATACGGCTGGTTTGGATTTACTGTTACCTCAAGCTGTATTGAAAAATTTGCAAAATCAGTATCTAAAGGTACAGTTACACTACAAAACTGTTGTCACCATTCTTGTGAGCCGATAGGTTTCAGAATGATTTGTGTCGTTGTATTTAATAGTTTAAAGCAGGGTTGTCCAAAATACAACTCGGAGGGCCGCAATATAACACCTTTGTGTGCAACTTTATCAGTGATATTGTGCATATTTCATATTTGAGGGAAATTTATACACTTTGGCGACCTGCCTTACGGCTCTATCATTTAGGAGATATGTTCAGCAGGTGCACGGTCTATTTCGAAGCTGACTTTATTGGCTGGTTTTGATTGACTGTTTGTTTAGGAAATCTAAAAGAACTTTAAATACGGGAGACAATTTGCCAATTTTTGTTACACGATTGTTTTCTGAAATAAGAACAAATGAATGCTGCCTTATTATGGGAAATGAAATGTTAAACAACTTTCTTATAGAAAATTTTTGTATACATTCAATTACCAATATATATACCATACATAATGGGCACTCCGTATAATGCAATCTTTTGTTTCTGATATAAAGCAGTTCTCAATATTACCCACATTTTCCCATTCTGAGTCATGATGCATTGCTGCATTGAATTTAATTCCAGTTTAATTCATCAACACAAAAAAATACCTTTAAAAACTTCATCGAATTCCGTCCACATTCTTCTATTATCTGCTGCTCTGTCACAAGTAACTCCATGTATTGGAGCTCTAGATTTTTCCAACTTTAATAGTTTGGTGGCACTCTCTGTAGTTAAAGAAGAAAGGAAAACAAACGCACGGTGGGCAGTGTTGTCCGGTCATTTTGAGGTGCATGTTTATTATCTCCAAAATCTTGAACGTCAATCAGTTTCATTGCTTTCACGTTTAAGTTGATACCTTACATTTTATAAAAACTGAGTATAATGTATTTTTTTGGGCCATCTGTAACTTAAAGGTCTCAAAAAAATGTTCATCCAGGTCACATTTCAGATTCAGTATCTGCAGGGTTTAAGACGCTTCTTTATTACTACTCATGTGGCATGCTGAAATACAGGGTGCCCATTATGTATGGAATATAGTATATATCTCGGTAAATATCGACTGTATACAACATTGTTCTATATGAAAGTTTGTTAATATTTTATTTCTCTTAATAAGGTAGCATGAAGTTGTTCTTATTTCAGAAAACAAATGAGCAACGATAGCAATTCATTACGCTTATTTGATAGAGATTTTTTTTCTCTTTTTGATGACATAATAGGTTAGTACCCTTATACACGAAATTTTTTCAAAAAAGATTATAATTACATCAATAACATTAATCTAGATATCCTACATCAAAATAAAACAAATGAACGTGTACGTTTCTTGAAGACAACAAAATTAGCAATTTTTCCCAGAATTCTCAGACATTCATTTCAAGCTTTCCGTGATAGGTTAGTTCACTGCCTTGCAGTTAATAATAAAGGATTTTTGAACACTTATTGCGATGAAAACCATTTTATTGCTCATTTTATTTTGTCTTCAAGGTTTGTAATAAGAAATGTACACGTTCATTTGTTTTTCTTTACGTAGGATATCTAGATGAATGTATAATAAATTTTTTTGAAAATTTTCCTTGTATAAGAGTGCTAACATGTTACATTATTGAAAAGAGAAAAAAAATCTCAAATGAGACTTATGATAAGGTGCACTGCGATTTAAAAAAATTCAATTGTTTTTCGTTGCTCATTTTTTCACTCTTTATTTATTGTCCCCCTCTTGCTTGTGCCCAATTTTGTTATCTTAACACCACTGTATATGATAAGATGGTTCTCATGTTTATTAATACTAATCTGCTTGGTTTTAAATGCGTCCTTTCTTCTCTCTGAACATACCATGTGGATTGTGGTAGCCCAATGCTCATCAAAAAGTTTGTAGCTCCAATTTTGGCTTTCTTCCTACTATTTCCAGAGATCAGGCGAAACGATCCCTTCCTAACACCCTCTAATTTTCCAATGTTTGCCCTTCACCAGTAACACATTTTCCATTTTTCTTTGACAAAAAGAAATACTACACTACCATTACAGAATATGGAAAATAATTACGTCGAATGGATGCAAAATACGTTAATTTCCGAAAAGCAAGAGTGGCGCTCCAACAGTCCACCCGAAGAACCCCGCGTCGATCGCTACCTTCGAACTGCGGCGCCCGTCATAATATTTCAGATGATCGACCAAAACTTACAGGTCACGAAAACCATAAGGTAACCTTAACGATTTTCGGTTCCCGATACATCTCCATTTTGTAGCGAGTCTCTGAGCAACGAGGCTTTACTGCTCAGTATCGAGCAGGTGATCAAGTACGGGCAAATTTACAGGGAGGCGATTGTCGAGTTTAAAAATAAACACTTTGAAGATCGTAGTCAGGTGATTTTACTAAGGAAATTCGCAATATAAAATGGTTTTTTCAGGTGCCTTTCTTTACCCAATATATGATTACTATCGTAAATAATTGCTTGCAATTGGTCGAACTGGGAAGCCAGTTCGAGAAGCAGTACCTGAGTCAGGGCTTCTCGAAGCAGCAGTCTGAGTGTTTTAAAAGATTCAAAGAAGTTTATTATGTAATTTGTTTTAGTACCGTGCCTTAATTTTTAAACCCTGTTTTTAGTGCTTAAGAGACGAGTCCGGCAGGTATTTACTGGAGGAGGTTTTTCTGGACTTAGATAAACACTTTGAGGAGCTTTTTGTATCGGGTCGTTGGCTTCAAATATCGCTTCCCGTGGACACGATATGTGCGACACTAGAGGACTATTTCCAGGATTACAATCGGCTGGTCGAGACTAATTTTAAGTTCGTCATCAACGAAGCTCGGCGATTGGTGACGAAACGATACATCACCGCAATGCTATCGAAGAAAGTTTCCTTCAAGACGTACGAGGAATGCCAAACTGCGGCTAAGCAGATTTTTAAGGAGGTCGAGCAACTACGTAAAGTATTCTTGGTGTTTGCGTCCAACACGGTGGAGGGTGACGATCCCCTCGACATAATTCTCATGTTATCAGAAATTTTAAAGTGTGAAGATGATATGATATCATTCGATCTGCATAGGCTAGTGGAACAGTATGCTGATATTACTGAAGATCATCTCCACAGACTTCTCAATCTAAGAGGTGACCTACCTAAATCGGACCTAAAGGAGAAAGTGAGTTTTGTAATGAAATCTTCCAAGCCGAAAATGCAGTTGCAGACGTCTATATTTAGTCAGCTTGTATTTCAAGATAGAATTATTAATTGGTAGAGTAGTTTGATTTTAATTGTTAATAAATAATCAAGTTATTAGTATGTTTTGTGGACGAAAAGATTTTAGCTTTTTGTTTCGTTCCAACCAAATCGCATCCTTAGACCCTGGGAGAATAATCAATATTTTATTTGTCAGTTTTAAGCGTACTATATTGAAATACTTTCTGCATATCACAATAGAGGGTGAGTGAATAGTAAAAACTTAAAAATAATTGCAAACAATCTATGTAATAACGTTACTATATAGGAAATTGCAAACCCACTCGTATTGTATATGATAATTTCTACCCACCCGGTACATCGGTTTAACGAGCCCCTAGCCACGGCAATAAAAGACGTGTCAATTTCCACCTCCAATAGCGAGTGCGAGTGAAGGACCACATCCAGAGTTGTATTATTTTTGTTAACATTTTTGTTTACTAATTTTGTTAGTTGTGCAAGAAAATCATTGAAAAATTAATAAAATGAATTTTTACAGAAAATGTCGATTCCCAATTTACAGAATAACATTATTCAATCGCAAGGTATCGTTTTAAATCAGGTTCCCCTGTCGCACACAATTATGACGAACGTTAACGCAACAAACGGCATACCGATAGGTACGGCTCTCTCTCATGCGCCGACAAGCGTCGAGCAAATGAACGAAATGAAAACGGGAATCGTCGTCGACGGCATACCGATCGTTGGCATGTCGAACATTCCCGTTCAAGCGGCAGCACCAGTCCGAACGATGCAATCGAATGCAAATGTATCTGAAGGCATTTCGGTAAGAATTTTCGCTTGATCTTAAATTTACTTGACAAATCGCTTCTGTAGCAGGTACTCACTAAACCGCGATTATCAGATTTAGTTAGAGATACAGATTCTTCGTTAATATTGGAAGATGACGTCGAGGAGGCTTTACTAGCTTATGCTGACGAATTCATAAATCGTACACTCGAAGGTGCAGTAAATCTAGCTAAACATCGTCATATCAATACCATAGAGGTCAAAGACGTACAGCTATATTTAGGTAACCCTTCGTCCACTATGAATGTTTGTATTCTCCATTTTGCGTTTAGGTCGGAAGTACGGTGTGTGGGTGTCCGGTTTTGGAACAGATGAGCTTCGACCATACAAACGAAAACTTAAAGCTGAATCTCACAAACAACGCCTGGCACTTATTCGTAAAGCATAAAGTACCTTTTTTTTTTAGTTATTACGTTTATAGTTTGCAACTCAATAATTTGTGGTGTAAGTACTGTTTGGATTTCTTGCTATTCATTTCCACGTAGTGCTAGTATTTCTCATTATACCCATAATAAAGAACTTACAATCGATGGTTATTTTCGATTTGCTCTGTATATTAGATTAGAAGTGCGTTACTTTAGGCACAACTTCAACAGTTGAACCACGGAAGATAACCTAACCTAACAATTTTGAAAAATGAATGCTTGGTCTTTAAAAGTAAGCTTTTTAATTAAACAATTAAATTTAAAACGATAAATTGTAGAGGAAACTAAAGTCGACTGCTATACTTACGGTAGCCGGTTATGGCGTATTTGCCTTTGTTAACATTTATAAAGGCAATGAGAAGTTTTACAAACAAGTTGTAATGCCCCTGATGCATTGCCTAGATCCGGAAAGAGCCCACCAACTTGCAATATTCATAGCGAAACATCACCTAATGCCTAAACTGTCCTACGAAGATCCCGCAGTTCTTGTAGGTACACGAATAATAGAGTGACCTGTCAAACATGACCTTATTTGTAGAAATGCAAATTTTTCGACAAACAGCTTTCTAACCCCATCGGATTGGCCGCCGGTTTCGATAAACATGCAGAAGCGATTACCGGATTACGAAATGTCGGTTTTAGCTTTGTTGAAGTTGGGTCAGTGACGCCCAAGCCTCAAGCAGGTAACATTAAGCCACGGTTGTTTCGTTTAACCGAAGACAAAGCTGTGATAAATAGGTAACTGTGACTCTTAACTGCGTTTATCTAATTTAAGTTTTAGGTATGGTTTTAATAGTGTAGGTCATGATGTGGTTGTCGACAGGTTAGATTGCATCAGAAATAAGCATCACCTTAATTATACGCTCGGTGTAAATTTAGGTAAAAATAAAACTTCGACGGATCCAATTAATGATTATGTTGAGGGAGTAAAGAAATTCGCCCCTTTCACCGATTACCTTGTGATAAATATTAGTAGGTTTGTACCGCATTCATTTTGTGACACTGTAGTGAGTGTGATTGTGCTTATAGTCCAAATACGCCTGGTCTACGTTCGCTTCAGACCAAAGTTGCTTTAGAACCACTGTTAAAGGCGGTCGTTGAAACCAGAAATAATCTACCGCAAGCCACCAAACCGTACCTGCTGTTAAAACTGGCACCTGACTTGTCCTACGACGAATGTAAAGATATTGCTGAGGTGCTAAAGAGTAAGTCTTGTAAAATGGATGGGCTAATTGTATGTAACTCTACTACCGAGAGACCGGACTCTTTGCAAAGCGAACACAGAGTTGAAGTGGGCGGATTAAGTGGGCATCCCTTAGGTGACGTTTCCACAAAAATGATTTCTGATATGCACAAATTAACAGATGGGATGATGATTATTGGTTTGAATTTTGTGTCTTTTGTGGCCAGTTGCGTAAAAATGAGTTGCAGGTGTTGGAGGCATTTTTAGTGGCAAAGATGCGTACGATAAAATAAAGGCCGGAGCGAGTGTTGTACAGTTATACACGGGCATGGTATATGAAGGACCTACCGTAGTGACCAAGATAAAGAGAGAATTGGCAGAATTGTTGGCGGCAGATGGCTATACTAATGTTACTGAGGCAGTTGGGATAAATTCCAAAAATTAAATATATTTTTTTAAATTTAATTTTATTACTTCATACTAATAGAATAGCTCTCCAATCAACAACTGAACTGAACTATATCAATATTTATCATGCACCAAAACACGTGCGTTAATTAATTTCGCCTGATAAAAGCAAGCAATTTGACCAGATGTGTTTTACTTCTAACACTATCTAAATTGAATATATTACAAAAGCGATAAAATTAAAACGAAGAATTACGCATCTAACATTTCTAAAAAGAAAAACCAAATACGTTAAAACAAATTCAAATGAAGCAAACTTTGAGCTTATTTCGTGAATAATCCCCAAGATTTACTTAATAAATTGAAATATTCTCATACACGGGATGTTCCGTGATCATTTTTGGCGCTTAGACCGAAATAACATCTAGAAAAAGTTTAACACGTTTAAAAACCGCACTTGCGGTTCCCATACAACATTTTTACTTTACTTTCATCAACCCTCTTTGACCTAGTTATCACACTTTTCAATTATTAAAAAGAAACTTGAAAATTTCCTAAATATGAGTAGGTACATACACGCTACTTAAAACTTCTCAGCAAACCTCTAAAAAGTTTTACAAAAGTATTTTATAATTAATTAGCCCGACATGTAAAAAAATATGTATCCCCTCATTCTGCAAGCACCATGGCTGAAGATCAGTATGAGTTACCTGAATACTATTTCAAATATCAGGTATGCAAATGTAAGGTTTTTCTATCGAAACTGCTAATGATTTTTAGACCGGCCTCTTACGTCTTGTCGGCGTTGAGCTCAAGGATAGGGACGAGACACCTCGCTATCGGATTTATTCGATAATTACGCTAATCTGTACGTTGGGTTATGTTATCATCGAGACTCTCGAGTTGTTTTACCACGACAGTTTCGATGCAGTGACCCACGTTTTGGATTTCGTAATCAGTCACGATTTGGGTGCGTAAGCCGCTCATTTTATTGCTCTGACAGCGTTTTGTAGGAATGGTTAAGGTGTTGGTTGTGTATAAAAATAGGCAGGCGATCGGCGACTTGCTCAGATCTCTTCACGAAGGCGTTTTTAAGCCAAACATGGAACGGGGGGGAGTTTTTGAGAAAAAATCCATACATGAAACGTACAAACGAAACCACTTCTTGGTAAAAAGGGGCCTCTGATGGAAATCGTTGGTTACTGACGCGCTTTTGCAGATATTGGCATACAGCTGGATAATGACGGCCGGTTATGGTTTGGCCGTCGCAACTTGTATATTTGTACGAATCACCCAACGTTCAGAAATGTGGAAGATGCCTTTCTCACTTATAACCATTGTGGATACCTCCTATACTCCCGCGTTCGAAATTGCGGTCGTCTTTCAATGTTGGGGAGTATTTCTGATCACTGTCTGCACGGTTGGCGTGGACGTCCTAATTGTCTCAATAATTGCCCAAATTAGCGCGCAAGTGAAAATTTTGGAAAACGCGATTAGGTCATCACGCATGGTTTGGTGTTTGTACTAACTTTCTCTTTTAGAACTTATATTGAGAGGGGGATAAAGGACGCGGAAAAGAACAATTTAACGTCGGAACAATCCGTGCACAACACTTTGAGGGAAACCATCTTCAGTCATCACCTCACCTTGTTGGATACTGTTTCAAAAGTGGAAGACATGTGCTGCTACTTGATTTTGTGCATATTCGTCTCCAATTCAACTTTGCTTTGCTTACTGTTGTACAAGTCGTCATTGGTATGGGCTCTCAGATCGGTTTTTAAAACTGTCGCTTTGCTTCCAGTACCCGCTTAACAGCTCGTTCTTCATCATGTTCGCCATATATTATTTCGTGATCGCTCTCCAGGTGTTTAACTTTTGCTGGTGGGGAAACGAGTTGACAGTCGCAAATGAATCGTTGGCGCTGGGCGTTTCACAGTCATATTCAGCTGACGAACCGACGTCCCACGCCATGGCGCTCAAACTGATGATGATTCGAACGCAAAGGACGCTTTCTTTATCAGCAGGAAAATTTGCTCCGTTGTCACTAGAAACCTATAAAGCGGTATGTGAGGGTACAGTTGAGCGGGTTATTAAAACACCTATTTACAGCTTATGAAGGCTTCGTTTTCTTATTTTATGGTGTTGAGGCAAGTTAATGCAGAAGAATAAACTACCTACTCTTTGAGACCCGCTCGATTTACTTTAAAGGGGTCTCAAATGTATTAGCAAGCAACATAGTTTAGGCACAGTTGCACATGACGTGTAATAATTATCATTTCCAAACGTCTGTTCGAATTTTTTTCATTACGCACGGGTGTAGGTAATGGGTACTAATATATCATGTCTCTAAATTGAAAGAGTTGCAAATAGGATGCAATATTGCTTCTGATTCTCCCTCGAGTAGCTTTTCCGAGGATTAAAATGCAGAAGTCATATTTTTCTTATCCATTTTGTCTATAGCGTAGAAAGATACTTTAGAAAATAAAGGACACACATGCATAAGTGGCTATTTATACAAAATTTTTATTGTTAGTCTAGTCCGATTGGTTAACATTGAAAAATTATCCAATGAAGTTCATCAATTTTATGCCATGGTCACAGTTAAAGTGGTACATGAGGTATTGTAGCAAATATTCCAGAAATCTCAATAGAGATCGAGGCGCCATGAAAGATTAGTGATCGGCGATAAAGAACTAAGGCGGATGTGACGCAATCTTTTCAGGAAATATGACGTGCTTTGTCCTAGAAGACTCGCGACCCGGGAAGCAAATCGAATTGCGTTTCAAGATAACCGAGGCGCAGTGGTTGCGCTCACTTTTCTGCTATTTGGGAGGTTGTAGGTTCGAATACCGGTGGCGACTGTTCTGGTCTGAGGTTTTCCTCAGACGTGCGTAGCTTGTTGAAATCCACGAGGCTCTTTCAACACCCTAACTCTTGTTCCCATCCATAATTTTACCTATTCTTACATTCCCGTTTTCTGACCGAAGAGGCTGTGGCAAGTGGCAAGCTTGATCAGCCCGCCTCTGTGTCAGGGATGTCGGAGGAATGAAACACGATGACCTTTACCTTTCAGAACAGTTCCAATTTCGACGCCGAAGTAATAAATAGTAATTATTGTTAATTAATTATAAATAAAAATTACACGTAGGTAATTAAATTTCCGTTACAATATATACATACTTGCGTTGCATCAAAATCAATTGCAACAGTCGACACTAACAGCCTCGTAAAGATAAAAACGACTTTGAAGGACTTTGGGGGCTCTTCGAGACTTTAAAAAAACATTTGGGTACGGCGATGGGTGGAGTTGAAGGTAGTGTATATCTTCAGTAGCGTCTACCTCCCCCCTAACGCGCCCGAAGGCAGATTCATAGCAAGACTTGATGAAATCGGAGTCAATATTAATAGACCACCCGGGGTGCACAGGATTTTTGTAGCAGGAGATCTTAACGCGGCTTCGTAAGTATGGGCATCCGCTAAAATAACCAAACTGCGACTTTTTAGTACTAGAATGGACGGCAGCAAATGACCTAGCTATCGCCAATCGGGGGGCAGTTCCTACTTTTGTGCGGGGAATGCAAAAAAACTATGACGTCAGCAGACCTCACCCACAGTGTAACGGTAGAAGAAGAAGAGCGACCACTATTACATATATTTTGAAATCGCCATCAATATACGGGTAAGGGAGCCCATGGAGGAAGGAACTCTAATAAGCTGGATAGAACAGCAATACCCCGGAACACCTTTAAAAATGTAGCTATAATAATCTCAAAAATTGTCTTAGAAACTTTGATAGTCCCGAAAATCATTCCGGTTTGTTTTTTTAGGGTTTCCAAAATCTTTTTGTGCCCTAAAAGTCTTGTAGCACTCCTGCCTTGGCCCTTTAAAAAGGCTCTTACATATTTTTGAAGGCCCTTAAAGCCTCTCTCAAATGTTCTAAGAGGGGGGCTTTTAGATTTTCTGTGTTGCTCTTAAAAATGTTTGCAACCCGTCTAGAAAGTTAGATTGTTAGGTACCTGTGATAGGTTTTTACTTTTGAAGGCATTTATAGAGTTATGAAGCTCTTAAACTGTCTTAAGGCCTTTAAAATAAAGCTGTTAAAGTCTCTAGGGGATATTTGAAGGCTCTTCTGAAGTCCCATAGTGACTTACTTAAGGGTTAATAATGATTTCGAAAAGCTTTGAAAATCCGTTGCACTGCAAACACCCTTGAACACCTTTATAAATAAAGCTCTTCACCGGATTCAAGAATTAGGTGCTTGTAATGATTATCTAGAACTCTTGGAGACTCTAAAAACTCTCAATTTTATAAAGATTAAAGGTCTTTGATGGATCTTAGCTACCCTTGGAAAAATTTTGGCACGTTTTGTTTCAAGGAACACTTCTTCAGGGCTTTAAAAATTGTCTTTAATAGCGTTAGAAATCTCTTGTAGATTTAAATTATTTGGAAGATTTAAAGTTCCTTTAAAAGGCTTTTCGTAGATTGTGCTCAAGTGTAAAAACTCCAGATTTAGTTTTCGACGGATAAACAGACAGAGAAAGCCGTCGCAATAGTTTGTTTAATACATAATTTTGTATTGTATTTTCTTCAAATTAAATTGGACACATTTTAAATTGTGAATTATGGGCCTAGAAAATTTCTTGAGGTCAACGGTAAAATTCAGGTTAACGCACCACAAATCATTGGAATAAAAATGCATTAAATAATGAAATGTAGTAGAAAAATCACTGATTTTCTATTGTGTGAGTATGATGAGTTGCCTATGTTTCTGTTTAGGCGAAATTGAATGCAACCAAAACAGGTGTAGAACGTGCGCTTTTGTGCTTCCGAATTATCGGTGGCTATGCGTACGCCCTTCCACTTCCGGCAACTAGTTTACTTTTATTTGCCGCTCGGTGTTCATGTTTTCCACAATTGAATTTCTGGAATTGTGACTTAAAAACCTTCCCCAAAACACACCTTCGTACATTCCACGAGTAGTCGACAACCAGGCCACTATTTACTTACAGTACATTGTTTATTAATCGCAATTTCTACATTTCAATGTGCACTTTTCTAGAACATTCTACAATGGCAAACGCGCTGGATATTTCACCTAAAGGAGACGGCGGCGTTCTAAAGGAAATTTTGGTAGAAGGCGACGGCGAGAAGCCATCCGGGGGATGTAAAGTCAAAGTGCACTACACCGGAACGTTGCTCGACGGTACCCAATTTGATTCAAGTCGAGAACGAAACTCTCCTTTTGAATTCGATTTGGGAAAAGGTAAAGTGTGCCTACGGTTTTCGGTGGTTTCACGAAATTTCGCAGGTAGCGTCATTAAGGCTTGGGACATCGGTGTGGCGACAATGAAAAAGGGGGAGCGTGCAATGTTAACTTGTGCACCCGAGTACGCGTACGGCGAAGCCGGGAGCCCTCCAAACATTCCACCAAATTCCACGTTGAAATTTGACGTGAGTACTTTCTGCGGTTGAACAATTTTGTAACGTGTAACGTAACAGGTGGAAGTTCTCGAGTGGGAAGGCGAAGATTTAAGTCCGAAAAAAGACAAATCCATCGAACGCTTTATTATAGACGGCGGTGAAGGTTATACGTCACCAAACGAAGGTGCACAGGTCGAAGGTAAGGGAAGGATGTGGGATGTTGTTTACTTCGTCTTGTGGTCTAACCGATGATTATTTAGTTCACTTGGTGGGAAAGTATAACGAGACCGTTTTCGAGGAGAGAGATGTCGCATTTGCTCTGGGCGAAGGGTCAGAGGAGAATGTAATTGATGGTGTCGAAAGGGCCTTGTCGAAATTTAAAAAGGGCGAGAAGTCAGAGTTAATTATACAGTCTAAGTATGCGTTCGGCGACGAAGGCAGTAAAGAATTTAACATTCCTCCCGGTGCGACGGTGCGGTATATTGTCACTTTGAAAACATTTGAGAAGGTAATTAAGTAACGAGTGATCTACTTCAAATCATCCATTAATTGTTGCTCTGTATTTTAAATAATCGAGTATAGGAGGGGAAATTGTATGTTTTATGGGGAGTTTATATAATCAGTATTATTAGATCATTAATAAATAGCCAATAGGAACAAAGGTTGCTAACCAAGAAACTATACTCTTGTTTCCTATTGGCTATTTCTTAATGTTCCAATGATACTTATACAGTGCTATTTATTAAGAAATAGACATAGGGATTTATGCTATGATTTATGTATATTGTTTTCCCCCTATGTCTACATTCTCTTCGGAAGAGCGCCTGATTTTAGGCATCCAAAGTAACTTTAAAACAAATAAACATCTAGCTGTCATTTGGCTATTGTTGCTTTGACAGAAAATAAATATCTTAACGCTCCTTAGATTGTTACCGGCACTATACCAATTGACAATATCAACTTTTTCTCCAATTGAATGTATCGCACATGAACAAAAATAAAAATACGAAAGCCAAAGCAACAATATTTAAGCCAGATCTTTATTTGTTTTAAGAAGTTATTTTGGTTGCATAAAATTAGGCGCCATTCAGAATTTTGTCTTTTGAAAGTAAACATAGGGAAAAACAATGTACATAAATCCCTATGTCTACTTCTTAATAAATAGCACTGTATATTTATTTATTTGGCGTCTGTTTTTGATTGGGCGGGGCTTCAGCCAATGCTGCTCTACCAACCCAACCCACTATACACTTACAAATACCCAATCGCGAACCAGGGACCCTTAGTACCGCAGCCGAGCTTCAATTCAACTGTGCCACACGGAGCGTATATAACACAACTAACTCGTCTGCCATTTTGGGGCCCACTGACAATTAACGCTTGTAAAACATCACATGTCCTGCATGTATTGTCTATCATTTAAAGAAAAACTATTGATTTTTTTAACGTATATTAATGCATAAAGGTATTTAAGGTAAGCACATAGTCAGTTTTTCTGTACATAGATTTGGACTGTCAGTGGGCTCCAAAATGGCAGACGAGTCCGCTACCTTAATCAAGTACTATAAAAGTTACAGTAACACAGTGGACCAAAGTAGAAGTAGCAATGAAGTAGGACCTTTGTTTTCTCTTACTTTTTGCTTTTAAGTTATTGTCAAAACGTGTCATTTTTGACACATTATTAATATAATATGGAAAATTTAATGGAATTTTGCATTAAATTTTCCAGATTTTTCCCATCCTGGGAGGTACTCGCTACCCTTTGGTTCGTTTTACAACCACCATTCTAGATTATTCCTTACACCTTTTATGTGATTAATACAAATATCCCCCCCATCTAATCGAAATTTAATGTCTATGTATAGCGCTGTACAGACGTTTTTATTTCACATTTTGGTGATTTTGATGATGGCTCCAAAAATAACGAATGTGACACGTCATTATTTGTGTTTTTTTTTGTCCTTTTATCTTATTGGGTAAAAATCCAATATGGCGTCCATATGAAATTAGAAAGTATAGGCGCCTGTAGCTTCTACATCTAGTGTGTTATGGAAATTTTGATAGCGGATTCAGTTTCTCCAAAAAAAAAGTGTACGTGGACGGTGCTAACGGGAGCCGTCCAGTTCCGACCTTTTAAGCTTGGGAAATTGAAAACGGAATTTGACATTTTCAGTTTTTGAATGATATCTCAGTTGTTTTTTAATGATTTCTCAGTTATTTTCAAAGATTTTTCAAAAATTTCAAAAGCGTTTTTTTAACTCATAAGATAGGGCAACTATGTCAGAGAGAAAATTGGGACTCCCAAAATGTCTACACAGTGTTCTATAAGACAACAAGAAGCTTTGTCAATAGCACATCAACAGGGTGGCCGAAAATATATTGAAAAAATAATTCAGAACAAATTTGAAGCAACACTGACTAGGCGATTTGAAATGGAACCCGTCAATCTTATGTAGACAAATTTCAGATGAAGGAATCTTGGTCTATGGACGCCGCAGAAAAAATTGAACAAGCAAAACTGCTAAAAGACAAAGGTACCAAGTATTACAAAGATGGCAAACTAAATCTCGCGATTAAAATGTACAAAAGACTCATCACGAATCTTGATGCTGATTCCAGTAAGTACATCGTCCCCCGCCCTCCTCCCGCTTACGGTACACTCACCCTCGCCTTCCAGATCAATCGGACGAGAAGAAGTCCTTGAAACTTTCCGCGAATCTCAACCTCTCGCTGTGCTACTATAAGTTAAAGGAATATTTCGAAACGCGACAGTCGGCGACGGCCGCGATCGAGTTGGATTCGAAAAGCGTGAAGGCGTTCTTTCGACGTGGACAGGCTCTGCTGGCTTTGGGCGAACCCGAGCTCGCGAGTAAGGATTTCGCCGTCGTTTTAGACATCGAACCCGATAACACGGCGGCGAAGGCGCAACAGGCGCTGTGCGCCAAAACTCTGAAACAGCAGTTAGAGAAAGAAAAGCGAATTTACGCGAACATGTTCGATAAGTTCGCCAAAATGGACGCTCAGGTGAATTGAATCGTTCTCGGTTAAATGTATTTTTTTCGTTTTCTCAATAAAATTGTGTTACTTTATCTCGTTTATCTCTCTCCGTATTTCAAATTGTAGAAAGAAGAAGATGAGAAGAAAAAACAGCCCGACGTTATGTCGTCGTTGGGTGAGTGGGGCAAAGAGGATCGTCATAGGGAGCCGAGCGAATTTGAAAAGGAAAATCCGAACATTCTTATGCTTAATGGTAGTGGTGAGTTTAAGGATATGTAGTGTTTTTTGTACTTGTAGCCCATTAAGTTTAACGAATCGTCAATAAATGTGTCAGTAAAAAGTGTTCATAATATCAACCAAATAAACGGCCGGTGCCATAAAGCGTGTTGCAAAGCTAAGGCAAATGATTGGATGTTATTCTTTGAAAAAACATCCAATCACATGCCTTTAAAATGCGCATGCGCGGTCACGGAAGTGCATTGCGCCCGCAGCACGGTATGACCCAAGTGACTTGATGCATATAAAGAGCAGAGTGCGACATCAACAAACAAAGAAGTTTTTAAAAAATCCTATAATCCGATCGGGCTCACCTGTGAGTCTAAACCATTCAGAGACATGAAAAAATGTCATTAAAATCCTTCTAGTCGTTTGGGAAGAGTTGAGTCACAAACACACGCACAGAAGAATTTTATACAGGGCGTAGAAAGGGTTTACGCACCATAGAGATTTCAATGGTAATTTCTTTATATTTTCTCCCCTAAATAACTCACTCTCCGCGTTCCCACAACAAAAAATTACAATTGGGCACATAGACGCAGAATTTTTCAAGCTACAAACATTTATTTACAATTTTGCTATAAATAATTAGGCGAGAAAATATTTCAATATAAAGAAATTACCATTGAAATCCCTATGGTACGTAAACGGTTTCTACACCCTGTATATATAGATGTATAAATAATAATTATTCATTTTTAATTATCAAATTAAAAACATTACAAATAATAAAAAATTGACATTTATTTATTAAACAAAAGGGTAAAATGTGGTCATTGAAAAAACTTATTTGGATTTTTTTTAAAGTCTACCAACATATTAGAAATTTCCGCATCGGAAAGGTATTTTCACTCGTACCTATAGCTACTAGATGGCGTTTTAGGGCGACGCGCGACTTCATAAATATTTTGGCCCCCTCCAAAAATTTATATGGTGTGTTTTTTTTAAAAAAACGAGCCAAAATCCGTGAAGTTGCGAATAAATCTAATTTAATGAATATGGGCATGTTATTTCTATAGCGTTATTGACTTCCAAACAAATGTTACTTTCTGAAAAATGAATTTTTGACTACCACATCTAATCCTTCTCCCCCTATTCTATTAGATGTACTATGGGAGCATTTTGCTTGCAAATTTCTTGATTTTCAAGGTAGTACCATTTTGAGTGTAAATCCATTATTCAAAATAATACTTATCTAACATTTTGTCTTACATTTAAACGTATATACGAAATAAACGGACAACGCATTCTCTGATGATAACCTGACCGCGTCATCAAACAAAAAACGTTTAATACGCGGCGAGGAACTCGTTAATTTTACCTCTCAATATTTCAGTATCTGCGTGTATCTTGAGGTGTTAAAGTGTAGTGTTCCGCTTTCGACCAGGTATTGTGCAATTCTCTAATTGAATTTACTTTTGTTCTTAATAATTTGCAATGAAATTTATACGCGCGCTATTTAGTTTAAACTATTTGCAGTGGTAAAAATACAGGGTTAAATTTCAAAATTTGATATAAATCGCTTCAGACGAAAGTTTATTATTTTCCGAAATGTGCATAGTATTATTAAATGGGCCCCTCTACCTGAAGAGGATTTTATATAACTCATTTTTTGATATCCCCTAAGTTTCCAGCGTTTTCGCAATAATCGCCCGTCTCAATGAGACACTCTGTATATAAATTAATTTAACATTAATGAAATAGGTATAACATTACGGAACTGAAACCTAGAAAGGTTCTTTTTTTTTATTTGAAAGGTTTTAGCTTTGTTTAATGAATAAACAATGCTTCTATGTAACACCCTGTATAGAAAAAGGGATAGGTACTTTTGCAAAAATTAAGGGAATCTCCAACAAAAATGACCCTTTTTTTAATGTATTTTTATTATTGTAAAACGATTTTTTTAAAAGTTGATCGACACGATAGTGACGCCAGAATAATTTCCATCACGTGTCCGCATTGTTAAGGTATTTTTGGCCACTAGATGGCGTTTTATGGCGACGTAATAGAATTTGGCGCGCTCCAAAATTTTAAATGACCTGTTTTTTTTAGCAGTTCAATGATTCATAGAGAACGAACCCATTCATTTTTCAAGATCTCAATCTAATATACTCAGGAAAATTGTAGGTATACGGACAGACAGACGAAACAAGCTTTTTAAAAAGAGTCTCATTAGGTTCAATTTACGAATTTTCTTGTTATTATTCTTGAGGAATTTGAATTTGTAGGGTTGAATGTGAGATGAATGGTAATTTTGACGTTGATTGTGGATTTTATCGAAACGGCTATAGGCGCTTAGAGGAGAGGATCAGGTTCTTCTCTGTCGCCATGGTTTTGGGTTTTTAGTTATCATTTTGAACGGCGATTTGGGATGAAGGGGGGCGTACATACTTACACCAAATCAGATGAGCAGCTTTTAATTAGAAAAGTTGAACAATATATATTAGCCCCACTCCATCATCCAATTGTCCTCGTATCTTGTCTAAGTAGAGATAGGCTTTAAATAATTTAGTGTTTAATAATAAAGCGGCGCATACAAATATCAGCAAATTAATATGACTATTTATTTTATTTTTGCCTTTATTTTTAAATGGGCGAAATATGCATGCAATGTGTTTGGTTACATATTAAGGCTCCTCTGTAGTCAATCCGCCATATTGGAAAAATAGCTAAACTTTCTTATGAAATGCTGCTTTTGTAGTTGAAGTCTAACAAATTTTCGATAGTGGATATTCTTTGCAATGATGAAAAGAACGGCGGTACTTAAAAAAATTGAAATATCGGTCTTAGTTTTTTAGGAAGATCGATGAATAGAAAAATCGTTTTTTGTAGATAACAGCCGTTGTAATGAGGGTAGAAAAACGTACAGCACCAATTTGGAAATCCTACAGTATTTCTTACGGCGGTAGGTAAAGACATTATTTCCATCTATTATGATAAGGCATATATTTTAAAATCTATGTTTCGCGATCTTTAGAAAAAAATCAAAACGCTAACGTAAGGATAGGCAACTCAAATTGCACTTATAACGCCTGAGGCGACAACTCGCTACTTGAAAGGGAAAACAAAAGAAACTACCCGGCATTACCCTACACATTGTTACGCCGTTCCTAATAATATGGATTAGATAAATTACTATTTATTATTTATTTATTTGAATGCTGTTGATTTGTAAATCATAATGTCACATATTCCCAAGACGAAAAATGGATATCCTATTATTTGCGGGACTGAGGAATTTGTCGATCAAGGGGACGACTCTGTTTACTTTGTTAATGAAATGCATAACGGAAAAATTATTTTTAAAATAATTGTTAAACTTTTTTTTAAAAAATGTACTATGATTTTTTAGGCACTTTAGAAGTTCACCTTTTTGTGCTTTACAGGTAATTTTTTTTAGTTGTAAGTTGCTGAAGGTACTTTTTTGTTGAACATTGTGATAATTAGGGATTTATTTTAATACAGAAGTTAACCGCACAAAATTGCGTATTTGTCAATTTATTTAAAATTGTGCGGGATCCCGCAAATAGGTACCGGGATCCCGCGGGATTAACATCTAACGATCCCGCATATACCGGGATTGAGATTTTGCTGCGGGATTGCATTCCCTAGACGTCTCAATCAAAAGTTATGGGCAAATAACCAATTTCGACAAAAAATTCAAAGGGCTGTAACTCATGATCTAGTAGCCCAATCTTGGAACTGATCGAAATTATGGATTCTACAGGTCACATTCTATAAGAAAATGTTTTTTCCCGATCGATCTGAGACAATTTTTTTTCGGGGCTCAAAAAAAGGCAGTGTATAACCTTCCTTTTTTACCAAAAATCGACTACACCAAAATTTCTCGGGAAAACACTTTTTCTTATTAATTTTGGTGCGTAGAATCCAAAACAATTCGTACTTTTTCGATTAGACTTCTCAATCAAAAGTTATGGACTAGAAACAAATTTCGAAAGAAAATTCAAAGGGCTGTAACTTTTGAACTAGTAGCCCAATCTTGGAACTGTTGGAAATTATGGATTCTACAGGCCACATTCTATAAGAAAATTTTTTTTCCGGGTCGATCTGAGACAATTTTTTTTTCGGGACTCAAAAAAAGGCAGTGTATAAACCTTCCTTTTTTACCAAAAAATCGACTACACAAAATTTCTCGGGAAAAAACTTTTTCTTATTAATTTGGGTGCGTAGAATCCAAAACGATTCGTATTTTTTCGATTAGACGTCTCAATCAAAAGTTATGGGCAAAAAACCAATTTCGACAAAAAATTCAAAGGGCTGTAACTCATGATCTAGTAGCCCAATCTTGGAACTGATCGAAATTATGGATTCTACAGG